ATCTTGACGAGGCCACCATCAGCAACTTCTCCTCACTCCAGAAAGTTTTTCAAGACGAATTTGAGCCGCCAGTAAGCACCCTGCAATTGCACAGAAAATTTGTAAAAGCCTGTCAGCTTGAGGGGGAAAGTTCAGAAGAATTTTACCTACGATTGAGAGGGCTGGCAGACGAATTGTGGCACCATGAACAACCCATTGTTGGATTAAGTTTAAAACAAAACTTTGACATTAGAGAAGCGGAGTTCCTGCGCATTTTCATCCGTGGCCTACGAGTCGACTTTTATTGGCAGGTGTACATCCAGGAACCAAAATCAATTCTTGCGGCACGCAAAATCGCCATTCTCGTTGAGGAAACTGCTAACAGCATTAAGGAAAGATTAGATGAAGACTTCAAGCAGGCAAACGAACCAACTCACCAATACCGTCCTCCAACCCAACGGAGAGCAGTAAACCTTCCTCAATTTTATGCTTCCCAGAACCACTCCCCAACAAGCCAGAGCTGGCCAGGACCATCGGCTTCTGCTCCAAATTTGCATTACTCTTCGGCAATCCTTCCTCCAGTCGGTCTCTTTGACTTCCAGCATTGGCCACCTGCGGCAGTGCTTCCACCACTTCCGTCAAATTTCCACGAGAAGGCAGAATTCAGTTCATCCAGAATACCTTCTCACCTGAGGGGGAGCGAGGAAAATGTAAATGAAAGTGACGCAAATTTTACAGAGAATTTATTTACCAACCATACTTGCAACTCCAATTCTCGCCCTCACTTCTCCACACACTCAGACAAGACGGATATTGTCCATGCCCACCGACCATCCGCCAGCAACGACCACGTCCCTTCTGCGACTCGTAGAGAGAAACGTCGACGGAAAAGAAGATTCAAGCGACGACAACAAAGGGCTTCTAAAGCGATCTTGCCGTGTCGCACAGCGTCCAACAAAATTGGCGAAGGCAAAATTTCTGCAAATGAAGAGCAAATCTTGAGTGCATTGAGCCGGTTAATACTACTGCAAAAACTTACCCCACCTGCCGACCACATCGCCCAGCGTGCATTTACTCGCCGACGGCGCCGCCGACAACCGACAGATAAGGCCGAATTTGCCATTATAACTCCCACACAAAAAACCACAACGAGTGCGGCAAATAAACAACGTGGGCCAGCTGTTATCAGTGGCGGCCAAAAAGTCAATGAACTTTTCGCAAGAGGGGGAAGAAAAATCAGCAGGAGAGAGATGAGAGTGGCGCCACAACCAAGTTCGCCATCAAGCCAGGAGAGGGAGAAGGAAAAATCAGCGCACAAAGAACCAAGACCTCGCCCTCGCCGCATGCAACCAACAACAACAACAAGGCCGGATTCACGCGTGATTATGGTGCCCACGACGTTTTTCCTTGAGGACAGCGCCAGCTCAGGATCTGGACAATCTACGTGCAGTACGTCGTCCTGGCAATCGTCCTGGAGATCATCCAGTCACAGCTGACCACAGCCGCCAGTCAAAAGAGGGGGATTTGGTGTGGAATAATTATTTTATTCCTCTCTTAATTTGTTTGTTTTGACTGTGGCTGTGTCATCGGAGAACTTCATTGTTTTTTTTTATTATTATTATTCAATTAATTTTCGGCTTACAATTAAATTCATTTTTTAAGGGCTTTCTTTTTAATTATTCTTTTTAATTTCTGGCAATTGTTTTAAGTTGAATTCTTACAAATAAATCTTGCATTTATTTTAAATTTAAAGTAGCTTTAAATTTACAAATAATTATTATAAATTCAATTGGAATTAGCTTGTACAATTCATGGGATTCCAATTCACTTCAAGGGAATTTATAAAGGCATTTTAGAATTCAACTGCAGATTCACAGAACTTTCTAGATGCATCTAGAAAGTTCTCAATGTAAATCAAATGGGTGGGTGGGTTTTGCACGACCCTCCCAGGGCTGCTGCCCGCGCTATAAAAGGCGCTCCGTCCGCTGGCTCGATGCAGAAGGCTGACAGACCTCAGAGAAATCCGAGGTAAAGCTCCGACACTCGAGCCAGCTGACGGAGAGCATTCAACCCTTTGCTCTTTGTTCGCAGGACACCTGGACTTCCAGTGCAGTTTCGGACACCCGTCCGAACCCTTCGCACTCGTCCGAGCCGTCCCAAGGCCCCGACCGCTGTCTTGTCCCGACGCTGTCTCGTCCGAGGACAGCCGGAAGGCCGACCGCGTCCCGAGCCCCTCGAGCGGCACGCCTGTGTCCATCGTACTGTCCGGGGTGTGGCCGAGCCGTCCGAAGCCGTACGGAGCAGTTTTGCCAGGTAAGAGAAATTACAATTGTTTCTCCCTGAGGCCTTCTTTTGGCCAAAAGGTCAAACCACTACGTGAGACGGAAGTACAGCCGAGTGACCCATTGTTTTTGTCCCCAGCTCCTTCCTGTCCGAGGAATCGGGCGCCGACGTGGCACGCCGCCAGCGAGCGCTCGGACGAAGGCGTCCGAACGTCCGCCGCCAGAGACCCGCACGCCGCCCTTGTCAAAAACGAGACCGTTGGAGGTCGTACTCGAGGTCGCTCGAGACCATGGTCTCGAACGACCTCGAGTACGACCTCCGACGGTCTCGAACGACCTCATATTTTTACATGGTAAATGTTTAGGGGCAACGGTTGCCCCTCGGTCTCGAACGACCTCAAACGGTCTCGGGCGACCTCGGCCGGTCTCGAACGGCCTCGGAGGTGTCCATCGACCTCGCCGGTCTCGGGCGACCTCGGACGGTCTCGGGCGACCTCGAACGGTCTCGAGCGACCTCGGACGGTCTCGAGCGACCTCGGACGGTCTCGAGCGACCTCGGACGGTCTCGAGCGACCTCGGACGGTCTCGAGCGACCTCGGACGGTCTCGAGCGACCTCGGACGGTCTCGGGTGAACTTTTGTGTTAATAAATTGAAAACCATTAAGGGCAACTGCCCCTCTGGGTCAAACGGTCTCGAGCGACCTCGGACGGTCTCGAGCGACCTCGGACGGTCTCGGGTGAACTTTCGTGTTAATAAATTGAAAACCATTAAGGGCAACTGCCCCTCTGGGTCAAACGGTCTCGAGCGACCTCGGACGGTCTCAAGACCGTTTGACCCAGAGGGGCAGTTGCCCCTAATGGTTTTCAATTTATTAACACGAAAGGTCACCCGAGACCGTCCGAGGTCGCTCGAGACCGTCCGAGGTCGCTCGAGACCGTCCGAGGTCGCTCGAGACCGTCCGAGGTCGCTCGAGACCGTCCGAGGTCGCTCGAGACCGTCCGAGGTCGCTCGAGACCGTCCGAGGTCGCTCGAGACCGTCCGAGGTCGCTCGAGACCGTCCGAGGTCGCTCGAGACCGTTCGAGGTCGCCCGAGACCGGCGAGGTCGATGGACACCTCCGAGGCCGTTCGAGACCGGCCGAGGTCGCCCGAGACCGTTTGAGGTCGTTCGAGACCGAGGGGCAACCGTTGCCCCTAAACATTTACCATGTAAAAATATGAGGTCGTTCGAGACCGTCGGAGGTCGTACTCGAGGTCGTTCGAGACCATGGTCTCGAGCGACCTCGAGTACGACCTCCAACGGTCTCGTTTTTGACAAGGGCGTGGGCCCCGGCCGCGCCGAGAGCCGCCGCCGACCTGCAGGGAGCCGTCCGGGTTCCCAGCAAGGACGTTTCCAGGGCAGCCTGCCGGCCTACCCAGGGAACACCGCTCCCATTTGTTGATTTTTAAGTGACACTATACGGACAATTTCGAGCCAGTGAATTTACCCTATCCAGCCAGAATTGTTGTGAATACAATAAAGCCCGTGTGTAAGCCAACTTGCATTGTTTTAAACAATTACAAATTAATCATAATAATTTACACAATAGAAATTACTGAACAATTACCCATTAATAATTTATTAAGCAATTAAATAATCAGTCAGTATAATCATATGCAAACCCCTTACTTGCAACTTCTTATTATCATTTTGGTTTGCAATAAACTAAATTTGTAATACCAACTTGGTACAAAAAATCCTATGAGAGAATGATGGAAAATTCTTGATGCCAATTCTAACTCGGCCTCGTCCTTTGTTTTGAGAAGCGCTTCCGTTATCTTGGTATTTATTACTCCTATATCAGCCTTGGCAATCTGTATGATACGCATCTATGCGCAAAGCTCCTCCTATCCATCAAATCACTACTATGATTATCCAAGGTGCGCAAATTGATGCCAGCAGTCTGAGCGCCGTGATCAATCAGGAGCACAACGCATTCGGTGCTGTTACCATCAACAGCATATTGCAGCGCAAAATCTAATGTTTTTTGATCACTTAGGTCCAAAATTCCTTTTTCGAGCACGAGCCTCAAAACTTCATGATGGTTTCTCTCAGCCGCATATTCAAAGGCACGTCTGACCGTGAGTGCTCCATCTTCCTGCACCAAGCCCATCAAATTGGCACATTTTTCTTCTATTTTTAAAAAGAGTTGCACAGAATTATGTATCATCGCACCTGCGAGCATATCTACGACAGCAGTGTTCGGATCTGCCAACTTTTCATAAGCTCCATTCTCCAAAAGGCGAAGAGCAAAGTTTTCGTTATATTCGCAGGCTATTTCCAAAATCTGGTCGCTCGTAGAATAGTTCAATTCACTTTTTTCGTCTTCATTGAAAGTCACAAGGTTTGCTGCTGCTGTGGAAATTTGGAAAGATGAAATATCACTCCGTAAAAATTGTTCTAGATTTGATTTAGTAAGAATTTTTTTCAAGTATCTTTTCAGCCTTTCAAACAAATCCGAATTTTCTTCGCGACTAGAAGTAATTTTCATGTCAACAAACTTAAAGACTTGACGAAGTCCTTTTCCAAAAATATCAAAGAGCATTTCTTCTTCCTTTAACAAACAATCGACAAAATGCACAGCTGCGAGGAATTCGGCGAACGTTTGGTGAACAAACTGGGCGCGTCCGTTGCTGATTGTTACGATTCCATTGTTGTTTTTAATTTGCAAATCAACAGTTTTGTTGTCGCATAGAAAATCGACTGCAGCAATTTGTATTTCTTTTTTACAAGAAGGGAGTTTCGTTTTCAAATATTCACCTGCAAAATCGCTGCTGAGTGAAAATTGTAATTTTTTGTCTACAATCTTTTCATAGATTTCGTACAGGTCTTTGTAATCTGAATCACTGAGTTCAGCGATCATTTTCAGGTGAAGTGGGTTTCCCAGAATATCTTCCGAGCCTATTTGTCTATATAATTTGATCTGACTCGTGCACTCGTCATTAGATTTGTTTGAAAGCATCATCCAATATTCGATTATCTGCTCATTGTCTAAAGGCATAATTTCAACCTTGCAAACTTGGTTTTCTTTTCCGAGCTTTTCACGAATCTTGTCTTCCTCGTGCGGTCGTGTCGAAATCCATATTGGCACTTTTTTTCTCGTCGCTTCGGCAAACACTTCAAGGACTTCCTCTGGGTAAAAAGTGCAAATTTCGTCGAATCCGTCGAACATCAAGTACATGCTCTTGTTTTTGATGAGATTTTCAATTTCTTTCTCTCGGGTTCCGCTCGCTTGGGAAACAATCGAAGCAAGGGATGGGAGGTTTTTGCTTTCCTCTCTTTCCGTGCGAAAAAGGCTGCAGGTGTCTTGAAGAGATATAAAGACGCACGACTTTGATTTCATCTTTAAAATTTCTTTGCAGTTCATAAGACATCTCGCGCATCACTGTCGACTTTCCCGATCCTGGAAGCGAAGACAAAAGCCAAATCCCATTTTCTCTAATGTCATTGGATTCCAATAAAATTTCCCACTTCACTTCTTGCCCTGATTCGAACCCGTTTCCTTCGATACTGAATTTTGGCTTAATAAAATGTCTCTGCAGTTGTTGGAAAAATAAGAGTTGAGGCAAAGTTGATACCATCATCGCCTCATTCTTTTTATTCTCCATTTGTAAGTCGGCCAAGCTTTCTTGAAGACTCTTCTCACCTTTTATTTCCTTGCTCTCGAAAATCTTTAGGAAGTTTTGCAATAAAGCTGCAATTAATTCAAAAGTTTGATTAGTGGAAAAAATCAAATTAAAAACTGTCGTTCACACGCACCCGGATTTCGAAGGATGAACGCGAGCCATCCGTAGTGATTGGTTGCTCGCAAGAAATCATCTGGATTAAATGTGTTTGCCTAGAATTAAAATACAAAACGGTGTGAAAATTACGCCGAGTGTTAATAATTTTAATTTATACAAATAAAAATAGGTTTTCAATGTTTTCATCTAGTTCAGAATTTTTGTCTGGGTAATAAAAGGTCTGACAGTTCATTGGTCTGAAAGAGGGGTAAATATTTTCTTGATAAGGAGAGTAAATATTTTGATATTTAGGATTCATTTAGATCTGATTGCCCTCTCGAAAATTGAATAATCTACGAATTGCTTTTGCAGGAGTTTGAAAATAGATCCTTGTAAATGATAACAAAATATTTCTTCTTTTCTATGAAAGAATTCGTCGCCGACGTGCACCACAAATTAAAAAGAAATTATTTCACATCACAAAATAACCAATTTTTTTCATTCAAATAATTGTATTATTGTCAATATTTAAAAATTCATATATATTAATTCTCATGTAACAATATATTTTTCCCTATAGAAAATCAATCTGCTGAGCTTTTGAAACACAGTTGGTACCCTTCGGCTTCATGACTTCTTGGCCTTCATGCCAGTAACAAATAAATTATGTAGGAAATTTATTTTATCGAACTTTGTTCAGTTCTAGAAATATTAGACGATATTGCCGGCGCCGGTTAATTCGTAATTTTGAAACACTTTTCTCTTTCTCAACAGGGGCGATTTATTGCCTTGCTTTTGATAACAAAAAAAATTATTAAAAAAAAGTAGTTTGAAGATTTAATTTTTTTAATACTGTACGAAATGTGTCCAAATTATGATGAGAGGCTGCACTAAACAAATTTAACAAAACTCATGAATTCTATAGACAGCTTTTAAATCACCCCATTTTGTTCAAAGCAAACCTCCCCCTTTTTTACGGAAAATATCTTCAGTGCGTTCAGTGTCAATTAATTACCTTCATACAGTAGTAAGATATAAAATTTGGTAAAGATTTTATCTGGATGATAATGTTATAAAATAATTTGAACAAAATTTTTAAATTATCCTTTTTTTTCTAATTATAGTTTTACGATATGGATGCTTAAAAAATGATTATTGGGAGACGGCTCAATTTATAGTAATATTGGTAAAATATTTCAAATAATTAGTGCACTTGCTATTTAACTTAGTGCATTTTTCTTCTCATGAAAATTCATTGATCCTTAATAAAATATCTGTTTCAACTTATTCATATTACGTTACAGAAAATGCTAAATTTTAGAAAGTAATATTTACCGATCCTGCGCTGTCTTTGTCCTCGGATTTGGAATCAATGAGGAAAAACAGTTTAGGTTTTCCGATCCAATCTCCGTTTTTTGGCCCAAGCAATCTGTGGATCAATTGGCCGATTGGATATTTCTCGTTTTTATTGAGGCGAATGCAAACTTGTCCATCGTCTTGTTCGTCAACCTCGGCAAAAAAGAAGGCAGCGAAACACCCGTATTCAGTCCAAGATTTATCTGATATAAGCGCAAAAATTAAAAATTTTGAGAGGATAAATTTCTTTTTAATTTCAACCTGATTCATTGAAGTAGTATTTCAGTCCTGCTGCGTCGATTTTTACATTGATAGTTTCAAAACCAAGATTTCCAGTCAGAGCAGCGTCCAGTTCTCTAGTTACTTTATTTTCTTCCCCTTGGTGGAAAATTACTGCGCGTCTGCCTCTGAGGACCTTTTTTGAATTTGGATTAAACCAAGGAAAGTGAATCGACCGCGGCTTTTCCTCTTCTGGGATTCCTGGTGTGCCTATGGCGTCATTTTCAATTCTATCTGAAGAACCAGAAACACTTGCTATTGTCCTGCACAAATATCAGTTTATAAATATGAACGAAAAAATTACTGATAGAATACAAGTCGAGACGATTGAAAATGAATTTCCTGTCACAGGAAAAGAATTTGAATTCCGGCGTCTGTCTTTTGTCATCTATCGCCATCGAATCAAAGTGAATTCTGTACTGGATGCCGGTCAAAAATATTGAAAGTTCCTCATTTTGCTTCATCCTATTTAACTCGTTGCACAAAGCTGTGACAAGCCAAGTTCCGCTACATACACTCCTGTTTGACATTGTCGCTAAAATTATCAAAGAATAAACCAAGAGGTCTTCAATTTAGTTTTGCCAATACTTTCAACGGTTGAATAGAAGATGATCAGGTTGCGCATGTTCGGTTCGAAGGAAACTCTGCTCGAGTTTTGATTATTCGTCAGATTATTTTGTTGGTTTGCGTTTTTTTTATCCGGATTAAAGAGACGGTCCTCTAGGCCACCTCTGCACGGCTAAAATTAGTTTGATGTAATATAAATTTATTTTTAATTTCTGAGAAAAAATCATTTTTACCCCGAGGAAAACGTTTTTCAAGCTTTTTGGAAAAGTATTCTCAATTGATTTGAAGAGTTCATTTGTCGTGAACGTTTCGTATTCGTCCGGATCAGAGCTGCGATGAAAGTCGGTGTAAATCACTCCGTCCGCATTTCCGTGGGACAAAACGATCATCAAGAAAACATCTGGCTCTAAAACTGAATTTTTTGATAGAAAATCATTATTATCAATCAAAATTCACCTTCAGAGGCTCCAAAGAATGTCTTCAGTTTTTGTTCATCTTGAAGTAAAGCAAGAAGATCCTTCTTTTTTGGCGAACATTCGCGGAATGCGCAGTTTCTGTTTTGCTCAAAAGTTTTCCTCAAATTTTTAACGTCCTGCTCGTCACCAGGTCGTGGCCAGTTATCTTTCCCATTTTTGAAGTCGTAGTGCACGACGAGCACAAAAACGCTGTTATTTAAAATTTTAGTGGGGATGACGGAAAAAAGAGAATTCTTAATACTTGTCTGCATTTCCATTCCTTCAAAATGTCCCAATTCCGCGGTTCCTTGTGGATAACCTAGTTGAAAACCTAAACACAAAATGTTATCATTCATTAATTTACCCATTCAGAAAATAAACTTACCTTGTTCAACAATTGTGCTCAAGGAATTTTGGCTCGGCTCCCCAGCGGCTTCATTTGTGCTCAAGGGATTTTGGCTTGGCTCACCAAGTGGTATAATTCTGGTCTGCTTTTTCTTGTCCTTCCAAATATCCTAAATTCGCGGGTATTTGTGGGTTACTTAAACCTACACAAAAACATTTATCATTCATTAATTTACCCATTCAGAAAATAAACTTACCTTGTTCAACAATTGTGCTTAAGGAATTTCGGCTTGGCTTCCCAGCGGCACGGCGATTTCTTAGCCATACTCGCAGCATCCACAGTAATAATAATAATAATAATAATAATAATAAAACCAAAATGATACCAATAACACCAAAATTAGTGTCAAACATCTTGGGACGTTACATTCCAGCTAAAAGGACCTGCAAAAAATCGGAAATGGGTAAAAACTTTGTGTGACATAAATATATGCAGGCAAGGTAATAATTCTCTTATTTAAAAGAAATATTATGAAATAATTTAAATCTTTATTTTTCACCATTAATAGTAAAAATTAATTATAATTTTTTTTTAAAGCAACTTGGGGACAAACGCAATTTGACTTAAACCTGCTCTTTAATGAAATGCAGTTCGACTTCTAAAATATAGTGACCAGCTGGGCACAAAATAATGAGTATCAGTTTAGAATTCGCTCCAATATTTGCGCTTGAATGTTGACCAAAGATAAAATATGTGAAATTCCGATAAAGTCTCAGACTTGAGAAAAAGTTCTTGTCTCGAAAAATTGATGAAAACAATCAAAAAGCATATATAAGAAGTAGCCAAATTTAGTTTTAATCAAATTTTTAATTTAGTTAATAAATGAAAAGGTAGAAAAAGTCTAAATCGACTTTCAACATTAGACTTTTTAGGTAATTAATTTTTTTCAGAAAAGAAGCGAAATTTAGGAAGAAAAAAAGTCATTAGCAATTTTTCCAACATTTCAACGCCAGAGATCAATAACAATTGATACAATTTTGAAGAGGAAATTTCCAATCAACTGTACCTGCGCGAATAAATTTGCAGAAACCTGAGGTTCATTGTTACATGTGCAAACGTTTTTAATAATGTCGCGTTGCTGCAACGAAAAACATTTTTCCACGTGGAATGAAATGATAATAATTTAAAATCAGAAAATTGCAAAAACTGCGCCGAAATTAATAAGCTGTGTAATTTTTTAGAGTCGCCGTTATTGCCCCTAAATTCATTTGTCCTAAAACCAATATCTTCATTTGCCCTAAAATCAAATGCCCTAAAATGAAATGTCCTACATTTTTCACTCCAAATCCCCTAAAAAGTAGATGTCCTAAAAGCATTTGCCCTAAAAGTAAAAAAATCTTTGACAGCCCATTCTGAGCACTTCTAGTTAACTTATAATAAATTTTTGTCAACCTTCATCGATAGGGGAAAAGCAAAAGTGTATAAAAACTTATTATTCCATCTTTCATTGGAAAAATAGACTAAAAACAAAAACTAAACACTATTTTGGCCAATTCAAACAAGCTTTAAAATATATTTTTATTCTCTAAAATGCACAATAGAAAAAAATATTAAAAAGAATTAGTGGTTTGCTCGCAGAAATTATACAGAACTGGATATTTTGCAATGTTACAAAATTGATGAAGCTTTGTTTATTTTGGTTTATTTATCTCAATTTGTCTTTAACATTACGGAAATAATTAATAAATTTAACGTAAAAGTGCTTCTATTCACCTAAATCTTAAAAAATAATTCTATTAAAAAAAGTTCATAAGCATTTACTAAAAATTAAAATATAAATATATACTTAATAAAAAAATGTAAATTTCCACAGTGGACGCACATTTCGAAACGCCACCACTGGCTACGACAGCCATGATCATCTGCATTGTTTTTTTAAAGTCTGCCTCAGTTTTATATAGATTTGTATAATACTTTCCTGAAAATCGCCTAGAATAATGTAAGTACTTTTCGGGGAAATGATTTAGGACAAATGCATTTTCGGGTAAATGCATTTTATGGGAAATGAAAAAATAATTTAGGGGAAATAATTTTTGAAACATTTAGGAGGTTTGAAATGAGGGGCAACGCGGGTCTCCCATTTTTTAATCTTTGGATCGCGCTCATAGCAACAGACGGATTTACGTTCCGGCCAAACACTTTAAAGCACGGCAGGCTTAATATACTGGTTAACCTTGGACGCCTCAATTTTGTTAGACATTTTTGCTTCGCGAACGTTGGCCTGGTAGATATGAACCTTTTCAATTAAATTATTCTTTCTGAAAACCATAAGTTCGTAAATGAAATTAAAATCAAACTTGAGAGTTGAAGAAAGAAAGTCGATGCAAAAAAAAATTGGAGAAAATTATGCGAAAGTGCCGAAAAATATTTAATAATAAATATTTTGTAAGCTGCAGTTTTTAACGATAAATTTAAAAATGCATCCGAAAAACAGACGCGATTTGCGAAGAGGACCAACACTTTTGGTCGAAATTGCACTGCACGACAGACAAAAAGTGTCTTGCTTGCTTAAAAAGTCAAAGGTCCTCCATGTTAAAATGGTTGTTTGAAATTTGAAACGATTTTGAATTCATTAATTAAAATTATGCAGCTCAATGGAATTACATGCCCAACCTTCTTTTTTCTCGCAAACAAAATTAAAATATATGTTTTTTTGTGGGTTTCCCCTGCATAAGCCTCACGGTGCAAAAATGCCTTAAAGAGGATGAAAACACCTTAGGGCAGCATAATCCTCCACAAAAACTAATACTTTGGACCATAGGGATAATTTATATAACAAGAAAATTGGGGGTCACCCCGTAAATTTTTGAGAAAAACGCATTTGAAATTAACATGGCTCGCTTGTGAAAAATTTTCACTAAAATCATTTGATTGCAGTTTAAGTCAACAAAACTGCCTTTGGCAAGGGTTTGTGACCCACCAGCATATTCCTTGATAACCCTGCTACAAATGTGGCCCCAGAAAATTGGGGGTCACCCCGTAAATTTTTGAAAAAAGTTAAATTGAAGGTTGAAAAACGTCGTTTTTTGCATTTTTCACGTTCCCGAGACAATTAAGCTTATTTTTGAACACTTTGATTTTATTGATTTCAACTATCAAATATCATGATAGTGAATATTTTGGTTTCTACAATACCATTAAATTGAAAAAAATTCATATTGTCACGGTGTGACATAGCGGATGAGCTTGAGTCAGGTATTAGCGCACTGTCAGCAGTACAGCGTACTGGCGGACACGGGCCTTGCAGCCAGGGCAGTCGTACACCGACCGTACAGGCAGTCGTACACAGAGTCGCGCAGCAGCCATGCACCAGTAGAGTTGCACCTCACTGAGCAGTTGGACGAGAGTGTCCGACGAGACGCCGTCACCATGGCCGTCATCCAGTGAACCCACATGGACAGTCACCTGCGAGTCACCCACACTAGCAATTCCGACCTTAACCATTGTACCGTCCGGCGCTACACAATAAATCCATCCATAGTGTTATCCAGAACTCACGTACTACCATTTCTACCTTTACACCCTGTTACGAGGTCCTCTACTACTAGCACGGTGTCACTCACAACTACACAGAGGGCCTCGTGGCAACGTGGAGGCACACCGGCGAGATCTCCACGACCGGCGAGATGGGTGAGAATCGCGGCGAGATCCTCCAACCCCAACGTGGAGGCACCAACTCGAAGACCTCATGTCAAAGAAGAAGAAGCTAAAATGAAGACACGCGGACAGTAATTTTTTTAAAGTGCAACACAGTTTAAAATTTGGCGAAAATCAATGAACATTCGAAAATCAAGAAGACGAAAACAGCCCAGAAGTCCCAACCCACCCAGGCGACATCGAGACAGACTTCCAGAGACGAAAAACAACCCCCAACCCTAATGGCGTTCACCTACAACAAAATTCAGGTAAAATCAGAGCAACATAATTTAATTTAAAAATAATTTTGAACCCTTTAATTTCATGCAAATTAATTTAATTCCGAAAAAAAAGGAGGTACAGAAATTTAAATTTACAATGCGCAACTAAAATCTTCTAAATTTAAATTTTATTTATGTGCATTAATTTGAAAATCATGAAACGCTCTAAATAATTTAATTTTGGTCTAAAAAGCATAAATCAATTAATAATCAAAAATAACATAATCATTTGAGCAACACAAAACCTCCAACGCGTCAGGAAGTAAAATTTTTGCAACGCAAGCAACGACGACGACCTCACGGCAGGCGCGAGCAAAAATGTCTTAACGCAGCAATAATAGCGACTGCGCTCCAACTGGACACCTTTGTCACTAAATCGCAAAATCAACAAAAATCAAATAACCTAAAATGAATTAAATTTTTGAAAATCACTACCACGAATAATTTTATAAAGATAAAACAGGAAAATAATTAAGCAAACGACTCCTTAATTTATTTTATCAGAATGAGACTAAATAATCCAATAATCCCGACTGCAACAATTTTTTTTTAATTGCATCAACAACCGCAAACTGACTCTCTATAACAATTGGTGACTCTCCTATATAAAAAATAAATAAAAATTATAAAATCACAAATAAAAAATTGAAATAAATGCAAAAAATGTAAAAATAAAAATCAGAAAAACTGAAAACTATAAGTGACATTTAAAATTAACAAAATCATAAAAATAATAATGTCAAAATTAAAAATAATGAAAACTTTTACATGAAACAAATAATAAATTAATTAAAAATAATGCTGAATCATGTGAAATAAAATGAATGTTCCTTTCTTGGAATTAAAAAAGAGTGAAAACCAATAAAAAGTTAAAATCATATATTTGCTCCAAACTTCAAATCTTCAGCGCTCACAGATCCGCAATTTTTTTTAATAACCGCAACAATTATTTTTTCATACAAGAGCAAATAGCAAAATAGCTGATTGAAGGTAAAATCTTGAGGCATAAATTTAAATTTTCCCATCGCGAGATGCTTAACTCGTTCTTTATTTCATTATAGCAATGAGAATAGCAATTTTGCACTAAATAGTGCCCCGCGAACGTCAGCTAGTTCTTAGCTGGCACGGGTCAACAGATCCGTTGGAATTTTTATTTATCAACACAGCACTAACCGCTGACCAAGAAGGATCAAAAATCAGTATTTTGAAACAGACAATAAGCAGAAATAATTTCAACACAAGTAAACCATTGATTTTGTGGACTCATGATAAGCAGACTTAACAAAAAAGAAGTAGCAATAACCTCTTGCAAAATTAAAAACACGGAAACAGAAAAGTCACTTAAGCAAAAAAATTGAAAAATGAAATATCAGCTGACTAATTAACAACCACCAACAGTTTTTTTTGAAGAGCAACTGTTAAAACACAACGAAACAACGGCAAAAAAATTATAATAAAATCACGACACTCAATAATCACCAGCAACGCAACGGCTACAATTTTGAGGAATAAAGTAATCTACTAAAGCATTTAATAAATAGAACCTAATCAAATCAATTAACGACGACGACAGAGAATCAAATCATCGAGCATTAACAATGAATAACAAGAATAATACAAATGATATAATACAAATGAAAATGAAATAATCAATGACAATAATAATAAATGCAAACGAAGCGAAACAAATGAACAGAAGAGTAAGTATACGACATCAGCAATAATGCTCCGCATGCGACACCTTTGACGACGAAAAAATAGTACATCAGCGACCCGACTGGCCAACAAGCAGATTTGGTCAGGATTTAGTGGAAATAATAAAGCGAATTAATGAAATAATAATCCCCAAGTAAAACGAATAATGAAACGAGAAATAAACTCAAATATAGCAACTGGCTCTCTCATGTACTAGAAAGTTTTAAGATTAACCGCATCATCATAACTAAGAAACCAGAAAAAATAATTAAATTATAATTGCCAAAATATTTTGAAAAACAGCCGCATCAAATATTGAAAAATGAGAATTAAGTAAATGCTAATCGACGCTTTAACTACTGTCTTCACAACTCTCTATCATTCTGCTCTTAGAAGTTCTACTGTTAGAGACAAAATTGCAATATATAAGAAATCCGACTGACCGACGGACAAACAGAGGATCCTCAACCCCAAGGGAACTGCAAAATTTTCACGTAACCATACGCAAAATTGCGCAGTAAAATCAGAGTAATTCTACAGGGATGAGCTTCGCGCGCAAACACGCTCTGCCTTATAGAAAGTCTCCGCACCCTTACTACACCCTCCTTTATAGGGTAATATAGATATGAAATAATAAGCTTGGTCAGAGGGGATACAAGATTAAAATAACAAATAAATAAAAGGAAATAAATGAAAGAAACGTAAAGAAACAATAAAGCTTATTAATCGAGTTGCAACTTTTATCTCAACTTAAGAAAATTAATGATTAATAAATAGAATAAATGAAACGAAATAATTAAAATAAACTCATGAGTTAAGAGAATATAATATCCCCGATTTTGCGCTCCTTCAGAGTCAAATAAACGAAATGAAATGAGAAGAAACATTAATCTTGCAACAGTGCTTTCTTAAATATTGCACACAAAGAAACAGTATTCAAAGATCGTCGGATGAGGAATTTTTATTTAGCCGACAAACCACACCTTGAGAAATGAGAAGGTGATCAGTTTTAATTGTCAGCAACAATTTTTAGCCTTTAGTACTAAGCAACACTACGACCTGTAATTTTAAGTGAAATAGAAATACGCACACTCAGCACTCAGCACACTTATATGCACATCAGTTGTCAATATCCTGATTCCTGATAACCAATTTTTTCTTTTTCAGCTCAAATCAATGTAAGAACGGCTACAGTTTTTTTTACACAGAGAATTGTTGTTCCTTATTTAATGACGTAACGTAATTATTAATGATCAGCTTGAGCAACAATAATTTTTTCATGAGCAATTTGAGATCTGATAATTCTGTCTTTTAATAGTTTGCTCTGTTTTTAAGAATCTTGAATTTTTTAGTTTTTTTTTTATCACTTCAGCCGAATTCAAATTGACTCTCATTTTTTATTGTTTATTCAGCAATGTGTCTTTTCCGCCCACTCAGCACTTTTACCGTCTATTATGAGTTCACTAGAGACTTAATTGTTTTAATGTTTTCAGGACAGAAGATGACGCTGGTTTTTCTACCGGATGCACTATGATGGCACCGAGGGACATCGGATGCATCACCTGTACCCTGCAGAGTGTCTTTTACCTTGTCACATGCTCATTTTTTAACGTAATACAGACAGAGAGGCATTTTGATCGCGATTGTTTCTTAGCTTTGTTTTTTTTACCACAGTTTACCAATTCTTTGACTTTTGATTTCGAGACAGAGTAGTTTCATTGGAATATTCCCCGACAATAGGTTAGTAGCTTTTGAGAGAACGCTAGCTAATTACTTCATTAGTAAATGATTGCATCGATCCTGAACACACGCGCAACGTCTAGATTTCGACAGAGTAATAATGGATTAGTTTTTTTTTGCCATACTGAACCCTGACTAGCATACCTATACTGTTTAGCGCATCCTTGCCACATTAATTTTTCCCCAGTAATTGCGACGAGTTTTTATTTTTTGTTTTTTTTCTCATCCTACCTCCACACATCACACACGAATTGCAGTATTTTCTTTTCCGCAAAGCATCCGACGGTTTTGGCTGGCCGTCAGGTAGGCTACGATTCGCAATCTCCACATTCGCCACCGCACCATATTCGCCATACCGCCTCAAACGCCACCTCCGACACCGCCACCTCCGCCTCCGCATCACCTACATCACTTGCCGATGGTTGGCCTTAGCTAGAGGGAGCCGCGCGGTGGGGTGGTACTGCCTCATCTCAATCATTTTCCACTCATTACTTTTTTTTATGTTTTTTTTCCTCCCCCTTTCTTTTGCTTTAGAACACGAGTAATTATCCTTCGTTTTTTTTTTCTTTTTGTGGCAGAATTTTCTTTTTTGAGCTTTGAGTTTTCACGTTAACTGCTTTTGTTAGGTTGCATTGAACAGGTTGGTTTTTTTTCTTTTTGCACAGGGTTTCCGCCTTTAGTTTTTTTTTTTCAGTGGTGTTTTGCCTCTACCACAGGACGTTCAGGTAGTTTTTTTTTCTCAGAGACAGCGTTCAGTAATTTTTTTTTCTCAGTTTTTTTTTCTTTTATACCCCCGGACATGTCACGGTGTGACATAGCGGATGAGCTTGAGTCAGGTATTAGCGCACTGTCAGCAGTACAGCGTACTGGCGGACACGGGCCTTGCAGCCAGGGCAGTCGTACACCGACCGTACAGGCAGTCGTACACAGAGTCGCGCAGCAGCCATGCACCAGTAGAGTTGCACCTCACTGAGCAGTTGGACGAGAGTGTCCGACGAGACGCCGTCACCATGGCCGTCATCCAGTGAACCCACATGGACAGTCACCTGCGAGTCACCCACACTAGCAATTCCGACCTTAACCATTGTACCGTCCGGCGCTACACAATAAATCCATCCATAGTGTTATCCAGAACTCACGTACTACCATTTCTACCTTTACACCCTGTTACGAGGTCCTCTACTACTAGCACGGTGTCACTCACAACTACACAGAGGGCCTCGTGACAATATTTTTGAAAATCCAATATGGCCGTCTGAGATACACAAGGGTTTACTAAAACTGATGCCAAATTAATTAGGGTGCAGATTTTTTAATTTTCTCGGTGGGAGGTTGGAGCTAATGAACCAGTGTATCTTTTCTTAATGGTAACCAAGTTTCTAGGTCAAAGGTCATTGACCCTGGCAAAAGGTCAAAATCTTAAGTTTTTTACCCCTTTGAGATAGGCAACCTGACAAAAAATCCGAGATAGCCAAAAGATGCGGCATGTCATTTTGCGTCAGTGTGCAAATTTTCAGAATTTTTGAACTAGCGGTTTTGAAAATATAAATGATTTTTAAATAGCGTTCCAACGACTGAAAATGGTCTCTTCGGATGAGTTAAAAATTAGAAAATGTGGTTTTTTTCATCATATTTCAAACCAATTGAGTAGGTTTTATTGTATTATAAATAGATTTGAAGGATTTGAAAAAAATTTGCAAGGAGTTTTCATCTACTTTAAGCTTTAATAGGAGTCCATTGTGGGGAGGCAAATGTGGCTCCGAGATGCGGCCCATGTTATAATATGCGAGCCCAGATTCTCACAGGACCTGATAGTGCCGGTTGTCCTTCCCAGCCGATTAAAGAGAATGAAAAATTGAATACAATTTTGGCGGAGCGGAATTTTTTACTCCCCCAAAATTCTCAGGCTTGCGGAAATTTCAAATTTTTCTAAAAATCGATTAAAAAAATTAATTACTTACAAAAGGAGAAAAATTGAATCAATTTGAATTTTTAGTTTCAGTAAATATTGAAGCAAAAAGATGAAAATCATAAGGAGCTGTGAAAAAGTGTAATCCAAGAGCTAGACTTATTAAATTAATTAAACATTTTTCAGAAAAGAGCACATTTTTGCGGGAAAAAACAAGTTTTTCAAAAAGCCGCATCGACAATTTGTTGAATTCAAGAAAAAAAAGACCAGCACCACGAATGTATACATAATTTTATACCTGAGAATCAATGCAAATTGGGCGAAAAGTGAAAGTCGCGGCAGAAAAAACTCGTCCGCTCAACCTCCGGCGCAAGACTAACCAAGCGGTCCGTATTCTGCTAAAGCGCCCACCTGCGACCTGAGCACTCAGATGGAAGGGGAATTTCATATAGACTTTATAATAAATCAAGTCGAGTTGCAACGAACGAAAAGCATGTTTCCCATCTCAGACGAACAAAAGTAAATTTGCATTCTCAAAAATTACATATTTAATATTTTTTTCCCGTAAGATTTTCTTTGTTATAAATTTTTTTATGAATTTCAAATTTATTTGTTGGATAAAAGATATAGAAAAAAAATGCAAATTTTGAATTTGGTTAGGTTTGAACTGCTTCAGCAATAAAGATCAAAATCGTGTCAATCTATTACTGATTGAAAATAAGCATTTGGAGTTGTGAAAATATATCGCTGTGAATTTAATTTTCATTAAAAACATGAAAAATTTCCAATTTCAAGGATTTGCATTATGTATTTTTGATTATAATTTTTCAAGATATCCGACAGTGGCAAAAAAATATGGTTTTTCTTGCACATGTTTTGATATTAATGTTGGTCAGAGTGATTTGTGGCGAGGAGTGAAAAAATTCTGCTCCGTGTGATTAACTTCTCTGGGATGGGAAAATTGTTTTCGAGGTCACGTTGGTTCCTGCAAAGTCTAGTGTCTTATAAGCTGTCCTAAATACAAAGCTAAAGAAACATTTCTGAAATATCTCGAGATTATGAGAAGCAGAGGCGCAGGTCGATTTGCTTTTTTTACCATAAAAAGGAAACCACATAAGTCTGAAAGTGGAGCCAAATTTGGAAATGAAAGGATAACTTTAAAAAGGTATCTTAAAGGTTTCGGAAAGGTTTAAAATCTCTCTGAATGGCTTCGGAAAGACAAGTTAAATGTTTCAGAAATGCTACGGACAGGAAAGAAATTTTACTTGAGAAATTGAGTGGAAATTTTTCTTTGAATGGTCAGGAATTATTGAAACTTTCATTTAGGCAAAATTTCATTGCAGTTTTTTTATTCCAACACATTAAATTTAAGTCCGAACTAAGCTTCGGCCGCGCATTAAATAAAGAAATATGCAGAGAGCAGTGGCGACGAATGAATGCAATGCAATTTCCACGAAAAAAAAATCTTTTACCTGAAAAACCAAAGGCACGTTTTATTCTAAACAGCCACACTTTTGACAAGGGGATCAACCGATTTGAATGAAATTCGGCAGGTTGGTTGCTCTGAGGTTTTAGACAAATATTTTTTAAGAATTTTTGAAAATTCCCAAAATTGCCTACTTTTCAGGGGTTTAAAGTTGCTGATTTTTATAAAAAAAAAAGGTGTTTTCGAAAATAAAATACATCTCATCTCCTGGTGCAAATAGCACGTATGGGTTTATTAGCAAATTTGCAGGGAATTAGACGACCTACAACTTTGCCATAGTGACCAAGGTCAAAGGTCAAATGTAAAGGTCACTTGTGTTTAGCTCTATTTTTCCAGTCGCTATTAAAAGTAGCAGGGCAATAAATTATTTTGATTCCCAATTAGCCAAAAGTTGCTCCAGTTAGAAATAAACAACATATTAAAAATTGGTGATTTGGTGACATTTAATTTTATTGTTTTTTAGATATTCCGGATCAAAGGGAAAAATATGTGGTTTTCCCGAGAATTTCATGTGTGGAAAATTCACTTTCAGCCTCTATAACGTTTTTCCTGTTCGAGTTATGACATAAAATGATTGCCTTGTTCTGTCAGACCATGTATCGCACATTGTGAACAGATCAAAAAAGGTCGTTGACCCTTGGTGACCTGTGACATTTTTTGAACTTTTATTTTCAAAAAATATATAAACCTTATACAAATCGGAAATTGTTTGCAAGTGATACGCTTATATATTTCACAACGGATTTTATTTAAAAATGGGAATATAATTTTTGTGATACAGCAGATCGCTGGTCAATTACATTCCCTCGGAAGTTCGCAAATAAAATACATATTCAAACTGCACAACCCGTCGTTCAATTTTTCGGTGGAGCCACTCGAGAAATAGACGCAGCCCTTATGTTTTTTATCGTTGCCTCTCCACAAAGTGCTGTTTCGCGGCAGCTTCGAGCCGTCGTGCCAACGAAAGTCGGATTTTTTGCCACTCCCGAAATTCTTGGCCGACAACCACCAATAAGTTCCTGAAATCAGATTGATTTCAAGAATCTTGCAACTCAAAAAACACGAATCAAATTTTTGCAAATTTTGGTTCCACTTACCATTCTTCATTTTCTTTGCTTCTGCCCAGGTCACCTTCAGGTCGGTTTCGTTCCTGATTGTGGCCAGGTGGAGGTTCATCCCCCTGCAAGTTTCGTCGGCCACACTCCAGTTCACCTTCCAAAAGCGATTTCAGTCAGATTTAGATACACAAAAAGGGTAATCACTCGCTTGAGTTGGATATGAGAAAAAATATTTCTTTCTGTTGGGCAATTGACGACTCAACGCTGAATGCGAGTCTGCAAATATTTTTCAGATGGGGTCAATTTTAATTAACTGACACTCTATATCAACTAATATAATATCTTACCTGCAATATAGCATTGGACCGACAAATTTAATTTCAAAAGCTGGAAAACCACAAATTAATTTAAATTGAAAAAGTATAATATATGTATTTTACTTTTTCTTGGCGTTCTACGAGTTGCTCCTGACTAGAGACACTTGCGTTTCCACTTCCCTTCAGCGAATCGATTACTTTGATCGCTTTCTAAAATTCAAATCAATTTTTTAAATTGCATCAATGAGATAAGAGAGAAAAAATTAATAACCACACCTGATTGAGAAATTGAGCGAACTCGGTTTTCTCCTTTGCAAAAGTGAACATCTTCTTCTCCAACTTGGCGATCCTATTTTCCGTTTTCCAAACCTCAAATTTAATTCCACGTCATTTCCCATTTATACTTGTTGCTTCTTCGAATTAATTACGCAAGAATCGCGCGTCTTCGCGAACATTTAAATTCAATTTGTTATACTTTGGAATTGAAAGCCAGTTTTCCTGTCAGGGCGATGGTGTTGTTGGTGATGGTCGGTGCCGTCTGCTGTTGCTTCAGAGCTTTCAACTCGTCCGCCACTTTGTCCACCTGTTCCCCCAAATAGTTTCAGAACTTTCTTTTTAAAATCTTGTAATTTTCTCGCAAATTTGTATTAAAAATGTAACTTAATAATTTACTTTTTCGAGCAACTGTTTGATAAGCACGTCTGAAAATCTCACTTGCGTGGTCAAAGCTTGGACTTGCTGCTGCAGCAACTCCTCAGACCAAATTGATCCATTGGACAGGACCTTTTTAAAATGCGAACACCAAATTAATAAGAAAAAAATTGCAATTTAATACAGAAATATTTTTTATCTCTACAAAAATTAGCAGGATTTCTGCAAGTGGGGAAAAGTAAAGATTTTTTTTCTTTTATAAATTACTTTTTGTTTTATTTAATTAAGAGGTATATATTAATTATATTATTGAAACTCACGTCGATTTGCTCTGCGTGGAGCTCGTTGATGGCGGCGAGGAGCCCCAGCAGCACCAAACACAAGCGACCTTTCGCCTTTTTCATCCTTTCAGAGTGAATTTGTAATTTTTTCTTTAGTAAATCTCGAGTGTTTTTATGTCACTTAAATTTTGAATGAATATAAAGCCACACTTCAATCGCAACTATAATTAAAAGTTGGCAAAAACAAGCGATATATTTTGGTTGATTTTTAAATCAATCTTAACTTGATCAGAAATTTTTTTAATATCCAAATATTATTTCTAAGTTAATATCGGTTCCGACAATTCTCTGTAATGAGACATTATAATTTAGTGAGTGGAATTTCTTGCCGCGTGGTTAATCAGACAAGAAGAATTTGAAAATTCAATTTAAATGCCAAAGGGATGCCAGTGGATGTTAAATGTATCTAAAAAAAAAAACGACTGTATAATGCTGTCCATCACTTTAATTTGACCTGGATAGTAAAAAACTTGGAATAAGTGTTACTTATTTGAAACCCCTTTTCCTGTTAAATAAACAAATACGTGTTTTGGACCCATTTAGCGAACTTACAGCGATAATATTGTGTGATTTTTCAGCGGAATATATGAGAGCGCATCAAACGTGCTGCTGTTTGAAAATGCTGAAAGCGGAAGTCGCCCCTCCGTTTAGCATCTGAAAACCATAGAGCAAAAAAGGAAAAAGACATAACGAATGCAATAAATTCTCCCTGATCAAAACGGAATTGTCAAACAAATCTGCCCCTTAAACAATAATTATAAAGCAAATAATTTCAAAAGCATAATAATTAAACAAGAGTTTAGCCAAGGATCCTGACATTTGAACAAAAAACTTCATTTTTATTTTCCCACCGCTTGCAATTCCTTTAGTAAATTCAGAAAGTTCAATAAATCGATTTTTATAGACATAAAATGAGTTGCTTGAATGTCATTCTACATCAAATAAAAATATAATCGCAACTTTTTCAGAAAGCAAGTGTGTGATTGCACCTCACATTTATTTAATTAATTTTTTCCATTTCTTCATTCCACATTGACACTCAATGTGTTTAAAAACCAGTTGTAAAAGCAATACTTGTTACTTTTATAAACTTACTTTTATTTTACTTTCTAAAGGAAATCTCAATTCTCAACCATGTTAAAAGAAGAAAATATTCTAGCGTATATTTTATTACAATTTTAATTTTTCTCTGTAATAAATTTCGAATAAATAAATTTATGTGGCATTTCCATTTCGTAAAAAGAATAATTTATGATATTCTCTCTGTCATTATTTATGACCCTGTGCTTGTCATGCAGTCACAAAACGGAAAAAGGTGAACTTCCGCTTTCAGCAGTTTCAAACGTGTCATGCGCGCTTCCATATGACGCTGAACAATCACACAACATTATCGATGCAAGCTCACTTAATTATTCCGAATACCTGGTTTGTCAACTTGTCAAGAATACGTATTTTGTAATTATACATGGGGAGGGGGGGGGGGGTTGAGAAGTTTGGATACTGATCTTGAAACATTGTTATAACAACTAAAACTCGATTGAATGACTATGATAGTTAGGTACAAAACATTATAATAATAATGTTTTGTACCTAATATATTAAAAGTTCAAAAATGAGAATATACTACATTTACATATATTTATACATATCACATGCAAATTCAAATAGAATAGTTAAAAAATTGCTTATTGATAATTTTGTCCTAATATAGTGAATAAGAAAATCTCCAAAAATTGGCTAAATATATTTCAAAAATTGGTTTTGGGCATATTTACAAGGTATGTGCTTGAGATGCGAAATTTCGATTTTGATGAAAGTTGGTGTTTAACTTCTTCTACCCTATTCTCCCCTTGGGTACTTGAGAACGGCCAGTAAAATGGTTGCCAAATTTTGTTTCTTCAATTTTTGTCAAATATAAAACCTATGTAATTTGAATTACATTGGACACTTGAAGGTATGGGCACAATATTTAAACAGAGGACGCTTTTGTCGTCCTACATATTAATAGTTTTCTAATGTATGTTAATATTCCACGGTAAATTGAGCAAAAATTAATGGCCGTTCAAAAGAGACCCTGTCCTCAAGAGTAATGCACGATGCATACAAACTTCCATCAAGATCAGCGCGTGTCTCATACTATCTTGTGAGCATTCGGTGTTACAGTTTTATCAGTTTTTTTAGGTAAATATCAAGATACCTAAAAAAAATAATGAATTAATTGAAAAAATCGCCATGAAATGTATATTTTTATATTTCAGAGAGATAATTTGTTTTAAATAATTGTAACATTATTTGAAGGCATGTCAAAAATTAATGGAAAATGTAAAAAGTATATTAGTTTAAATTTTCCTTTTTTTTGGGGTCATTTTCCTTTAAGCTAAACCAGTTTGGTACACGTTCGATGTCAAGCTTTCAATACGATGAGCAGGTCAAAATTTCAGTGCTAAGGGTGACTATTGTAAAATACTAATCATTTTTACAAACGAGAGAGTTTATTTATTTATTTAAAAAACATTGAAAAGATGGGATCTCGCTTTTGTCTGGTGCTGCCGTGGCTCTTCGCCGCCATTAACTCGCTCCACGCAGAGAAAATTAATGTGAGTTTGAAAATCTATTTTACCTCCTTGATGTTTATTAGGAAAAATAAAAATAATTTTAAGTTCATTTATTACTCTATTTTCTTTTGCTCCACTTGCGAAAGCCCAGCTGCATATTAATGAAGAAGAAAAAGACATACAATGATAAAATGTTATTTGTATAATAATCATTAGTTAGGTATGTTTGTGCTTTAAATAGGTTATGTCAAATGGGTCACTCGTGTCCGACGACTTCAAGTTGCTGCAGCAGAAACTGCAGACTTTGGCAACGCAGGCGAAACTCTCGGACGGGCTTATCAAACAGCTTCTTGAAAAAGTAAATTATTGACAAATTATTCATTAAATTATATTAAATTATAAAAAAAAAAAATCAAATTGAAAAGAAAATTATATATGGTCTTTATTGAAAACTCAATGGAGTACAACTTTCAACTTACATCTTAGAAGATAAAAATTAAGATTCACAATTTGAAAAGAAAATTAAAAGATTAAAATAAAATATTAAAATTATTTGAGTGAAAAAAGATGGACAAAGTGGCAGACGCGTTGAAGGCCCTGAAGCAAGAGCCGACGGCGGCGATCAACATGACTAATGACAACACCGATCTTGATTGCGATTCCAAAGTATTACCAGATATAAATTTTCGTTTGTTATAATTTTAAGAGCAGCAAAAAGAAGAAATAAAAATAAAAACAAAATTTGAGGTTTCGCAAAAGGAAGTGAGGATTCAGCAGTTGGAGAAGCAGGTGTCCACTTTGGCAAACCAGAGCAAGGATTTGATGTTGAAATATGGCCACGGGGTATTATTTTATTATTTTATTATGCGACACGATCTTACCACCTTCTTCTCCGTCCTATGGAAGAAGATTGTAAATAAATATTCATTTGAATTTTTAAAGGTAGTCGAAGAAAACGAGTCACTGGAAGGGACAAGTGGAAACGCACGTGATGTTGCCCAGGAGCAGCTCATAGCACGCCAAGAAAGGGTAAAATATTCACTTTTTAAAATCATGGGAGATTTCAAAATTTCAAAACACGTGGAATTGCATGCGAGCAAAAAATACAGGAATTCAGATGAAAACTTTTTTTTCCCATTTCATGTAACGCTTATGAACTAGTAAAAATAATGATTTTTTTTTAAAGCAAGAAGTCTTTTATGTCAGCGAATTATGTGGCCTAAGCCAATATTTTGTGCGTAGCCATTTTTGAAATTCGATTTATACCCCTCTTTTGCATTTATACATATTATATGCTGTGAGCATGTAATTTTGTGAAAAAGTTTCCTCACTTTTTGTACTTTTATCTGCAACATGTGGCTGGAAAGATATTTTACCCTGAATCAGTCTTTGCTGAACTAAATACAAATCAAAATCAGTTAAAATTTTGTTGGTAAATTTTTCCGATAATTTGCCAGTTAAATAGTTAAAGGTGTTAATATTGTATAAGTGCAGAAATTCGAAAGCATGCATGAGTAATGAGTGATTATTTCAGCGCTCTGCGTTAATGCTGCATACTGAGCGCTGCATTTACTTTTGTTAAATTGCTAACAAATCTAGGTTGCGCTGGATGATATTATATGATAATTTACTCATAATTAGTCGTGTACCCAATGAAGAAATTAAAGCCAAGTCCGAAGACTTATCGACTGGTGCTTATTGCAAATGTTGAATAATGCAACGGTTATAACATACATTTGTACTCTAACGGTATTTATTCATATTTAATTGTATTTATATTGAGGTGAACAGGATTAACCGATTTTTCGAGCATAATCATCACGTCCAAAACAGGTTTCTTTATTCATGAAATTGGGCATTTCAGTTTTGGGATTTCAAAATATCGGTCAACTGCACACTCGCAGGTATTATTTTAATCACACAAGCAAGAGGAAGTAAAACGATAAAAAAAATTGATCGCCATTGAAAAAGTCTATTCTAAAATTTGCAGGTTGGCATTCATCAAAATTGATGCGATTGTCCAATGGAAAGAAATACTTCTTTTCCAATCAAATATTAGATGTGTGTGATTTCCTTTGTTTGCATTACCCCCAGAAATATTTTATTTTATGCAGAGAAACTGGACTTCTGCAAATGAACATTGCAAGGGAATGGGCCTCCACCTGGCCACAATCAGGGACAAAGCGGACCTAGACGCGATCTCAGCAGAAGCAGTGAAAAGGAGCAATAGTAAGAAAGGAGAAGGAATCGTGTCTTCTAAAGATACAATCTCCTGAAAATCAATCTGATTAGATCTGCGCAATTGCAGACTCTAATTGGTGGTTGTCGGGCAAGAGTTACAGAGATGATATCAAAAAAGGCTACTATATCTGGCACGACGGCTCAGAGTTTGAGCCAAACAGCACTTGGTTTATAGAAAATGATGACAAATATTATGATTGCGTCATGGTCGACCCTATGTTTGTTAGCCTTCTGCCCTTCTTGTGCAGTGGGGATATGTATTTTATTTGTGAATTTCCAAGCGAATGTTTGTAAGCAGCAATTTTTAGCTTTGGCATAATTGCCATCGCATTTTTTCCGGGTTTTTGTCACCGATTTTCGCCTTATTGCTTTTTATAAATCCAGTTTATTGAGAGAGTTATCAACAGTTGTACATGATTATAGATTATAAGTTGCTATAACATGAAACATTTATTTACACTGTTCTAATAATTGTGACATATTTTTCCACTGTAATTTTAACTTAATTAATTTCTTAATTACAATGCAAATAAATTATATTTATCTCCCTGGCTATTTTTTTTTACTTCTGTCAAGAGATCTCACAGCAAAACAATATATTTAGGTGGACCGTATAGTTTTTCATTTATAATTTTTGAATATTTGGATGATGTATCTCGAGAGGCAGAGATTGCCTTGTGGTACTCCAATAAACTTAATTGCAACTGTAATGCTATAAATAAATGGAGTTGATTGATGTTCTTTTTCGTTTTATTCTCATATACGCTCATATAGTTGGTTGTGGCGCTGGTGCCAACTTATTATGTACATAATAGTAGTAATAGTACCATTATCATATAGTGCTAGAGCTGTCAAAGTTATAGCTGGCTACAGATAGCTATTAAGTTATTGCACGCCACCAAAATATTGGGAAAAAAAATATGCCAACCAACACGAGAAAATACACTAAAATTCTACTAAAGAAAAAAACATTATGCTTAATTGATAGAAAAAATCGACTGGACTTACCAAGTATCCAAGTCGGCACCGTCTTCAAAAATTTCATCTCTAATAAACAACTCCATTTTTGAGTTTTTCACAAAAGTTAAATATTTGAAATATTTTTTCTTTTGTGTGATTTTGATTTTGAAAATCATGGCATCAATCATGGCACTTGGAAATATCAAATAATGTTATATTCAGATAGCCAAATTTTTCAGTGCCGTTTTCGCTGTCCACGCATGCAACTCAATTGCCTAACAAATAGAAAAAAAACCAAGATGCATTCCTTGAACGGTTCGACCCAGTGGGCCGCAGTCCAGGGCCCACAATTTTTGGAGAGAAAAAGGTGGCAAAAGTATATTTTTTTTTGTGTCGTTCACTTCGTTCGTCGCTCAAAATTGAGTTAGGGAGCAATCAAAGTCACTTTTTATCATTTAAATTGTGTATGATTATTAATTGTTCTCGGTCAATCCAAGGGCCCCTAAATTACCGCTTTTTGGACTGATTCGAGGGCACATCACAGCCGCCTTCACGATCCGACACAAGCGGCGCAATTCGGTAGCTCAATGGTTAAAAGGTATAAAAAAAAGATAAAAACTGTGTGTGTGGTTTTTGTTTGTTTATTTGCTAATTTTTTTGCTCACCAGAGCTCATAGGACGAGGCTGGAGAAATGAGGAAATGGAGAATTTTATTATGCTTTTCAGACTTCATTTTTTAATTGCCATCTTTTGTTTTTCATTAAAAATTCGCCTTTATTTACTTTTAACAAATTAGAAACTACTCTACATGAGAAAATTTATTCACAGTATAACTTATAGATTTATAACGATTATAATATGTTATAGAGGCTATAGTTATAATTATCAATCAGTACTAATAATATAAATTAAGATTTGATACTACTATTTTTCCAATGAAACTAAATAAAATTTGTTTGCAGAAGATTTGCTAGCTCGCAATAAAAAACCCTGTGAACAGGAAAACTGAAAAATACTCTTAGCCAACATTTCAAATTGATTTAGTGCTTTTTGCGTTTCTATCTCTGTAATTAACTTGCGTAAACAAAAACGCAAGTTCACGATTTTTAATTTGCCTTTGCGACGCAGATGACAAAAAATGAGACAATATTCAATCGAAATTTCTAAAAGTTTTAGGAAAAAATTGACTTAATTGATTATACACGATTCTTTTAACTATTTCTTTGAAAATTGGGGATTTTGTTTAAAAATGAGAATATTATTATTATAATTGCACGCGCGTGGTTCCTATTTAAGGGAAAATCGCAGGTCAGTAACACTCGCTCGGAAGTTCACAAATAAAATACATATTCAAACTGCATGAACCGTCGTTCAAGTTTTGGGTGCCGCCATTCGAAGAATACACGCAGCCCTTGAGTTTTTTAGCATTTTCCCTCCACAGGTTGCTCATTAGTGGCAGCTTTGAGCCGTCGTGCCAGCGGAAGTCGGATTTTTTGCCACTTCCGTAATTCTTGGCCGACAACCACCAATAAACCGCTGAAATCAGATTAATTTTTAGAGAGTTGCGACTCAAAACAACAATCATTCAAGTTCAGATTCTATTATCAAACTGCAATCTTACGATAGGAAAATGAAGATTGAAAGCGTGACCAGGTCTCATCCAGGTCGGCTTGGTCCCTGATTGTGGCCAGGTGAAGGCCCATCCCCTTGCAATATTCATCGGCAAAAGTCCAGTTTCCCTAAAGACCATTAGCGTTTTCAAATGCAAAGAAAGGAAATCACTCACTTGAATTGGATCAGAAAAGAAATATTTCTTTCCGTTGGACAACCGCGTCAAATTTTCTGATTGTGCGCCTTCAAATATTTTGAAAAAGACTTTTAGCTGGGGTCAATTTGTCATTTTCCAGCACTTCTCTGGATTACAAAAAATCTTACCTGCGAGGGAGCATTTCACCGTAAAGTTGAATTTAAAAAACTGGAAATTAAATTGGTTAGAGATGAGCGCATTTTCATTAGCAAATTCTTAATAAGGTTTTGCTCGAGCAACAAAAGTTGTTTGAATTTCTTTTAGACGCTTTAAAATTAACTTGAACATGACGTTCCGCGCGAATACACAATAATTTTTTTTTTTAACTGAGCAATGGAGCTTGGTTAGTGCGTTCGTCAGATATTTTCTGTGTGCAAATTTCAATATAATTGTTTTAATTAGTAATTTTCGCTGGTTTCAAAATTGTAATTTGATAATACTCAATTAGTAACAAAACTATTTCACTTTTTCTTGGCGTGTTCCGAGTTGCTCCTGACAGACAGTACTTGCGTTTCCACTTTTTCCTTTCAGCGAGTCGATTACTTCAATTGCCTTCATAAATTCAAATCAATAATTGAAACTTCATGGATTGGATTGGAGTTTAACCTGACGTAGCATTTTTGCCAATTCGGTTTTCTCCCTTGCAAAAGTAGACACTTGCTGCTCCAACTGCTCGATCCTGTTATCCGTTTTCGAAACCTCTCAAGTTAAATGCCATGTTAATTTCAACCTTTCGCTGCTCGTTTAAATTTATTCCATGATTTATGAATCACGTGCATTTGTGAACAAAAATTTCAAATTTATTTGTTTACTTTGGAAACGTTTGCCTGTTTTTCTGACAGGGTGAGTGCGTCGTCGTTGATGTGGTTTGCCGCAGACCACTGTTGCTTCATTGCCTTCAACTCCTCCACTGCGTTGTCCACCTTTTTCATGAAAAGAATATTATTATTTTTACGAAATCCCAACGTGTCTGCCAATTCCTCAGCCTTTGCATTAAAAATGTATACAACAATTTACTTTTTCGAGCAGCTGTTTGATAAGCACGTCTGAAAGTCTTGCCTGTGTAGTCAGAGTCTGGACTTGTTGCTGCAGCAACTTGAAATCGTCGGTCACGATTAGAATTGACCCATTTGAAGGCGAACTCCAAAATAGCAGTTTGTGGCAGAAATTTTATTTATTATTCATAAGATTTAGTAAGATTTCCGACAGTGGGTAAAAATGTAAATAATTTAATTTATATCTTGTATTTTTTTATTAATTTAAAAGAGGGCTGTATATAATTGATATTGAATCTCACGTCAATTTGATCTGCATAGAGCTCGCTGATGGCGGCGAGGAGCCACATCTGCACCAAACACAAGCGACCTTTTGTCTTTTTCATCCTTTCAGAGTGAAAAAGCTATTCTCTAATTCGCCAAATCTCGCGTCTTTTGTATCAGGTCACGCAAGTCGCCCTCGACATAATTACGAATAATGACATAGGAACCAGTTAGCGGACTTAAAGCAATAAAGTTGGGTGCTTGTTGAGCGTCATATGAATAAGCACATCACATGCGCGGCAGTTTGAAACTGCTGCTTGCGGAAGTCACTTTTTCGTTTTGTGACATACCGCAAAAAAGGAAAACACTTCATGTTATAAATTTTGTCTCTTTATAACAAAATAAAATACAGATATATATTTCTTCTCAGCAAAAGCAAGCGTAAAAAGAAATTAAATAAGCGCACATCAAGTGTTTCTGCAAAAGATAATTAAACAATTCTGAACTCACGTTTGGAAAAAAAAACTTCTTTTCTTTTTCCACTTCTTGAAATATATTTAGTAAAAACGGAGATTGAAATAAATATACATCCTGTTTCTATAGTTGGGAAAATGTGAACAGCCTTTTTATATGGTATCAAAATATTCAACTTTTTGTCTGTATTTTCAATAAAGTACTAAATGTTTAGTCAATTAATAAGTAAATTAATTAATTTTAGATCCATCCATATTTTTTCGGTCCATGAAGATTATTGACAAAATAATCAAAAACATAAACATTTTTATTTTAGCAACTAAACCTGTAAAACTGTATTTTTTGATCAACTTGGTAGCAAATTAAATATCCACGGAAAATTAGATGAACAGCTTGATTCAGGAGTAATATAATATAGAAGTGAAAACTGAGAAATCGTTTGAAAGGGCGCAGCATATCTAATAAACTGCGTGTAGAAGGACAAAAATAAAATTCCCCTCCAGTTTTCAGTAAATGACTATTTTTAATTTTTTATTGCAAACACCTTTTCTTTGCTTTTTTAAAATTCTATGTAATATTTAATATTTTCTTTCATCAATGGTTCGTCATAAATTGTGAGGGAAATATTTTTTTTGACGAAAGAGCAATTTTTATTCTGGACATAATTATTTATCGCCCAGTGCTCGTCGGTCACAAAACGGAAAAAGAGGAACTTCCGCTCTCAGCATTTTCAAACACGCGCTTTCGTATGACGCTGAACAATCCCACAACATTACCGCTGTAAGCCTGCTTAATTAGTTCAAATTTACCTGGTTTATCAACTAGTAAAGGACTGGATTACTTGGCAAGTCAGCATTCACTGGTTCCGAATATCTATTTTTAAAGTTGAGACAATTTGAGTAACTATAATTTTTGAAGATTTATATTAGTAATCGCGTTAAATAACGATTATATTTGATGGAACAAAAATATAATAATGGAATAAATAATATAATATTTTTATGAATTATTTAATACACAGAAACTGCATTTCAAAGTTAAAAAAGAAGAATATTTGATTGATATAAAGACGTATAGCAAAATCGAAAAAGCAAAAGTTTTAAAGTTATGAAAACAATGTTCTTAATTTTAAGTTTCGGATTGATCACGTGATGAACAGCGTTTTGTTGCAAAAAAAAAAAAAAAAAACATTTCACACGCCAGCAATGAAAGTAGCTATTTTATGTAATTCACAGTTCTTGACAATTCTCAGAACAATAATTTTGGTAATTTTGAAACTGAGTTAGAAAAAAAAAACAAAAAAGTTTTAATTTGATTTGAAAAATAACTAATTTATATCAGCATGTCAATTTTTAAATATGTTGCGCGAAAAAAGTGTAGCTTTATATTCGATTATCGAAAACTTAAGTATTTCAAGGGTGTGGCATGTAGCACGAAATTTGGCAAACAAAAAAATTACTTGTTCACTGTGAAAGGATGAAAAAGATGAGAGGTCGCTTGAGTTTGGTGCTGCTGGGGCTCCTCGCCGCCATCAACACTATCCATGCAGCGCTAATTAATGTGAGTTTAAAGTTTTTAAGTCGCCACTTTTTAAATAAATTTAAGAATGAATATATCTCAGCAAAATTACCTGAATCAGTCTACGCCAGATTAGCCTAGCGAGAAACTACTTATAAAAGTAAAATTTATAAAAACTTATTTAATTTTATTCACATTTCACCATTTTTCCCGCTGCGGAGAGCTTAAAAAGAATATTTCATGAAAAAAATTAAAATTGCGAATTTATTACATATTAATTAATCCCCTTATTATATGGTTTATAAAAAGGTTATTATGTCGAATGATTCATTTGGGTCCATCGATCTCAAATTGCTACATGAGCAAGTCCAGACTCTGACGACGCAGGCGAGACTTTCAGACGCTCTTCTCAAACCGCTGCTTGAAACAGTAAATTGTGAAATTTTTATTAAAAACAATCAATTGCGAGATAGCTAAGAATTAAAAAAGTAATCAAACCTATTGGATTTAAAAAGGTGGACAAAGTGGCGGACGAGTTGAAGGCCTTGAATCAAGAGCCGACGGCGGCGAGCAACACCAACGACACCATCAACCTTGATTGCGAAGTATACCAATTTAAAAATTTCCGCAAAAGCACTTGATTGTAGTAGTAGTTTTTGTGGAAAATGTTAAGAGCATCAAATTGTAGGAAATGTAATAAAATTTAATTTGAGGTTTGGAAAAATGAAGATTTGATCGACCACATACAGCAGAGGATTTCCACTTTGGAAAACGAGAAAATCAATTTATTATTGAATTTGCTCCAACTGGTAAAAACTAATTTTCTACACGTTTTCAATTTCACCACTTTTGACTCTGTCAGTCGAAAAAGTTTATAGTTTATAAATTTTTTAAAGACATACGAAGAAAACGAGTCGCTGTATGGAAAATATCGAAATGCAAGTCGGCAGCAGCTCTTGAAACGTCAAGGAAAAGTAAAATACTTTTTTCTCAGTTGGTTTCTTTTTTCTTCTGAATTTTCAAATATATACATTTATACAATGTGGTCACTAAGCACATCGCGAACTCTCATTGGCTGCCATGGGCAAACCACATTTTTCAAAACCTGACAGATTCGGAAAGCAAAAAATTAGCTTTGCAATGAACTGGCACAATTAGAACCTCCCCAAAGGCACCTCTTCTTCTCCAACTGTTTTTCCGCAATCACCGACTTCCCCTTCACCTATTCTGCATACATTCTGAATGTGCCAGGCAAAAACTTATGACGCTAGGGTTTTGAGAATGACTATTTTTCTTTAATAAAAGCAAGAAAGAACAATTTTTTTAACCGAAAATAATTGTTCTCAAAATTCGTTTTTTAATTTAAATATATATTGGTTTTCCAGTTTTGGGAATTCCAAATTTCAGTCAACTGCACACTTGCTGGTAAACAAGAGAATCTCGAAAACAAGAATAAAAAAATTTCCTTTTACAGAACAACTTTTAATTTAAAAAAATTTACAGATCGTCATGCTCCAAAATTGATGCAATTGTCCAACGGAAAAAAATATTTCTTTTCCTATCCAGCAGTTTATGCGAGTCATTTCACTTCTATTAGCATTTACCTCTGAGCAGATAATTTTCGTCACAGGGAAATTGGAGTGAGGCCGACGAAAAGTGCAAGGGGATGGGCCTTCACCTGGCCACAATCAGGGATGAAGTCGACCTGAACTCGATTAGATTAGAAGCGATGAAAAAGAAAAAAAGTATCAAACAAATCGATATTACAGAATTCTTGATGGAGGCACGACTGAATAAAAATTAATCTGATTTCAGATTTCGGTTGGTGGTGGTTGTCAGCAAAGAATTATGGAAATTCCATTAGAACACACTTTCTCTGGCTCGACGGCTCAGAGTTGGAGGAAAGCAGCGCCTTGTGGAGTGCGAATGCCGACAAAAAGGAGTGCGTCTCTTTCATCGCCGACCCTAACAAAAAGCTGCAGGGTTCGCCTTGCACTTTAAAAGCGTTTTTTATTTGCGAGTATCCGGCCGAATGTTCCTGCTCCAAGAAAAGTGACTAAATATAAAAATGATATTCTGATTTGATCAACATACTCCAACTAGTATCATTTAGCAAGCCTCCCCCTTTGAAATGAACATGTTCTGCTATGTTACGACCTTTTATTTATTTCTTATTTCACACTTATTTGGTAGTCGAGAGTGTGGTGCGCGTTAGAGCAGGTTTAATTAGTATTAATTATTTATCAATAATTGTGATTAGCGCCGGCGCCGACTAGTAGTTAGGCGCCGGAATAAAGAACTAAGAGCTCGCGCAGTGACGACTGCAGCGCTCCGTTCTGTATCGATTGTGCTAAAATAAAGTATCACTCGCTCGAGACCTTTATAGTAACAAGACGTGTTATAACTTTCTCGATTCAGCCCAGAGAAGGCAAAAGCCTCGCGCGAACTATTAGACGAATTAAAATCTAAAGGTATCATTGAAGCCTCTGACAGCCCTTACGCCTCGCGAATTACAATGGTTAAAAAGAAAGACGGTAACTGGAGATTGTGTGGTGACTATAGGTCACTCAACGCTAGAACAATACCTGACAGGTACCCTTTACCTTATTTAACCGATTTCACACACAATTTGCATGGTTGTAAATTTTTCTCAACTCTAGATCTTGTCAAAGCCTATCATCAAATTCCAGTTCATTTCGCAGACATTCCGAAAACTGCAATTTTGACTCCTGCAGGCTTGGTGGCTTACAAATACATGCCATTTGGTCTAAGAAATGCTGCTCAGACGCTCCAACGATTCCTAGACGAAGTTCTAAGAGGACCACCTTTTGTTTTCGTTTACCTAGACGATTTGCTCATAGCATCGCGCACACGTGAAGAACATTTTGAACATTTGCGAATTCTACTTCAAAGGTTAGATGATTACGGAATCATAATTAACCCGGAAAAATGCGTCTTTGGCGCTAGCGAAGTAAAATTTCTCGGATTTTCTGTTTCTCAAGACGGACTCAAGCCTCTTGAAAATAAAATCACCGCAATTAAAAACTTTGTTCTGCCCCAAAATTTGCAACAACTGCGAAGATTTCTTGGTTTGCTAAATTTCTATCGTTGTTTCTTGAAGAACGCGGCAGAAGTTCTAGCACCAATGAATCAACTCCTCTCTGGACCAAAGAAGCCGCTAAAATCTCCAATCAATTGGACTGATGATACGAAAAATTCTTTCAACCTCGCGAAAACTCTTTTAGCAAACGCTACTCTGTTGTGTCACCCGGTACAAAACGCGAAACTGTCAATTGTTTGTGACGCCTCCCTGCATGCAATGGGCGGCGTACTTCAGCAACTCACAGATGGAATATGGCAACCTTTAGGTTTCTACTCCAAACACTTTTGTCCCGCGCAAAAGAAGTACAGCGCGTACGATCGCGAACTTCTCGCAATTTTTGCCACGATTAAATATTTCAGGCACATGCTCGAAGGACGAACCTTCACAATTTACACGGACCATAAACCATGCGTTCAGTAAAAATCGCGATACTTTGTCCCCCAGACAATTTAGACAGCTCGATTTTATCAGTCAATTCTCGACTGACGTCCGACATATTTCTGGCCAATCAAATATTGTCGCGGACACACTCAGCAGACCTGATTGTGATGCAATCACTGCTACAAACATTGTTGATTACGCTGCTTTAGCACGCGAACAGCAATCAAATGAAGAACTTTTGATACTGCTAAACTCTAGCACAACTTCACTTAAATTGGTTCCACAGAGAATAGCTAACTCTGAGGATTCACTTTATTGTGATGTTTCATACAAAAACCCAAGACCTTTTGTCACTGCATCATTTCGCAGACAAATTTTTGACAAAATGCATTCCCTATCTCATCCAGGCATAAAAGGAACAGTCAGACTAATTAGTCAAAGATTCATATGGCCTTTCATGAAACGAGATATTAAAAATTTGGGAAAATGTTGTCCTGATTGCCAACCAAGCAAAATCACAAGACACGTAAAAACACCTTTATCAACTTTTGACTTGCCAACAGAACGATTTTCAGTCTTACATGCTGATGTTGTTGGCCCACTCAAACCTTCACATGGTTACAAATTCTTACTCACTATTATAGATCGCTCTACGCGATGGTTTCAAGTTCACCCAATGCGTGATAGTGAAGCTCCAACCATAATCAATAAACTCTATGAAAATTGGATTTGCTGTCATGGCGTTCCTCGCATAATAATCACTGATCAAGGACGCCAATTTGAATCTTATAACTTCAAAGATTTTGGTAAATTAATGGGAATAGATTTAAAAAGGACTACCGCCTACCACCCTCAATGCAACGGTATGGTAGAGCGCCTACATCGCGATTTGAAAGCTTCTCTTATGTGTCACAACAATTCCGCTTGGCGCGAAGTTTTGCCTACAGTTTTACTTGGCCTTCGCGCACAATATAGAGAGGATTTGCAAGCTTCTCCAGCTGAATTGGCATTTTGCCAACCTTTAAAACTACCTGGTGAATATATGGTTCACTCAGACCCTTCTGAACCTTCTGCAACTCCTTTAATCCAAGCAATCCGCGACCATATTTCAAATTTCCGACCCATTCCTGCTTCTCGTCATTGTCAACCAAATAGTTTTGTTTTCAAGGATTTGGCAACTTCAAAGAACGTGTATGTAAGAGACGATACTGTACGTCCACCCTTACGATGGTCCATACCCAGTTCTAGGTCAAACTGACAAAACTATGACAATTTTGAAATATAATAAACATATTGTCGTATCTAAAGATAGAATTAAACCCCATTATTCACTCTCTAATGAGAATAATACTAAAACTAACACCTCTTCTTGCAATTTGAGTGTTCCAGTTGATGTACAACCACCTCTAACACCAGACGCACAAGTGGTCCAGTCACAACGACCCATGCTGTGAGAGATCTTATGACAGCAGAGGTAAAATAACAAATAACCAGAGATAAAATCAGATAATTTGCATTTTTATAAGCAACAACAATTTTCCAATTCAAGTGCTATAGAATTAGAATATATACAATTGCAATAACTATTAAATATTTTAAAGATAATTAAAAATTCATATAAAATACCTATAAAATTAAACAATGCATAAGGGGCGTGGAAATAGTGATGAAAATCCAACATATTATAATTGCATGTTTGCCGATTTTTAGCAATCCAAACCGCTCTGCTTATGAACATTCGCTCGGAATTTCGCAAATAAAATGCGCGTCTGAACTGCATTTACAGCCAGCCATTTTTGTTGACAATCCTACGCTGAGGCAGAGGCAATCAAGCTCGTCGGCTTTTACCCAATATAGGATGTCAATGTCATCCCTTTTGACAATTGAGCCGTCGTGATATAGAAAAACCCATCTACCATATTTCTTGGCCGACAATCTCCAAAAAGTACCTGCAATGGAATTCAATTTTTAAGAGGGCGTGACTCAAAGTAAATCATTATGAATTCATATTTTCAAATCAATTTATTATATACCGTTCTTCCGTTTAATAGCTTCATCCAAGGTCGCGTCCAAGTCGGCTTCGTCCCTGATTGTGGCCAGGTGAAAACCCATCCCCTTGCACTTTTCGTCCGCCTCAGTCCAGTTTGCCTGCAAACAATATCAGAGAAAAATGCCAAACGACGTAAATCACTCACTACAGTTTGATTAGAAAAAAAATATTTTTTTCCGTTGGCCAACTGCTTCAATTTTGGGGAATGCAAACCTGAAAATTTTTATTTGAAAAGTTGGGTCCCATTTTTATTTATCACGTTACTTGTCTTAAAATAAAACTTACCTGCAAGTGTGCAGTTGACTGAAATTTTAAATTCCCAAAACTGGAAACCAAAGTTATCTCAATTAAGAAATGAACATTTTTATCAAATTTAATAAAAATCTTATTTTACATGATATGGCGGTTTTGCTCAAAAGGTTTGACCATGTTTTTGTATGTAAAATTATTTTCATCTTTCAACTTTAATAAAAACAAATGATGTGGAATCAATATCATTTTGCAGTGTTTATATTTAGATAAATATCAAGTGTTTCAATAAAATTGGTTTATTTGAAATTCCATTTAATGACTTGAAGGAGCTAGCACTGAAAAACTCGATTCAATTCCATTTTGTGTACCAGATGATGCATTTAAGACACGGCATAATTATATCCATGCATTACACAATAAAATTCAAAGTTTTTGAATTACATACGGAAAAATTTTACCTGAATTCTAATTTTCAGAGATTTACTAAGGAAACAAATTTACAGCCCTTATAAAAGGTTTTTTGCTACAATTATTTTGTTTCACCTCTGGGAGGATTCAGCACTTAAAAAAAATATATATATATAATAAAATTCTGGGCTTGCATCACCTAGCTACAGTAAAATAAAAAATTTAGGAAACATTTTCAAATATACACGCATTTACAGATATGAGATGATACAGAAAATAAGTCAAAATGGGCATTCAAATCACTGAATTTTCAAATGTTTTATAGAGGATGAAATGGGATGCATCGCGTGTGTATAAATTTCTTATTACAAAAATTCAATAATTCTTTTATAATTTCATATTTACAAAAGAACTATTCTTCAAAATTTAAATTTAAAGTTCAAAAACTATGTTACTGTTTCTTGGCATGCTACGGCAAGCTGCCTATCGGCTATTTTACCGCCTATCAGCCAAAGGTCGTATACGTCTGTCTGTAAAAATTATTAATATTATTTTACTTCTTCGTCGATCAGACGGTCTTATAAAAGTGGTGAGACTGAAATTACTTCTATTACCTTTTGGAAAATTTTTTCCCTTATTTTTGAAATTTCCTCATTCAAAGTATTTTCCTGAAGGTTTAACTGATCAACCTTCTCTTCCATTAGCGAAACCTCAAATTTAATTAAAATTTATTTCAGCTACTACTCGCAGCTCTTTAAATAAAAAAAAAAATAATAATAATAATGAAGACAAATCAAGATGTGTTTGAAAAGAAAAAAATAAAAATTATACTTTGGAATTGCAATCTTCCAGGTCGATGGCGTCATCGGTGTTGGGCACCGCTGTCCGTTGTTGCTTCAGGGTCGTTACCTCGTCCGCCATTTTGTACATCTATTAATGAAAAATTTTCAAATTCTCCGCATATATTAGGACTTTTGAACTAAATATGAAACACTTTACTTTTTCGAGCAGCTGTTTGATAAGCACGTCTGAAAGTTTTGCCTGCGTGGTCAGAGCTTGGATTTGCTGCTGCAGCAATTTATAATCGTCGGACCCAATTAAACCATTTGACACAACCTTTTTAAAACACACATCATAATAATGATTACAAAATTTTAATTTGATTCAGAACTCTTCCTTCCACAAAGTTATGATATGTTTTTGGGTTGTTACTTGAAGAAAAAATTTAAATATAAAATGATTTTTTTAATACTTTTGTTTCTGTAGCTAATTGTTACAATAATTGGACGTAAAAGGGGAAATGAAAATTAAAACTCACGTCAATTTGCGCTGCATGGGGCGCATTGATGGCTGCAAGGAGGCCCAGTAGCACAAAACACAATCGCCCTCTCACCTTTTTCATTCTTTCAGAGTGACGAAACAATTTTCTCGTTTGCCAAATTTCAGGTACTTTATATATCAGACAGTGAAAGTCACCATTAATTGACCTATTTGCTAAAAGTAAAAGCTATTATACGATTGATTGAACGAAAAGATATTTCAAGTGATGCAAATTGTAAGCGCGAGTAATAATTTATATAAGTTGTAAAAATGCAAGTAGCGTTTTCCTTACTATTTTCTCATGTTTCAACTTTGAATTATGGTTTATTTTCATAATAATGTACTTATTCAATTCGAGTTCAAGTTGGACTGAATAATAACAATTTTTTAAATAAAACGTTTTACTTATTCTTAACCGTTTTAAAAATATTATAATTAGACATATTGCATGCTGACCTCACGAACTGCCTAGTACTTGGCCCTTTGCGCGTTGACCAACCAGGTGTTTGGATCAATCAAGAGGTTCCAGCACTTCCAGCGATAATGTTGTTCAGCCGGTCTGTGAAAGCGGCCGTTTCAAACTGCTGCTAGCGGAAGTCGCTCTTCCGTTTTAAGTGCGATTTTCCTTTTACGCAGTTACGACCTAGCTCGTCTGCGTATCTACAAAATCTATGGGCACCAGGGCACCGTCCATTGGCCTTGCAATCGCATAAAAAAATTCGTCTCGCGCTCGCAGATCTCTCTATTTTTGCAGCAGTAAAATTTAATTGTGCTTCACATAAATCCCATAATTTGGCATGACCCTAAAAAGAAAATAGCGAACCCATTACACGTTGTTACAAATGGTTAATAAGAATTTGAATATTGAATTACGAAATTTTTTTTGCTAGATACTTTTTGAAAGGGTATAAACGTTTCTTTCGAGTGGATGCGAGCTTTTTTGCGAGTTTTGACTGTAGGGTTTGTGACGATTTGTTTGGAAGTGATTGAAGAGGCTTCAGACTTTATTGACGGTTTTTCCAATGAAAGTTTGACTTTTGCTGTCATCATATTATTATTGTGTTCAAGACTCCAGACTGCACTAGGATTTCTGCAAATTGTGTTTCTTAGGAAGAAATTTTGAATATAGGAATAATACGCCAGTGAAAAATTTTCTACCAGCAAATAAAAAAAGGAACATGAGCATCACAAATTTTAATTATGCTTTACATCCCCCCGCCGCAGCAGCAAAAACTGCTCTCCATCAAGCAGCAGCTAACAAGGTATGCTATTGAGATGACGCACCCCGATTTCAATGAAAATTGGTGTACAACTTCTACTACCCATTGGTACCACAGAACGGCCATTAATTTTTGCCCAATTTTCCTTGTTTAATTTTTGCCATTTCAACTCCATGTAATTTGAATTACATTGGAGAAATCAGATGTAGGCAACTTATATACACAGAGGACGCTTTTGTTGCCTACATCTGATCGTTTTTAACATGCGTTTTAATGGAAACTACCCTCCCTTGTGAAATTGGGCAACTCTTGATAGCCATTCCAGAACACCCAAGGGCAGTGCAAGTTGCATACCAACTTTCATCAGAATCGGCGTGTGCCATCTCAATAAAGATACAATGACCTGCGACCTGCTCTTTTTTAAAAAGTGCGGCACCACCGACTACAATGCGAAGGCGCGCATCACCGAAGGGAGAATTCTCCGAGGCGACGACCCAAAGTACCCACGCCTCCAACAGCCTTCTGCGCGCACCGACCTTGCCTTCGACAGTTTTACATTTCGCGTTGTTAAACCCTGGAACGACCTGCCACCCGCCTTAAAAGACTGTCCTGTTCAACAATTTTCCCCCCTGTGCAAAAATCTCGTGTGGCAGCAGCAATTTTAGTGATTAATTTTTTTTTTGTGATAAGTGTAAATTAGCTTGCGGCCCATCTCGGCGCAGACCTCTTTTGAGGTAAGGACTCTATTTTGAGGCTCCGCGTTTTAGCAACCTGTTTGCCAGAGGTGTTGCCGTTTCTTCACATTTTGTAATCTTTTTCTTTTCATGACTTGATTTGTGAAGAATAAACAATAATAATAACACCAGCTCACGATGAGTTCACATTTTACAGAGTTCAAATGAAATCGTACCGAACGCTCTACGAGTGAGTTGTTGAATATTTTGTATTATTTCCGAATTGATAATTTTGTCACATTACACTTTCTACATACAATTAGCCCCACCTACTAACCACACACAGTTCAACTACAATTAATCTGCAAATACAAATTTCTAATTATTTTTGGATTGACTCGTTTTTGCAATTAAAATCCGTTTGAATATTAAAATTAAGAAAATATTCTTCTCTTTTGCAATTCGATTTCTTTAATTTGAAATTTACTTCTTGTGCATCTTTTCTGAGTTTGAGAGCTATTTTCTGAGCAGTTAATTTAGACTACTGGATAAGCAGAACCCACATATTGGATCTGAATCAAAAAGTAAACCTGAGTGTTAATAAAATAGAGTTGTTTCCACCCCATTTGCGTTTCCTCTCGTTGGAATAAATCACTTAAAAAACTCGTTAAACAGGATCTAATCCTTTTTTAGGAAAATAATGTAATACCCAAAAACCATCATGGCGTTCAGGGTTAAAAGGTCGTGCCTTGCCTAACCCAGCATAAGGCTGATTTAAAAAGCACTCGACTTATGGCAAAGAGAAAATTGGTCAAAATAATAGGACAAGTTTACTTTAAGGAGAGTTTACTGGTATAATAACAGTATATTTAGTCACTTTTCTTGGAGCAGGAACATTCGGCCGGATGCTCGCAAATAAAAAATGCTTTTAAAGTGCAAGGCAAACCCTGCAGTTTTTTGTTAGGGTCAGCGATGAAAGAGCAGACGCACTCCTTTTTGTTGGCATTCTCTCTCCACAAGGCGCTGCTGTCCTCCAACTCTGAGCCGTCGTGCCAGAGAAAGTTTATACTAATGTGATTTCCATAATTCTTTGCCGACAACCACCAGCAACCGAAATCTGAAATCAGATTAATTTCATGCGTTCGTGCTTCCAAACAAGAATCAAATATTTGAAAATGCCATAGATTCTTAAAGAAAATTGTTTTGGCACCATTCTTCTTTTTCTTTGCCTCTAATACAACCGCGTTCAGGTCGACTTCGTTCCTGATTGTGGCCAAGTGCAGGCCCATCTCCTTGCACTTTTCGTCGGCAAAAGTCCAGTTTCCCTGAGACGAAAGTAGACGAGTCAAGAGGAAAATGCAAAGAATGGAAATCACTCACATAAGTTGCTGGATTGGAGAAGAAATATTTTTTTCCGTTAGACAATCGCGTCAATTTTTTAACATGCAGACCTGCCATTTGTTTTAGTTTTAATATTTGCTGTAGTTATTAGGGTCAATTTTGATTGGATTATTCACGCTTTCCAGATTGCCCTTGTTCAAATAAAACTTACTTGCGAGTGTGCAGTTGACTGAAATTTTGAAATCCCAATGCTGGAGAGTAAAAAAAGAAAAGATTTAAGAAATGCGCATTTTTAGTAAGAAAATCTTGTGTGAAAAATGGTTAACAATATAGTTTTCATATGCATGTTTTGAAATCATCGATTTTTATTTACATGGGCTAAACTTTAACAAGCATAATACATGCACATGAATATAAGCTAGGGGCGGCCATAATTTCCAATCAAAGACATGACTGTTAAAATTCATCAGAAACTGATCAACCTTAAGGTATAACAAACTAAACGAATAGAAATTTCTATTCCTTTGGTTTGTAATACTAAACGATTGTCTGGTGTGGTGCGAAATCAGTTTGCGTGAACACGAGTGTGTGATAAATTTCTAATGGAAATTTTACTCTTGCTTGGCGCGCTTCGAGCTTCTCCTGACTTGCATATCCAAATTTTCTTTTCAGCAACTCATTCTCTTCGTCTGCCTTTAAAAATTCAAATCAATGTTTGAAACATCTTCAGACGGGTGGAGTAATTGGCTGGTGACATTGAAAACTCGTTTCAAAATACCTTTTGGCAAAATTTCGCCAAAAAATCGTTTTTCTGGTTTACCAAGGTGGACATCTCCTGCTGCAATTGCTCGATCCTATCGTCCTGTTGCCAAACCTCAAATTTATTATCAATTTATTTTCCACCTTTCGCTTTTTCAACTTTTAATAATACTTTGGAATCGCAAGTCAGGTCGATGGTGTCGTCAGGGCTGGTCGCCGCCATCGGCTGTTGATTCAGGGCCTTCAACTTCTCTGTCACCTTGTCCACCTTTTTTCGTACAAAGTTATTGTTTCTCAAAGTCTCAATTTCATTGGCTTTTGAATCACAAAATGTACTTTTTCTAGAAGCTGTTTGAGAAGCGCGTCTGAATTTATTGCCTGAGTGGTCAGATTCTGGGCTTGCTGCTGCAGCAACTTGAATTCAATTGAAATTTTCTTTTAAAACATGCTCACCAAATATTGATGATTCAAAAATTTTGATGAATAAGAAATGATAATTTTTATTCATATCACAGCGAGCCAGACAACAAAATAAATAAATTAGTTTGATTTAGTAATTAAACATTTGTATACAAAATTTTGGGGAAATGGAATATTTTAAACTCACGTCAACCTGCGCGGCATAGAGCGCGTTGATGGCGATGAGGATCCACAGCAGCGCCAAACACAAGCGGCCTATCGTCTTTTTCATGATTGCAGGGGCAAAATAATTTTTTCCGTTTGCCAAGTTTTGAGTCTTTCCTTGGATATGAGGATTTGCATACAGCAAGATGGCCACGTAAAAGCACTGAGAAAATAAAAATCCAACAAATATTCCATCGAAACTTTTCCTCAAGCCGTTTTTCCGCAAACACCAATTTTCGTGACCCCATTTGAGGAAATTACAACTTTTCCGGAAAGGCATTGCCATTGCTATCCGAAATTAAGTTGGTTTCAAGTGCGGAAGACTGGTTTTGGCGATTTTAGTAAAAAAACAGTCCACAAATGTCTAACTACTCTCACAGCTTTCCACACGCTGTCTCCATTTCAAATGCAGATAAAATATTGAGTTGTTATTAATGCTGACTGACACTAAAATCAATTTAAAAAAAATTTATCAAAAAACAGAAGACCAAAAATTGTTCATAATCCCCATCTGTCTTGAATGCAAGTTTTTATTATTTTATAAATCATTCTAATTTTCCAACTTTTATAAAATAATTTACGCTTGTCTGAAGCTGCGTGAATGAATTATAGATAATTAATTGTACGTTGTTGGACACATTTTGTGTTTAATAAATTTCTCTAAATTTTTCAACTTTTAGCTTCAAAACAGATAATGCATTGCTAGCAATCAGTATAAATTGATATTTAATGCGCTGAATAAAAATAAATTATTTACCAAAATACTGAACAATTATTAATATTTGATCCCTCTGTGCTCTGACTGCTCAGTAATTTTACGTAATGCGCACTTGGGGGAGCCCCCTCTTGTCCCTAAATTTACTTCCCCTAAAGGTTTTTTACAATATTTCCCATTGGAACCAACTGCATGCCGACCTGCCGAGTATTTGGGCCCTTTACAAGTTGACCAATTAAGCCGACTTACGTCGAATATGTTGTGTGATTGTTCAGCGTCATATGAAAGCGCGCATTTGAAACTGCTGAAAGCGGAAGTTCCTCTTTTTCCGTTTTGTGACCGACGAGCACACGGTCATAAATAATAATGTGTCCAGAGTCCAGAATAAAAATCTTTTTACAAAACGGAAACATAATAAATTTTTATATTTTATTTTGCAATTTTGAGAAAATTGAAATGCAAAATAGTAAATGACGCAACAAGTTTTTCAAAGTAAAAAATTAACACTCTTAAATGAAAATTTGCGAGGAAAATTCATTTTACTTTCCAAAAAAGAAAATAATTACATTTCGGCTTATTTTCAAAATGACCCAATATGTGTATATTTAATCCATAGCATAAATCCGCATTTATTACAGATTAATACAAGGAATTGAAAATGTAATTTCCTTTATTATTAAAAAAGTTTAATGTAAAATATCGCAGGTAATGCTCGTTTTTTTGTTCTTGGCAGCCCTGGCCGCGTGGAAAAAATATTATTGCGACTTCAGACATGCGATGGTGGTGTAATGCAAAAGTTTTAAGCTTTCTCTGTCCCAAAAGAAGCGAGCCACATTCTCTTGATTGGCTGCACTTTGGCGATATTTGTAATTCTCTTGGGCCGTAAAAGAAACAATTCGGAAATTGGAGAAGAAAGAAAGTGGCCTGGTTGTGGTGAAAGACTAGATAAAGTTTTGTTTCTTCTAAAAATAAAATTGCTCAAAGTCAACAAAAACCTACAGACGCAAACAGACGCAATTGAAAAACGAATTGAGAGGAGAGGCAAGTTGCTGGATGCTCCAGGTTCTGTCAAATCTGCGCTAAACTGCGAGATAAGATTTGCCTAAAAGCATTTGTTGCGCTGGGATTATTTTACAAGCTCAATTATAAACGTGTAAATCTGTATGTGCTTATGGTGTAGACAAGATTGTGACGACAAAATCGAGTCGAGTTCATAATTCTTTGGAAAATAAGATTTACCACAAATATTCTCACTTCACAAGTCTTTATTTGTAACAGATAATCTGAAAATGAGCGATATTGTTGCTAAAAATGAATTACCGAAAATGTTTTTCCTGCGTGTATGAGCAAAGTTTGTGAAAATAGAATATTAAAATAAAGTTTTTTGCATTTGATCTCACTGAAACCGGTTCCAGCAATTCTTCTAACATCACCGAGGCCAGAAGTAGTAAATTACTAATTTATTATTCGCAGAATTCCTATCTGAACGCTCTTTATTGTTCATTTTCAGCAATAAAAGTATTTATCTTTTAGCCTTGGCCGTGAAGTTGAAATAAAAATCTTTTTGTTATGAATTGAGGCGAAAATCTAAAAAAACCAACATCAAAATCATCCCATTGATTCTCAGTGCAAAATTTAGTTACAAAAGTTAGGACCACAAGTGATTTAAACGTCGAATCGCCAGATTCATTACTTAAGAATTATTAATATTTACAACAAAATAATAGCACTGATTTATTACAATGAAAAAAAGACACCCAGATTCTTGCTTTAATTCATCAGTTTGAAGCGCGAGAAATTCCAAAATATAAATTCATTAGAAATAAATTCATGATTTTTGAGGAATTGGTGTTGAACGCTGAAAAATTGCATACAATATTTGCTTGAAATTTATATTTTGCTATTTAATTTCACCAACATTTCAAATGATTTTTACTTTTACAAAAAAGTTATAGTTTTATGACAGCCTAAAATAATAAATCGCTTGAATAAGACGAGTAATATTGAGGATGGAAATAATTAAGTCGTTAATTTATGAGTTCTATAAACTGATAAAACCATTTTATAAAATAAATGTTGCGATAAGGTGTACGGTATAATTTATTTTTTATCTGGTTCTCTGAAATTCATTATTTGTGTATGTGCCGCGTACAAGAACTGAATTGCCCTCGATTGCTTGATTACGAAAATAAAATTAAGAGATAAGAATGGTGGCCAATTAGGAGGAAGACAAATAAATATAAAAGGCCAAAATCGGCTTTCATTTGACAGTCGCACCAGATTCGTTTGCACCGCAGCAAAGCCAGCAAAGATGCAAAGTTCAGGAAAGCTGGCGGCTTTTCTCGCCCTCATTTGCGCCGCATTTCTACTCCCTGCAGGTGAAATTTCCTATAATTATAATTTTTTTCGTCTGAAAACTGCAGTAACGCAGAAAATATTGAATATGTTCTCAAAATTTTCAGTTGTCCAAATATATTTTCTTAAAAGAAAAATGCTGATTGAGAACAATCATATAATTTGAATTTGTTTGAAGAAGTTGACACTCCAGGAGAAGATCATGGAAATGAATGAATCGGGCTTTTCCTCGTCGCAAAAATTGTTCTTTATTCAAAAACAAAAGGCTCTACCAGCAAGAAAAATACAAAAAATCAGCAAAATTGAAAAACACCACATTTTAACATAAAAAAATCTTAAAAACTAACAATTTCAAGTACCAACCTATTTCATATATGAGCAAACGCGCTGCTCGCTGATTATTAGTCTTCTTTAATTTTCATGTTAAAATGTGGTGTTTTTCAATTTTGCTGATTTTGTTGTATTTTTCTTGCTCATGAGATAGGGTCGCAGAAACTGGTCGAGCCTTTTGTTTTTGAATAAAAAACTATTTTTGCAACGAGGAAAAGCCCGATTCATTCATTCCCATATAATTTGAAATTTGAAAACAGAAAAATCTCTAAAAGACTGTAGAATTTGCAAACAAAAAACAGAAATTGAGCCAGCAAAAATAATTCTATTAATTCTCAAATTGATATTTCCTTTATTTAGGAGGAAAATTACGCCAATTTAATTTATAATCGACTTCAGATTCTTCAGATATGTATATTTTTTCCTGAATGTTTCCAGTGGAGAGCTGAGACGGACAGGAATACTAGGGGTTATTCTCTTTGTCTCTGATTTTATATTTGCAGTTTTCTGATTTAATTATTTTTTAACTAACGTTGATTTCCGAATGAATTTACAACACGATTTAATCTATAATTGAAATGGAGACGACGTAGGGGAAACGTTGCGCTAGCAGTGAGAGCGACGACACATCTCGTTTGCCGATTTTTACCAGAATCGCCAAATCACTCTTCCGCACGGAACCAACGTGGGCTCGGTGCGTTGCTAGCGATGGCAGAGCGTTGTTGGAATGCGTTGATGTTGATGCGTTGATGGAATGCACACACACACAAAAAAACACTCTTTTCTGTTCAAATCTTAAAGAAGCCGGAGGCAACGCTTTTATTGGGTGCCTTGTAGGTTTTACAAAGTTCTGTTTCACGTCTAGCTTTGTTTGATTCTAATTTAGTTTAATTTACATTAATTGCTTTAAATAAAATAATCGCAGAGATTATTTTATTGGAATTTTTACTTTAAATTGAATTGATTTAAATTGGGAAGATGATGTTTGTGTTTGAAGTTAATTGTTTTTAATTTGGAATTTTTAATTTTAATTTCTTTTTGTAATTAAATTTGAATAAATTTAATTAATCTAAATTTAAGTAAAATTATTGGTCTCAGAGCAAATCTGCTGGGCTGACGCACGTGTTCCGCTCGGACAACAAGACCTTTGAGGAGGCGAAGGCGTCGTGCGAGAAATTGGGCGCCAAGTTGGCCGTGGCCAATTCGCAGGCGGAGGCGCAGCTGCTGCTCGACCTGGCCAAGTTGAGCGACCCCTGGGGCTGGTACGCGTTCGTGGGCCGCGTCAAGGAGGGCCAGCAGTGGCTCAACCTCGACGGTATTCGATCGGTAGAGATGATCAACGAAATGTTCTAAAATGTTGTTGCAGGGACGACGGTGGCCAGCTTCGAGTGGTGGAGGCGCGGCCAGCCCGAGAACAAACACGTCACGCTCCCGGACGGAACCAGTGCGATGGAAAATTGCGGCGCCATCTTCCCGGACGGCCTGCACGACGTCCCGTGTCAGTGGACGCTGTCCTACCTCTGCGAGTTCCCACGCGTGCCCTGCTAGAAATGTTTTTCCCAATAAAGACCGAAAATTGGATTTAAACTAGTTTTAAATTGCAAATCAATATTGGAATTTTCCCCATTTTTTCTCATATCTGATATGTTTGGATGAAAGAAAATGAGCTCTTTCTGAAAATAGCATAATTGATTCATTGGGAGTCGAAAGTGACATGTAAAGTCACGCCTATGAGGCCATAAAATTTAACAAAATTTGTTCGATTTTTCAGTATTTTTGCCAAAATAATCAAATTATGAGTAAAAACTGTGAAAACAATTATTATCTACCTCATTTTAAAATGAATTCCATTTCTTTTCTTTGAGGAACAAGAAAATTGTAGCCAGTCTAGAGGCTGATTTTCTTTCTTTGCTTTTGTCCGCGCCGAAATCGGTATTTAGGGAAAATTTGAACAAATAAGAAATCGTTACGCACACTTCTAAAATATCTGGATGAAAATTTTTTCTAACTTTCAATTTCAAGAGTTGCTTGAACACTTGGATGCTCAGGCAAAAGATATCCCGCGGTGATTGATGAATAAAATAACCAACGCTAACTCTTTCCGCGTTCATAACAAGGAGAGAAAACGCCTGCAACTCCAAACGCGGCAACCCGCTCGACTTCCCTACCCGGCGGGTTGCAAACTTCAACCTCTTCTCGATTCAACAGTTTCGATCTGAATTAATTTTGATAAATGCGCCACCCAATCCATTGTAAATATGAACTTTGCTGCTTGTCTTTCTGATAAGCTTGACACAAAATAAAATAAGCTCTCGTTTCATTACTCAAAATGAACTGGTGCGCAGCGCATAAAATTGTGTGGCTTCTTTTCGGCCTCACCGCCTTTTTCCAGACAGCCTCAGCCACTGAACTTCTCGATCACAAGGTATTCACAAGAATTATTAGATATCTGCACATCAATTAATTTATTTTCCTTAAAATATGCGTATGATGAAATGAACCAGCAAATTGTGACGGAGGAACCTGCAAAACGTGAGGCAGAGAAGAATTGCTCGGAAAAGGTGGCCCAGCTCGAGCTGCAGGTTTCAAATTTGACGCAACTGGGAGGCCTCTTGCTTGCAGAGTTCAAGCAAGCGTACGAAAATGTGAGATTTTTTAAGTTCTGCAAGAAATTTTCCCCAAAAAATTACATTAAATTTTTCCGTTTTAGGTGCAAGCGGAAGTTCAATCGCTACGAATGCAATTGGACAACGCCAGGGTGCACCAGTTGTACAAACTGATCGTCTTTGACGAGGTTTACATAATTTTTCTTCTTCATACCTGCATTTTGAAATAATTTTTATTTTTCACAGGAAAGGCAGAAAATAATCAAAATGTGCAACGCCAGCCGTGAGTAAATTTTTAGACGATTTTCTTCTCTTTCATTGTGGTTTTCTGGTCTGCAGGTTCGGCAAACCTGGTGATGCTGACCAACGGAAAAAAGTACTTTTTCTCTCAATCGACGGTAAATTTCATTTCAAATCAAATAATTCTCATCACACGAGTTGATTTTAAAAAAGGGGCCGTGGGAAAGGGCGAACGAGACCTGCGCTGCGATCCCACCATCAGGGACAGGGTTGACCTCAACGTGACCTGGACCGAGGCAAAGAAAAGGCTCGGTTATTGTGAGTTGTTTCTTCAACTAAAAAAGAATTCACCAAAATTCAGGCACTTTTGATTATGCGCAGGGAATAATTGGTGGGTTTCGGCGAGAAATTACGGGACGCAGTGGGACTTGAAATTTCGTTGGCACGACGGGACACCCCTGGCGCGGAGCAGCCCTTTGTGGGCGTCGAACGCAACCTGGCAATGCGTCAACGTCCCCGGCAACGCCAAAATCTTGGACAGCGACTACTGCAGCAAACACATGAACTTTGTTTGCGAAATGCCAGAAAAATGCTACTTTTAATTTCATCAAAATCGTTGAGATTTAATATCTACCTTTTGCATATTTTGTTTAAAAAAAAATCAGTTTCTAATTATTTGGCGTAAATTTCAATTAAAGTTTACAATGCGATTTCAGAACCCAGGAATAAAAATCAAAATTTTGACAATTAATTATTTAAAAAATTTTATTTCTCAAGCATATCCGAGCTTCTAGCAACCTTAATTAAGTACACTGAGGCTAAAAGCTTTTACCCAAGTCATAAAAAAGTAACACTAAAACAATTTCTACCAATTTAATAAATTAAAATAAGATATTATGCTTTATTTTAGTTGATGAAGTAAGAAGAGGAAGCGTAATTGAATGATTTATAGAGAGAAATGTTTTTTGCAATCTCGGCGTAATGCATGAGCTGCATGAGTTGCTAATTGCCAGGACGATTCACTCAGAGGTTGTAAAGGTGAATGTCAGGGCCAATGACGCGCGTCATGGCTGCTGTCGCACGCTCCTTTAGCACCATGCATTTTCAAACAAGGAAGCTACTTTTCTGCTCTACCAATTCAACTAAAAAAAAATTGGCGGAAGTTTGAGAGTGGAGAGTATAAACAAACACACACAGAGAAGACTGTTTTATTTAACCTTAAAACCACTTTCGCCCGCTTGACAATGCTCGTCTGGCAAATAAGAGAAAATGTTTGGGCACTTACGGATCATTTTACTTTGTGAGGATTTTTGTTGTTGAACGAGAGAGTGCAAATTACGTTGAATTCGCCAGCTGGTAAATTCACCAGCTGGTGACAATTATTTTTTTAATTTTTTTAAATTTAAATAAATTTAAATTTAATTTATTAATATTAATTTTATTAATAAAATATTTATAAAATTAATTTTTTTTTCTAATTTTTAAAATTTGAAATTTAATTTAATTCCTTTACCTTTATTCACAAATTAAATTTCGATTTATAAAAATTTTAAAAATATAAAAATAACCATCACCAGCTGGTGAATTCAGCTTGTGAATTCAGCTGGTGAATACAGCTGGTGAATTCAGCTGGTGAAATCACCAGCTGTTGAAATCAGCTGGTGATATCAGCTGGTGAAATCATCAGCTGGTGAATTCAGCTGGTGATATCAGCTGGTGAAATCACCAGATGGTGAATTCAGCTGGTGAAATCAGCTAGTGAATTCAACTGGTGAATTCAGCTGGTGAAATCAGCTGGTGAATTCAGCTGGTGAAATCAGCTGGTGAAATCATCAGCTGGTGAATTCAGCTGGTGAAATCACCAGTTGGTGAAATCAGCTGGTGAATTCAGCTGGTAAAATCACCAGCTGGTGAATTCAGCTGGTGAAATCATCTGGTGAAATCAGCTGGTGAAATCAGCTGGTGAATTCAGCTGGTGAAATCAGCTGGTGAAATCACCAGCTGCACGACTATCCACTGAGGCTAAAGTCACTCTACAGAGTCATTAAAAAGTGTCCGTACCAGAGCGTTAAGAAGCGGTAAATAAAAAACTTGAATTTTGAATAATAATTATACTTTAATTTTTTATTTTATCATTTCTGAGATATATCCGCACTTCTAGCCGCCTTAAATGATCCCACTGAGGCTAAAGGCACTCAACTGAGTCATAAAAAAATGTCCGTACCAGAGCGTTAAGAAGCGGAAAATAAAAAACTTGAATTTTGAATAATAATTATACTTTAATTTTTTATTTTATTATTTCTAAGCTATATCCGCACTTCTAGCCGCCCTAAATGATTCCACTGAGGCTAAAGGCACTAATCTGAGTCATAAAAAAGTGTCCGTACCAGAGCGTTAAGAAGCGGAAGTGAAAAAACTTGAATTTTGAATAATAATTATACTTTAATTTTTTATTGTATTATTTCTAAGCTATATCCGCACTTCTAGCCGCCCTAAATGATTCCACTGAGGCTAAAGGCACTCAACTGAGTCATAAAAAAGTGTCCGTACCAGAGCGTTAAGAAGCGGAAGTGAAAAAACTTGAATTTTGAATAATAATTATACTTTAATTTTTTATTGTATTATTTCTAAGCTATATCCGCACTTCTAGCCGCCCTAAATGATTCCACTGAGGCTAAAGGCACTCAACTGAGTCATAAAAAAGTGTCCGTACCAGAGCGTTAAGAAGCGGAAGTGAAAAAACTTGAATTTTGAATAATAATTATACTTTAATTTTTTATTTTATCATTTCTGAGATATATCCGCACTTCTAGCCGCCTTACATGATTCCACTGAGGCTAAAGGCACTCAACTGAGTCATAAAAAAGTGTCCGTACCAGGGCGTTAAGAAGCGGTAAAGAAAAAACTTGAATTTTGAATAATAATTATACTTTAATTTGTTATTTTATTATTTCTAAGCTATATCCGCACTTCTAGCCGCCTTACATGATTCCACTGAGGCTAAAGGCACTCAACTGAGTCATAAAAAAGTGTCCGTACCAGAGCGTTAAGAGGCGGGAAAGAAAAAACTTGAATTTTGAATAATAATTATGCTTTAATTTTTTATTTTATTATTTCTAAGCTATATCCGCACTTCTAGCCGCCTTACATGATTCCACTGAGGCTAAAGGCACTAAACTGAGTCATAAAAAAGTGTCCGTACCAGGGCGTTAAGAAGCGGTAAAGAAAAAACTTGAATTTTGAATAATAATTATACTTTAATTTTTTATTGTATTATTTCTAAGCTATATCCGCACTTCTAGCCGCCCTAAATGATTCCACTGAGGCTAAAGGCACTAAACTGAGTCATAAAAAAGTGTCCGTACCAGAGCGTTAAGAAGCGGGAAAGAAAAAACTTGAATTTTGAAAAATAATTATACTTTAATTTGTTATTTTATTATTTTTAAGCTATATCCGCACTTCTAGCCGCCTTACATGATTCCACTGAGGCTAAAGGCACTCAACTGAGTCATAAAAAAGTGTCCGTACCAGAGCGTTAAGAGGCGGGAAAGAAAAAACATGAATTTTGAATAATAATTATGCTTTAATTTTTTATTTTATTATTTCTAAGCTATATCCGCACTTCTAGCCGCCCTAAATGATTCCACTGAGGCTAAAGGCACTAATCTGAGTCATAAAAAAGTGTCCGTACCAGAGCGTTAAGAAGCGGGAAAGAAAAAACTTGAATTTTGAATAATAATTATGCTATAATTTTTTATTTTATTATTTCTAAGCTATATCCGCACTTCTAGCCGCCCTAAATGATTCCACTGAGGCTAAAGGCACTCAACTGAGTCATAAAAAAGTGTCCGTACCAGAGCGTTAAGAGGCGGGAAAGAAAAAACATGAATTTTGAATAATAATTATACTTTAATTTTTTATTTTGTCATTTCTGAGATATATCCGCACTTCTAGCCGCCTTACATGATTCCACTGAGGCTAAAGGCACTCAACTGAGTCATAAAAAAAATGTCCGTACCAGAGCGTTAAGAAGCGGTAAATAAAAAACTTGAATTTTGAATAATAATTATACTTTAATTTTTTATTGTATTATTTCTAAGCTATATCCGCACTTCTAGCCGCCCTAAATGATTCCACTGAGGCTAAAGGCACTAAACTGAGTCATAAAAAAGTGTCCGTACCAGAGCGTTAAGAAGCGGAAGTGAAAAAACTTGAATTTTGAATAATAATTATACTTTAATTTTTTATTGTATTATTTCTAAGCTATATCCGCACTTCTAGCCGCCCTAAATGATTCCACTGAGGCTAAAGGCACTCAACTGAGTCATAAAAAAGTGTCCGTACCAGAGCGTTAAGAGGCGGGAAAGAAAAAACATGAATTTTGAATAATAATTATGCTTTAATTTTTTATTTTATTATTTCTAAGCTATATCCGCACTTCTAGCCGCCCTAAATGATTCCACTGAGGCTAAAGGCACTAATCTGAGTCATAAAAAAGTGTCCGTACCAGAGCGTTAAGAAGCGGGAAAGAAAAAACTTGAATTTTGAATAATAATTATGCTATAATTTTTTATTTTATTATTTCTAAGCTATATCCGCACTTCTAGCCGCCCTAAATGATTCCACTGAGGCTAAAGGCACTCAACTGAGTCATAAAAAAGTGTCCGTACCAGAGCGTTAAGAGGCGGGAAAGAAAAAACATGAATTTTGAATAATAATTATGCTTTAATTTTTTATTTTATTATTTCTAAGCTATATCCGCACTTCTAGCCGCCCTAAATGATTCCACTGAGGCTAAAGGCACTCAACTGAGTCATAAAAAAAATGTCCGTACCAGAGCGTTAAGAAGCGGTAAATAAAAAACTTGAATTTTGAATAATAATTATACTTTAATTTTTTATTTTGTCATTTCTGAGATATATCCGCACTTCTAGCCGCCTTACATGATTCCACTGAGGCTAAAGGCACTAAACTGAGTCATAAAAAAGTGTCCGTACCAGGGCGTTAAGAAGCGGTAAAGAAAAAACTTGAATTTTGAATAATAATTATACTTTAATTTTTTATTTTATTATTTCTAAGCTATATCCGCACTTCTAGCCGCCTTACATGATTCCACTGAGGCTAAAGGCACTCAACTGAGTCATAAAAAAAATGTCCGTACCAGAGCGTTAAGAAGCGGTAAATAAAAAACTTGAATTTTGAATAATAATTATACTTTAATTTTTTATTTTATTATTTCTAAGCTATATCCGCACTTCTAGCCGCCTTACATGATTCCACTGAGGCTAAAGGCACTCAACTGAGTCATAAAAAAGTGTCCGTACCAGAGCGTTAAGAGGCGGGAAAGAAAAAACATGAATTTTGAATAATAATTATACTTTAATTTTTTATTGTATTATTTCTAAGCTATATCCGCACTTCTAGCCGCCCTAAATGATTCCACTGAGGCTAAAGGCACTCAACTGAGTCATAAAAAAAATGTCCGTACCAGAGCGTTAAGAAGCGGTAAATAAAAAACTTGAATTTTGAATAATAATTATACTTTAATTTTTTATTTTATTATTTCTAAGCTATATCCGCACTTCTAGCCGCCCTAAATGATTCCACTGAGGCTAAAGGCACTAAACTGAGTCATAAAAAAATGTCCGTACCAGAGCGTTAAGAAGCGGTAAATAAAAAACTTGAATTTTGAATAATAATTATACTTTAATTTGTTATTTTATTATTTTTAAGCTATATCCGCACTTCTAGCCGCCTTACATGATTCCACTGAGGCTAAAGGCACTAAACTGAGTCATAAAAAAGTGTCCGTACCAGAGCGTTAAGAAGCGGGAAAGAAAAAACTTGAATTTTGAATAATAATTATACTTTAATTTTTTATTTTATCGTTTCTGAGATATATCCGCACTTCTAGCCGCCTTACATGATTCCACTGAGGCTAAAGGCACTAAACTGAGTCATAAAAAAGTGTCCGTACCAGAGCGTTAAGAAGCGGAAGTGAAAAAACTTGAATTTTGAATAATAATTATACTTTAATTTTTTATTTTATCATTTCTGAGATATATCCGCACTTCTAGCCGCCCTAAATGATTCCACTGAGGCTAAAGGCACTCAACTGAGTCATAAAAAAATGTCCGTACCAGAGCGTTAAGAAGCGGTAAATAAAAAACTTGAATTTTGAATAATAATTATACTTTAATTTTTTATTTTATTATTTCTGAGATATATCCGCACTTCTAGCCGCCTTACATGATTCCACTGAGGCTAAAGGCACTCAACTGAGTCATAAAAAAGTGTCCGTACCAGAGCGTTAAGAAGCGGAAGTGAAAAAACTTGAATTTTGAATAATAATTATACTTTAATTTTTTATTTTATCGTTTCTGAGATATATCCGCACTTCTAGCCGCCCTAAATGATTCCACTGAGGCTAAAGGCACTCAACTGAGTCATAAAAAAATGTCCGTACCAGAGCGTTAAGAAGCGGAAGTGAAAAAACTTGAATTTTGAATAATAATTATACTTTAATTTTTTATTTTATCGTTTCTGAGATATATCCGCACTTCTAGCCGCCTTAAATGTTTCCACTGAGGCTAAAGGCACAAAACTGAGTCATAAAAAAGTGTCCGTACCAGAGCGTTAAGTAGCGGAAGTGAAAAAACTTGAATTTTGAATAATAATTATACTTTAATTTTTTATTTTATCATTTCTGAGATATATCCGCACTTCTAGCCGCCTTACATGATTCCACTGAGGCTAAAGGCACTAAACTGAGTCATAAAAAAGTGTCCGTACCAGAGCGTTAAGTAGCGGAAGTGAAAAAACTTGAATTTTGAATAATAATTATACTTTAATTTTTTATTTTATCATTTCTGAGATATATCCGCACTTCTAGCCGCCTTACATGATTCCACTGAGGCTAAAGGCACTAAACTGAGTCATAAAAAAGTGTCCGTACCAGAGCGTTAAGTAGCGGAAGTGAAAAAACTTGAATTTTGAATAATAATTATACTTTAATTTTTTATTTGATCATTTCTGAGATATATCCGCACTTCTAGCCGCCTTACATGATTCCACTGAGGCTAAAGGCACTCAACTGAGTCATAAAAAAGTGTCCGTACCAGAGCGTTAAGAAGCGGAAGTGAAAAAACTTGAATTTTGAATAATAATTATACTTTAATTTTTTATTTGATCATTTCTGAGATATATCCGCACTTCTAGCCGCCTTACATGATTCCACTGAGGCTAAAGGCACTCAACTGAGTCATAAAAAAGTGTCCGTACCAGAGCGTTAAGAGGCGGGAAAGAAAAAACATGAATTTTGAATAATAATTATACTTTAATTTTTTATTTTATCATTTCTGAGATATATCCGCACTTCTAGCCGCCTTAAATGTTTCCACTGAGGCTAAAGGCACAAAACTGAGTCATAAAAAAGGGTCCGTACCAGAGCGTTAAGAAGCGGTAAAGAAAAAACTTTAATTTTGAATAATATTTTTATACTTTAAAATTTTATTTACTTTTTTTAAGCTTTTTCAAGTTTCTATCTTCTGATCGGTGCAAAATTTGTAGCCGAGTGATAAATAGATGTTTCCTGTTTTTCGACTTGTAATAACAATAATCATAAATTTGTAACTGCAATATCCTTAACAGATTAAAATGAGTTGCTAAAATTTTACACACTCACACACGCCAAGCAGCAACACAAGAAGCGTGGCCTCATCTTTGTCATGCTTTCAAACTGATTAAATATTCCCTTGCTTGCCAATTCACGCCTTTGGAACTTTTTGATCTGTTGATAGAAATTCAATTTTCATATAAATTTAGTAAATTTAGTAATGTATTCTGTTCAGAAAAGAAATCTTTTGAAAGATAAAATGCGTAATTTAAATAAACTGATTTCTTGTGTAGGATATTTTGAATATAAACGAAACTTTAATTTGAAAGCTTCGTTTCTTCTCCTTTCATCTTCATTTTCTTGCTTCAAGTCAATTTAATTATCAATTTTTTCCGCAAATTGAGATCAGTTTTATTAAATTAGATAGCGATCCGACCCAAAATTTGTAAACGCAATTTTCTTTCTTTATAATAATGGGTCTTGATTTTTGATCTCTTCAATTATGGCAATTAAGCATAAATTATTATAACTTTATTTTAGAAAACAAGATTGGCTGATCAATGAAAACGTAATTGCTTCAATATTTTATAGTGAACTTTTATTAACAAACAAAAAAACACAAACAAAAACTGATAAAAATTTCAGCTGAAAGAGGAAAACGACGCATTTTCCCCAATTTTTTCAGATTTAAAGTTTTCACCAAAAAGGTTTTATCAATTTGAGGCTCCTGGCAAAACCAAATTTGAGCACAGTTGATGAGAACCGATATCAGGCCAAAAATTAAAGAGACTTACCTTACATGGTGCCGCGGTTGGAACGATGATCACATTTTAGGACGGTCGTCGCTTGGTGCTTCCCAGGAACTCGAATTTGCTGGGATTTTTCGAAAAAAAAAACACTCATTTTGGGACCGAATTTGGAGATAAAACGCACAATCACGACATCACGCGTCTCTTTGTAAACAATTACTGACCCAGCCCCCTCATTTCCCCTCCGTTTACGCAAGAGAAAAAGGGCGCGAATATGCACGGCAGAGGAGAAACGGCGGGAAAATGAAGGGGTCGGTAATTGTTTATAAAGAGACGTGATGTCGTGATGTGAGTTTCAAAATGAGTGTTCTTTTCGAAGAAATCCCAGCAAATTCGGGTCCCTGAGAAGCGATCACAATCCCTCAATTTGATCATCGTTCCAGCCATGGCTCAAGGCAAGTCTCTTATTTTGAACCTGATTTCGCTCCTCGCCAAAACGGCTCAAACTTAGAATTTGGGATCACCAGGAACCTCAAATTGATAAACTTTTTCTTCAATGCTGAAAGTGAATGAAAATTTGAAGATTTTTTAATTCTAAACAGCCAACATTCAGTCTTTCACATATTTTTAAGATATATAGAAGACAATAAATTCAATCATTTATATTCTAGATGCAACGCTTTTAAATTTTCCGAAATTTTCAAAACAGAGTGGAAATTGTCTGAAATTTTGCGAAATTTAAAATTGGAAGCTCAGATTCAGAAAAACAACGCAAATTGGAATAAAATATGTATATAAGAATTGCAAGTGTGACGAAATCAAGGCTTCTTGCAGGGTCTTTGGGCGAACTCGCAGACGTAGGGCTGCGCCCACTCGCAGGGGACGTCGTGCAGGCCGTCCGAGTAGATGGCGCCGCACGCCTCGGTCACTCTGGTTCCGTCCGGAAGCGTGACGACTTTGCTATCTGGTTGGCCGGGTCTGGTATGTTTTTAGAGCCGTTTGTTTTTTGAATAAAAACAATTTTACAACGAGGAAAAGCCCGACTCTTCATTTACAAAATTAACGTATGCTTAAATTTTCACTCCCTAACACACACAATCCTACTTTTGAGAGTTTCGAATTGTATTTTTAAGTTAATTAAATAATAGATTTGAACATCAAAATCACAATTATATTTTGAATGCTAAATAGTTTCAAACCTAAAATTTCATTATAGCACGAATAAGTTCATATTAAAATTTAAGCTTGATAAATTTTAATAAAGAAACAAATCTCTGCGGTTTCAGCTGCAGATATATTTTAAGGAATTAAATATGTCAACTTTTTAGCTTATATTTTATGAGTTATCGGTTAAAAGGAACGGGTCAGAATAAGAACTACAATGAAATGGTTAGTGCTTCAAGTTGCAAATGTTTTGACAATAATAAAGTTCTAATTTGTAAAACGCTTAATTTTGTGCATGCCTTTTAAATATTATATAATGTTGTTTGTTTTGTCTACTCGTGGAATGACAAAAATTTATTTAAAATAACTTTTATTCGCGCTTTCATGAATCGTTTTGAAAAGTTTTAAATATTTCATTAACAATAAGCTATAAAATGAACAAGAACAATTTTTGTGTGCAGTGGACAAAAATTTATGATGACAAAATTTCTCGGCCGAATATTGATGACACCAAAAAGTTACCCTGATATTGCAATTAGATACTTCAATTTTGGTGTCCAGATAATTTTTCTATTAACGTGATTTGCCATTCCCAAATCACGCTTGTTCCTCTATTTTTCAAGGGCATACGTTGAAAATACGTTCCAGTCTTTTAAATTTAGATTTTTTTAGACTATTTCCTTTTAAAATTTTAAAAACAGATAAAAATGCTCTTTTTGATAAAATTTATTTCAATATCTCGGCACACATAATTAATTTGATAAATTTGATTTTATCTCGGCACTGAATATTTTATAAAATTGAAAAAAAAAACATTTAAAACATTTATCTTTTTGTATACCAAAATTTCAAATTTATTAAATGACTTTTGCAACAAATGAGTGAAAAATTGCTGAAATCATCTACTGCGTAGACCATCCACCTGGGTCGGGGATGTCGCCAGGAAGATTCGGCCGCGGAAGGCGGGGCGGACGGGGCGTTAGACGTATAAGCCATAAGCGACGCACCGGCCGACGCAGTTCAACGTCGGCCGCTGCGGCAGACACGTCGTCCTCGTCCTGCGCCACCACTGACGCCACCAGCACCGCCGCCGCCAACAACACAATCACCTTCGATTTCAAGATTGCATTTAAAAATCGTGTCACATTTTTACGAAAATAAAAATTATTACCAACTTGGCCATCTTCAAGATTTCCTCCTTCTAGACAAGATAAGATAAAATTTAATTAAGAAAATTCAACTTTTTTTTATCAAAATGTCGAAAAAATTAAAGTTTTTATCCGTCCTGCACAACTTTCATTTAAAAAAATAAACCATTTTTATATATATATAAAAAAAAAAAAATGAATTGAGTAAAATCAGTGAAATTGCATTTAACTAATTGTGTGGTGTTAAAACATATCATGAATTAATCAAAATATAGCAATGTGTGCAGCCGAGAATTTAAGTAGATGTAAGAAGAAAAATTTTACCAAAATCGTCAGAAGAGCTCTTGTTTGAGACGCACAAGTTTTAAGAGTCCTTTTATAGTCAGTCATCGTCTAAAAAGCGGAAACCGCGCACTGTTGGCATTGAAAATTTTGCTGTTAACATTTTTAGCGATTTATTTTTAATCTAACCAAAAAGTGACATTGAATTTGTTTTTTAAATTTTACATGCGAACATGCAAATTTCCCACCACAAAATTTCTTCCTGTTTTGCCTTTAAATGTCACTTAATTTAACTTAATTATTTCTCACAGGGTGTTATTTCAATTTCAAATTACAAAAGCACTATTAATCTGGCCAAATACAAAGGTTTATGCAAGATTGAGCGGACCAACAGTAGATTAAAAATTTGAAAATATAGATGACGAATTATAGCAAACGTTATTTTTTTCTTTTTGATTCAAGGAAAACACGACACTTAGTTAGTAAACCACAATAAATTATCCTGAAAGTTGTGGAATTTAAAATAAAGAGAAAATTATTCATTGGAAGTAGCATTTCGTTTTTAAAATCCACAAATTAATTTAAAAATGCCAAAAAATATTGAGATAACGCGAACTTATTTTGGCATTTGAAATTATTCTTGAAGCTTAAAATTTCATGAGTATTTTCGTATTAAATACCATCAATATTCCTCAATACTATTTTTCTGAAAAACAATTTCAAAACAAAAATATATATAAAAATATGTTGTTGAACAATCTTGCTAACCACAAGTCTGAAGGAAATTCTTTGTAAACTTACGGAAGTTGCAATAAATTCAATATCGGCGACTCTTGCTACATTTAGGTCTGAAAGAAATTTTATTTGAACCTGCGGAAATGGTAATAATTCCATAATAATGACGACAACAAAATATGATACAAAAAACCTTCTAAAAATTTTGATCCGTTACAAGAATAAAATTGAGGAGTTTAATGAAGGGTCTGAAGTGCATTTTTTGACTTTATTGAAATTTTTTGATAGAATTTTGGTGTTTCGTTTGTCAGCTTAAGGGATGAATGAAAATAATCAATTTTACGCGATCTCAAAGATTCATGTTGAAATTTTATCCAATTAAAATGATACCAATTATCAGGATTATTGGAATAAAAGTGACTTTTTTCAGATAATATTAATGATTATTTTTCACGATCACCCATATTTTCTCCACATACTCCAGCCTTATCCATAACAATAAAATTCTCTTCGAAAAAGTGCAATTACAATCACTTATATTTTATTTATCCTGTCTCTTTCTCCCATTCCAAAAGAAACGTAAAAAGCAGTCTCTTTTTCCATTGCCTGTAACTGAAGAAAAAAAAATATGGATTTCACTTGCAAACTCAGTCGTAAAAGTCAATTGATCCGAAACGCACGCACGAATTCAATCACAGACCAAAATCATCTTCACTCGGCGATTTCGTCGGCGGCGTTGTCGGCGCTGTCGCCCCTTCGCCAGATGGGCCGGTTCCTGCCCGAGGCCGCCGGTTCGATCAGGGGGTCTCGGTGGTCCCGGTTGGGGTGGACGGCGTCCATGAACGCCTCCCTCAACCGCCCCAAAAACGTCTTATACTGCAGCTCGTCGTTGCTCTGGCCAAAGTCAAAGTCGGCCACCTCCACGTTGAACCTTAAAAAAAATCCACTCTTAACACGAAAAATTACAAATTTTGCATTCAAATCACCTTCGCCTGTTTTGAATGAAGAGGGCCACGCCGAAGACGACGATCACCATGGCCAGGATGATGAACGCCACCGGAACTATGATCACCGACAGCTGCGGCTGCTTCTTGACTGCAAAATTTAAAAATGAAATAAAATTTCATTCGATAGAATTAATTTCACCTTCGTAAATGTTGATGGTGACCGGATGGACAACTTTGGCCACGTTGTTCTTGATGACCATCACGATGGTCACGGTTTTCTGCTTGTACAGCAGTCTTGTGATTGGGAAATCGCAAAACTCGGTGACATCGGTTCCGTCACAAGTTTCATTCCCTGAAACAAATATTGAAAAAAAAAACGGTAATTTTTCTCTGTAGCATTTGTTTCAAGAAATTGAATTCATTGGAAAAACTGAATATTTGAAATTAGCATTGTTCCTTGTCTGAATTTTCTGAATTTTTTTTTCCTCAAAATTGGCAGAGGCAGAACCAAAATTTGATGAAAAATCTCACCAAATCACATTCATGAAAAAATAAATCAATAAGTCAGTTGACAATTAAAATTTACTTCGGAGAAGTTTTTAATTTCAGTGTATATATAATTTTGGTATCTACCCTGATAAAAATGTGTGCCTAAAATAATTGGTAATTTTGATTTTATTTTGCCAAATTAATTGCAGTAGCTTGATTCAACTACATTCTATTAATTTTAATCAAACTAATTATTAAAAATAAGTTATTTTGAAAAATTCATGAAGCAATAAAAAATGATCGCACCTGTAACATTGTAACTGCCAGGGTGGTACAAGAGGCAGTGCCTGAAGGGCGACGACCCCGCGCACCTGACCTTGAGATTCAAAACCTGCCCCTCTTTGATCCAGTAGTTTCCGTCGATGGTCACATTGAACACTGGCGCTGCCGAAGAAAGTAAATTAAAGAATTTAAGACATTTAATTTTTAGATAAAAGTTACAGTTGCTCTCGAGAAGCCTGTGGGCGTATCCGACTGTCTTGCTGGGGTCAGGGGGCACCACGGTGTCGTTCAGGCAGATATTGGGCACATAAGTATCGAGGTCAACGACCTTGGCCCCTCGACTCTTCACCGTCGAGGACTTGTGGGTGGTGGTTGTGGTTGGCTTTGTGGTTGTGGTGGTGCTCGAGGTGGTTGTTGTTGTTGGTTTGGTGGTGGTTGTGGTTGTTGTCGTAGTGGTGGTGGTGGTGGTGGGAGGGGCGGGGGTGGGGAGAGGGTCGTAGGAGACGAGGACGAGCGCCTCGACGTTGTGCTCCTGGTCGGGGCCCGAGTAGTCGAACTCAAACGTGTTGTTGGCCGAGCGGCCGTAGAAGACGCAGTCGACGAACCAGTAGGTCATGACCTGGGTGGCGTTCCTGGCCAGGAACGCCGCGTCCGGCTCGCTGAAGACCACCCTGTGCCGCACCACCGTCGTGTTCCGCACAAACTTCTCAGGAACCACCTCGTTGTTCTGCAGCACCTGCAGCTCTATGTTCAAATTGTCTGCAAAATTACAACAAATTTGGATTATTTTCAATTTCCTACCAAATTACTTTTTTCATTAAACTTGGTCACCTTTTTTTTAATATATAAATCCCTGATTTCAATTTGATGTTTCTTTTTCTAAACAAATCCGAGTTGAAAAGTTTCTTTACTAACTTGTGACATAAAAGACTTTGCGCTGACTGGTGATCGTGTACCAAACGATGAACTGCTTTTCGACCTTGACCTCGGCGATGTACGGCCCCGGGACAAAGCCTCCGTTCTTGTCGTAGGTCACGTTCCAGTACCGAACCGTCGAGTTGCCCTCGGACTAGAAATTTCAAATGATTTTTGAAAATTTTGGTGATAATTTAATCGAAATTTGAACCTCAAAGTAGTGGGCGTTGATCCCGTTGTCTCGGAAGGAGAATTTGTAGTTTGTGGCCGAATTGTGAATTCCGCCGCACCTGAGCTCTGCTCGGAAGGTGATCGTGGCGCCCAAAACGGCAGGACCGTTGTCCGTGATGTCCACTTCACAGTCCTCAAACAGTTTCGCTCCTAAAAAACATCAATATTTTGTTACAAATTCAAATTAAATTAGATAAAATCACTAAATTGTAATTTATCTTAAGTCTTTTTGACAATTTACTTTAATTTCAAAAGATATTTTACTCACTTGTCTTCTCAATTTTTGAGTTGCATATAAAAATTTTGTGGTAATATTTTTCAAATATTTCACGCAACATATAATATTAAACACTGGCAATTTGTATCATTAACTAATTGCGTCTCATTTGCAGCTATTATTGCCTCATTGAATGATTGTGATCGAGTAAAAGAAATTGACTGTTTTTTAAGCCAACAAAAGTGTCTGAAACTATTTTGGCAAAGCCATTCGAATTAAGAATTTTTTTAAATACCAAAAATAATAGTAATCAACTAGGAAATTTTCAGAATAATTAAAGTGAATGATTACAAACAAAAATTAAAATTTAGGCCAAAACGTTTGTACAAATAACATCGCGTTTCCTTCTGCAATATTGATAACAAACTTCATTTGGAACCTTTGAAACGATAATTTCGTCTTAATTTATCACGAAAATAGATTTTATTGGTCCCAATTTTAATTAAGAAGGTTTTTTTAGTTCATATATTTTCTTTATGATTTTGAGTGCCGAGATTCGGCGACCATTAATCTTACCGACGTGATGAGTGATCAGAAGCAGAGAAACGGACACAAATCCTGCGTTGGACAGCATGTCTGCAATTGCCAACCTCTAAGGACGCGTCTCAACACGTACGGACATTGTCCGAATGCCGATTTTCCTCGTTTTCGGACGACTTCTGTCTGCTTTTCCAGCTCAGCTGTCAAACTCGACTCGAGCCGATGACGTCACTGAGCTCGCTTCTGATTGGTCGCTGAATGTTGCCGCGTTTCGCCGGCAGAGGGCAGCGCGGCAGGAAAACAAAACTGCTGCTCACGGCGGTGTGCGGTGTGGCCTTGAGCGAGGCCAACCTGCGAATCAGGGTTGGAGGAAGTGGAGGAAGGAAGGAAGGTTGCGGATGGCCGCGGTGCTCGAGTCGTCGTTCCTGCGGCAGCGGCTGCGCCAGATGGAGCTGCAGACGGGCGAGGCGGCGGCGTCCGGACGGCGGCGTCGGCTCGGACAGTGCGACTGCACCTCGTACTCGTACCTCGTGCTGGCCACGATGCTCTTCTCGGTGGGCACCGTCATCACGGTGCTGGCCGCCGGCGAGACGCACGACTACGTCTTCTACACGCTCGGACACATGTGGCTGGTCGGGCCCATCTTCGTCTGCTCGGGCCTCATGGTCGCCGTCAAGACCGTCCTTTACCTCCGCAAAAAGTACCTCCTGCAGATGCTGCTCAGGCAGCGCGCCCTCTGGAGGGTACGTACGTGTCCGACCCTGTCCAAAAATCTTCAGCCCAAATGAAACAAAATTTTGACGTTTACGCCAACTGCGCAGAATTACTTTTGCTAATTGAAATTTGGTTTGCAGGAATTGGTGCTGCAGGCGCGGCGCCACCACCAGCAGCAGCAGTACCTGGCGAGGAACGCGAGCAGCCTGACCCTGCCGCCGTCGTACGAGTCGATCGTGGTGCAGGTGGCGCCGGACGAGCTGGGCGCGGCCAGCCTGCAGGCGGCCGAGGAGGCGCCGCCGCCCACCTACGAGGAGGCCATGATCCTCTTCGGCGACGAAACGCTCTTCAGGGTGTTGGTGCAGGAAAAGGACCTGCAAAGCCCCGCGCCAATGGAGAAATGACACAGACAGACACTCGCATAAAATTACAATTAAACCCTTCGTAGCGCCGCTTTTCGAATAATACTCGAACCGAAATAGTATTCGCATCAGCTAGTCCTTGCACAAAACAAAGGTGGAAATTGTACGACTGAAATTAATTGTTGCCACCCAATCTCTCCATGATATTTTTGTACTGACAAAATTGACCATGTGATATAATTAGACCGACGATCAGATCGAATCTCTGCAATCACTTAATTAATTCACATTCACTCTAGACTCGTAAGAACAATTTATTATTGTGCTGCATTCCTTAAGATGAATTTAAGGGTCTTGCTTCGACCAAAGTTTTCTACTTGGCACTTTTTTTATGATTAATCAATACTCCTTATGTACATATACTTGTGATTTATTCTTTTTTGGCACTTTGACAATTATTTTGTGTGAATAGTTTGGCAGTTTTGAATTTTATAATTTTGCTTTAGTGCTTCTACAATCCAACCGATTAATTTTTGTATCAAATTATACTCTTTCTCTAATTGTGACGATTCTTATCACACGCAGAAATGCCAAAGGCTGAGCAATCCATTGGATTTTTTATTTGTATCGGACAATAAAGAGGAAAAATCTGAAACTCTGGCATTGACACGTGTGACAACTGTGTGTGCATTTATTAAATATATATATGTAAAGAGGAAAAGGCATGCAATGAAGTGATTTCAATGTTATTTTGATACGAGGTAGTTTTGCTCTACTAGTTGCAAATCCAATCAAGCTGATAGAAATAAAATAATTACGTAAGATTGTGTTAAGTGAAAAATCAAAATAAAATCTATTTTCTATGCATATATTAATTAATTACACTGGGTTTTTATTATTATTCTGTCCGCCGTTGTCCGACAAAACAACATTCCGAGAGTGTCAACGGTCTACATCGGCACAACAACATAAATCATTTGAGATAACAAACACCTCTTTAGTCAACAAGGCGGCGGCTGTAGAGGGGCCCTTGTTACACGGTGCAACGACAAGCGGCAAACAATGCGAGTGAGAATCTGATTAATTTCTAAAAGAGTAGCTCCGGATCACATTCAATTCCAAGTCAAGGCATTCGGGCTTAAAGTCAGATATTAAAATAGGGTCAAACATTTCAACATTTGTCAGTGGAATCTCTTCTTGAACATCAATATGTGACATTAAACAGTTAAAACTCCTTGACGAGAGCATTACGAGTTACCACACGAATAATTAATTAATATAACAACGGGAGTAGAATATAATATCTATGTGTGACTCACAAAAATGACTATTAAATTTGAACACTAAACACTTAAAAGAGTGCCTCGAGAATAATCCTAGTTTTTTTTTTCGCAAACGTCTAAGAAAACACTTGAACAAGTATGATATGTTGTAAAAAATCACCTGAAATAAAAATGCTGACTAGAACTACAGCTCGGTAAGTGGAGAATAATAACACAAAAACAAATTGTCTCATTGCACGGAGCAAACGAGCGAGTGGCCCTTGCGCTTCTCCATGGCGGCCACCCTCCTCTTCATCCCCTCCATGTACACTTCCCTGTTGAACTGTCCGCCAGCAAGAGGCACCCTGAGAATGAAAATCAAATAAATTATTTCTGAATAGAGCAAAAAATAATGAATTAAATTGGAAACTCACGAGTCTTTGCCTGGGCGAAGTTTGGCACGGAAAAGGGCCCAGACGGGTTTGTGGTCCGAGGTGAGCACCTGGTGGGCGGAACTGTACTGGCGGCACTCGAGGTCGTGCAGCAGGCGCGACCTGAAGAGGATTCGGTCCGTGTAGGCGGGCGTGCGGCGCTTGCTGGAGGTGTCGAAGTGGTCCGTGCCGGGGTCGTATTTGTAGGTGGGGGGGAAGGTGATGGGCCCCTCCTGAAAGTCGTTGAACGCCGAGCCCTCCTCCATGACCTGGCGCAGCTGGTCGCCGTTCAGGATGAGCGGCACGTCGGCGGGGAAGGCCTGGTCGTTGCACGCCCACTGCACCACGTCCTCCCTGCTCTGGTCGAGCCGGAAGTTGAGGTCGCCGCTCCACACGACGCAGTCGTAGTTCTGCGTCGCGTCCTTGCTCTTGCACCGCAGCGGCAGCGCCCGCGGCAGCTCCAGCGAGCCGATGATGCGTCGCGCGTCGTGCACCCGCTCCTTCACCTTGTCCGCGTGCGCCGTCAGGTGCGAGCAGATGAACAGGAACGACGTCCCGAACAGCAGGAATCCGATCGCCACCGCGCCCTTATAACCAAATGCATAAAAATTAGCATGAAAACACGGAAAAATATTAAGACAGATGCACTATTGGCAAACTGAGGTCATGAGGAACCGATTGGTGACCAAAATAGTCAAGGTAAACGTGAAATTTGCCAGGAAAACTGCAATTTTGAGAACCAAGCGATTTCATTGGTCGGAAAAGTTCTCCCACCACTAAATACAAATTTACTTCAACACATCATGTGTGACACATCTTTGGAAAGGTCAGGTCACAAGGAATCGAATGGTGACCAATAGATCAAGGTCACCTTGAAATTTGCCAAGAAAAATACAATTTTTGGCACCAAACGATTTCATTGGTCTGAAAATTTCCCCCACCACCTAATTCGTATTGGATTTTAAATGCAAAATACAAATCATTAGAAAGTCCAGGTCAAAATGAATCAATTAGAGACCAAACACGTCAAGATCACCGTAAGATTTGTTGAAGAAAACGACTATTTAAGGAATTAAGCAATCTCATTGGTTCGGAAGGTTCCACCACCACTAAATGCAAATAGCTTCTTTAAAAACATAAAGTGTGACACATCATCAAAAAGGTCAGGTCACTACAAATCGATTGGTGCACGTATTTTACCTTTGTCCTGAAGGCAGCGGCCGTCCTGGTGCTGACGTTGGCCTCTTCGGGAATGGAGCAGAACCAAATCAAGTCCCTGCGCATGAAAATGCAAATGTGGAGCACGCCGAAGACGGCCGAGTGGAAGAGGACGTGCGACGGCCCCAGAGTCTCCTGGATCTGCACCTCCCACTCGTTCTTCTCAGGGAAGGACTCCTGAGTGCCGACGACCATGATGTCAGGGACGTGCTCCAACTCGGCAGGGAGGAAAAGGTCGTTCAGGTCCTTCGGGGGTTGCTGTAAAAAAAAAACTAATGAGTGAAATATTGCGAGCAAGAGGACGTACTTGGCCGTTCATGTTCCAGGTGGCGACGAAGATGGACACCTCCCTGTGAGGCAGCACCTTTTCCAACTCCATCTTGCCCATTAGAGAGACGGAAGCGATCCTCCCTTGTAGAAAATTCCTATAATTTTAATTAATTTAATATTTTGAAGAGGGTTTGAATTTGAAAAGTACCTTTCCCTAGCCCTTTCTACGGGAATCAAGTGAAAAACTCTAGCTGCAAGAAGTGCCTGTCGCGCCAGGCCTTCCATTAGGGCACCACTTGGCTCATCACTGGCCTCGTCAGTCATACTTTTAGAAACACTTGCTGTCTCAACCTGAGAAGAAAAACACAAAAATTCCATTCTTTAATAATGAAGATAATAGTCTCAAAAAATCACTCAAAGATAAAAAAAACCTTAAAATTTCTTTGTAAGTTTTCAGTCGCTCTAATATTCTATTTAATTATTTTAAATATTTATTAAATTTAACAAAAAAAAAGATCAATGAATTATATCAACTTGATAATTACAACAACAAAAAACTAAGAATTTGTTTGAAAGTTTAGATCAATAAATTATGCAGAAATGGACTTTTTATATTGATTATTTTTTCAAGTCAAATTCGTACCGTTTCCGTATTCGGAGTGGACGGCAGACTTTTGTTGGCGGCACTTTCGAAGGAGTCTGAAGGCTCTTTGCGTCGGAAGCGTCCGGTGGACTCGACCCTTTTCATGAAGGGCGAGTTTTCGCACGAGGTGGGCGGCGTCGAGTTGCTGCTGCTGCCCGCTTTGCTTTTGCCACTCTTGCCGGAGGAGGTGCCGTGGCGCATCAGTCTGGAGAGAAATTATTTCTTTTAATCAAAAGGATAATAAATTATGCATGGAAATTTATACAATTTATTAGAGGAGGGCAGGCTGGAGGAGAGGGTGCCGTGGAAGCTCTGGCGCAGCTTGTTCTTGCGCTTGATGAGCGAGTCGAGGAAGGGCACGTCCGACCTGGCGCCCTTGTCGACCGCGGGCAGCTTCAGGTCCTCCTGCGACTTCTGCTTGTCGCGCTGCTGCTTGGCCAGCATCGACTGCAGGTCCTCGCCGTCCGGGAACAGGTTGGGCAGCGTGTTGCGTCGGCCCGACCTGCCCATCGGCGGCTCGGCCATCTCGTCAGGGTACTTTTTGCCCTTCTTGGACGACTTGCAGCGCAGGAAGTTGTGCGGCTCCTTGCTGCGAAAGCTCATTTTTCTTCGATTAAACTAACAATTCATTGGTGCGATTGCGACAGTATAATTGTTCCCTTGAGAAGTAATAAAACGATCGCTATAAAAATGGTTTTCGCAGCTTTTCAAACCCGTTTCCGAGCCGCCCGCAGGCGCTGCCTCGCGTGCTGCCCAATTTCGCAAGTCCAACATTTTCCGCCGCTCCTCCGCATCTCTGATTGATGACTAGATTCGTGTCTCCGCTGCTGACCTACTTGGGAAATTGCCACCCTTTCGGGGAGCTTTTCAATTCCCGAAAAATTCCTGCACCCCCATTTGCCCGCTTTGTTTACAGATGTCGTGCACGTGCCCGCCAAAAGGGGGCGTGGCCTTTGTTTACACTTTTCACAATAAATTTGCGAGGGAAACGAATTAATTAATAATTTTGCCGAATATCTGGCGACGATGGCGTCGAACCAGTGCCGAATGTGTCACCAAAAAGGGGTCATCGACCTGAAAAACGACCGGTCCGGCGAGGTGATGAAGAAAATCTCCTCCGTCATCACCTTCAAAGTTTGTCATTAATAAAACTTGAGGGGTTTGAATTATTAATTTAATTTATTTTCAGTTGGAAATGCGACCAGAGTTGTCGTCGATGCTGTGCAGAGAGTGCTACAAGCAGATTTCAACGACGTACGCGTACCAAATGAAGTGTCTGCGGCACGAGTTCCAGCTGCGGAAGAGAGTCAAGCTGGACAACCCCGAAGTCAGGGTGGACAATTACTCGACGGACATCAACGAAACGAACACAGCTCCGGTGCGTTTCCTCATCCAAACCTTCTGAATTAAGATTAAAAATTAAATATACATAATTGCAGATGCACCAACTCCTGTCCGACTCGGGGCTGCAAGTGTTGCGACAAAACATAAAACAACTGAACGACAAGGTTGCAGAGTTCAAGGAGGACAAACTCCTCATGCAGGACAAAGTGGCAACCTTGGAGAAGGAGAGAGACGAGCTCAAGAGATCCGTCATGCAGTACACCATAGGTACCTTTGGTTTTTGTTTTTGAAATCTTTAATAAAAATAATAATTTAACTTTTTACAGCCCTACCTGACATCACCAAAAACATCGCTAGTCTGCTGTCGAGGATGGAGCAGCAGTTTGTCGCCATGAACACGCGGGTCATTCCGGACAACTACGTCGAGACGAGGGCCAGAAGCCCCATCGTGTCCATTTCCATTCCAACCAAACCTGGCGGCGAAGTCACTTACGAAATCGAAGACCAAATGTATTTTTATCCAATTCAATTAAATAAATTTTTATTTAATAATAATTTCAGGGACATTCCCGATTTTGACCACGACGATGACGAGATGTTGATGAAGGGGACAACCACGATTTGGGACCCAACTACTCAGAGCTCAAACTTCTTCACAGTGTTGGTCCCGAGGAGATCAATTTCCTGATTGACTGAATTAGAATTTTAAGAAAGAAAGTTTGTCAATAATTTAAGTAAGAACTTTAATTTATAAATCGTCAATTCATTTTTATTTTATGCACAATAAACAGACTAACTTTGAACAAAATCCTTTCAACTTGGTGCCTCGTAGAGCCAAACGGTGTCAACACCATTGCCGAACACAGCCACTGGGGTCCAGGTGGGCAGGGGGAACCTGCAGGCCACGACCCTGGCGCCCCCGTCCAGCTCCCTCTGCATCTTCGCCTCCAACTCCTCCATCATCTGTTCGACCCCGAAGATGACCACGTCCGAGAACGGGGCCAGCGAGAATTTGAAAAGGTCCGTGCGGAGGTATTGGGGCCTCGGAGGCGCCATCCGCAGGGCCCGAACCTTCGAGTAGGCCACCAGCCACGGGTTGAGCTCGACCCCCACGCTAGGAATGCCCAGCCGACTGCCGAGTTCGACGACCCGGCCGTCGCCGCTGCCCAGGTCGACGAGGCGCCTTCCGCAGGGTGGCTTGTGCGGCCACGCCCTCCTCAGGGCCTCCCGCACGTTCTCCACCTGCTGCGAGGTGGCGGGCACGTAGGGCAGACACACCCGTCGCAGGGCCGGGGTCACGAAGGGCACGCAGGCGGCCGTGACGGCCACGGCCGCCCCGCCGGTCAGTCCGACCAAAAGGTAGCCCAGGTCCAACATTATAAATTAAACAATTGCGTCAGGGAAGAAGAACTTGATCTCCTTGGCGGCCGATTCCTCCGAGTCGGAGCCGTGCAGGGCGTTCCGAGTGTCCGTCAGGCCGAATCTGCCCCGCAGACTGTCCGGCTCGCTGAAGATGGCCCTGAAGACTTTGGTCGGACCCAGCAGCCGCCTCCACTCCTTGATCGCGTCCTCCTTGGCCAAGACCTGCACCTCGATCGGGCCACTGAGGAGAATTTAAATTAAAAAAAATATTGTAAAAACATCTTTTTTTTAACCTGATCATAAAATTGACAAGCCGGTTGTAGAAAAAGCGCCCTTTGTGCTCGGAATAGAACTCGCTGGCCTCCTTTTCGGACAGCTGAACTTTTCTCGTTGCGAGGACTTTAAAGCCGTTTTCTTCAATCGCTTGTCTCACACCCTATGGGTAAAAATCATATTGGTAAAAATGATAATTTTTCATTATAAATATTGCATGATGAAATATCACCTGGAGCGCGTGCGGAGCCTTCACGACGTGAGGTTTTACTATCGCCAGGGTCAACTGAGACCCCTTCGGCACTGACCACATTTTCCGTTCTGTTTCATAGCGATTTTTTCCGGCAAAATAACAAAAAGAAAAACTTGCAAACGCAAAAACTTCTCTCATTCAGTCCTTGGTCGGTGGCGCCTCTTCAGTCGATTTCCTCAACTAAAACTAAACTGCGAATCAAAATACAAAATACCCCCACCACCGACAATTTCATTCACTTCTTTATTTTTGATCGGGTTTCTTTTTTAAAGAGCGACCTTTGAACTTCCTTCTCTGCGCGAAAATCACCATGGCCTCCTCGTTGTTGAAAGTGTGCGTTCGAGGGTTTTCCTCGTCCTCGGTGGTTTCGGCCACGATTAAAAACGTGACCGTCATCGGCGGAGGCCTGATGGGCTCAGGAGTGGCTCAGGTCGCCGCCCAGGCAGGTCAAAAAGTGACCCTCGTCGACGTGAACGAGAAGGTCCTGGACAAGGCCAAGGCCAGCATCACCGGCAACCTGGCTCGCGTGGCCAAGAAGCAGTTCAAGGACAACCCTGCCGAGGGCGAGAAATTCGTGGCCGGCGCCCTGGGCAACCTGAGCACCAGCACGGACGCCCTGGAGGCGGCAAAGTCGGCCGACCTGGTGCTCGAGGCCATCGTCGAGGACATCAACGTCAAGCACAAGCTGTTCGGCGCCCTGGACCAGGTGGCGCCGCAGCACACCATCTTCGCGTCCAACACCTCCTCCCTGTCCATCGAGGAAATCTCCAAAGCCGCCCCAAACCGAAAGGTGAATTTTGAGATTTTCTTTTATTTAAAATTTAATTTGAATTAAAATTACAGGACAGATTCGGCGGTTTGCACTTTTTCAACCCGGTGCCCGTGATGCGCCTTCTGGAGGTCATTCGCACCCCTCACACCTCCGAGGAGACCTACAAGGCCATGATGGAGTGGGGCAAGGCCCTGGGAAAGGTGCCCATCACCTGCAGGGACACGCCAGGCTTCGTGGTGAACCGACTTTTGGTGCCTTACCTGGCCGAGGCCATTCGCCTTGTCGAGAGGGGCGACGCCTCAGCCAAGGACGTCGACATTGCCATGAAGCTCGGAGCTGGTTATCCCATGGGACCCTTTGAACTTGCAGACTACGTCGGTCTGGACACCACGAAATTCATCCTCGATGGTAAAAATAGAAATTAATTGAATTATTAAAAAAACGAATTGAATAAACAAATATTTCAGGCTGGGCTAAAAAGTTCCCCGACGAGCCGCTCTTCAAGCCCATCAAGATGCTCAACGAAAAGGTGGCTCAGGGCAAGTTTGGAGTCAAGACTGGCGAGGGTTTCTACCCTTACAAGAAGTAGAATATAATCTTGTTTTTGATCACATTATTATTATGTTTGTTTTGTTGAATTTTATCTTTTGAGAGAGATCAAAGATCTTGCCTGTGGGAAAAAAAATATTTTGCCAAGACTGTGGGTTGGATCTGAATTTAATTCCAGCTCGATTTCCATTCAGTTGTCATAATCTCAATTTGCAAATAAAGATTAAATAAAAAATTCTGCTATTTTAAAACAAATTTTTATTCCTGAGCAAAAAATAATATGAAATGAATGTAAAATTTCAAATTGTTTTTATCTTATAGATAAGTGCAGTTTCATATGAGCTGAAGGCAGTGCTGAGCGGTTGACCACACTTTTTGTAGCAATTTGTCAAGCTAACTAATTGTTTAGTTGGTTATGAAATTATTTTTTTCGGTGACGGGTGCACATTAGTCGGCGCTTCTGATGTGGCTTTCCTTCGGAGTGTCGCCCTTGGACTCGACCGTGGCCATGAGGGCAGCCATCGCAAAGTTCTCCGCGGCCTTTTGGACGGCCTGCACCATGTGTGATACATAATCTGAAAGACCGTGTCACAGCGGTTATTTTTCATAATTATGTATTTAGTCCTACCCTTAACAGGAAAACTTTAATAGCGGTTTAAAGAGAAATTTTTTAGAATCGATTTGGCGGTTTGCACTTTTTCAACCCGGTGCCGGTGATGCGCCTTCTGGAGGTCATCCGCACCCCTCACACCTCCGAGGAAACTTACCAGGCCATGATGGAGTGGGGCAAGGCCCTGGGGAAGGGGACCGTGACCTGCAAAGACACGCCGGGCTTCATCTCGTCAACCGGCTGTTGGTGCCGTACATGGCCGATGCCCTTTGCCTGATCGAAAGGGGCGACGCGACCCCGAAGGACGTCGACCTGGGCATGAAACTCAGCGTCGGCTACCCCATGGGCCCCATCGAACTCGCCGACTACAACGGACTGGACAACAACAAACGCGTCGCCGAGAGTAATTACAAAAAATTAATAACAATTATTTAATTTTTGATCAACAGTTTGGGCAAAGACGTTCCCTGACGACGCCAGGTTCAAACCCAGCAAGCTGCTCAACGAAAAGGTGGCGCAGGGAAAATTAGGAGTGAAAACGGGCGAAGGCTTTTACGTTTACAATAAAAAATAGATTCTAAATAAACAATAATTATGTAATAAGACCTTAATTTTCTTCTAAAATTGCACAAAACTTTAATAGATTTGATGAGATAGACAAAAGTTTGTAAAAGCAAAGTCCAAGTAGGTTCAGATTCAGACTGGGTATTTTGATTTCAATTTCTAAGATAAGGTGTCAAAATATTGGAGATAAAAGTACTTTAATAAAGATAGCCTGAGTCTTCACTCGAAACAATTTTAGCTCTGTTTGAAAAATGTCGCTGCTCAAAATTCGCCGTTTCTCCTCGTCCTCGGTGGCCACGGCGGCCATCAAGAACGTGACCGTCATCGGCGGCGGCCTCATGGGCTCGGGGGTGGCGCAGGTGGCCGCGCAGACGGGTCACAAGGTCACCCTGGTGGACTTGGACGGAAAGGTGTTGAGCAAGGCCAAGAACGGCATCACCGCCAACCTGGGTCGCGTGGCCAAGAAGCAGTTCAAGGACGACCCCGCCCAAGGTGACAAGTTCGTGTCGCTGGCCCTGGCCAACCTGAGCACCAGCACGGACGTGGCTGAGGCGGTCAAGTCCGCCGACCTGGTGCTCGAGGCCATCGTGGAGAACATCAAGGTCAAGCACGAGTTGTTCCGCACCGTCGACGCCTTCGCCCCCAAGGACGCCATCCTTGCGTCCAACACCTCCTCCCTGTCCATCGAGGAAATCTCCTCAGCCGCCCCCAAGAGAAAGGTGAGTTCGAGAGCAAAATTGAATTAAATAGTTTAAAATTAAATAATAATTAAACAGGAAAAATTCGGCGGTTTGCACTTTTTCAACCCAGTGCCCGTGATGCGCCTTCTGGAGGTCATTCGCACCCCTCACACCTCCGAGGAGACCTACAAGGCCATGATGGAGTGGGGCAAGGCCCTGGGAAAGGTGCCCATCACCTGCAGGGACACGCCAGGCTTCGTGGTAAACCGACTTTTGGTGCCTTACCTGGCCGAGGCCGTCCGCCTGGTCGAAAGGGGCGACGCCTCAGCCAAGGACGTCGACATTGCCATGAAGCTCGGAGCTGGTTATCCCATGGGACCCTTTGAACTTGCAGACTACGTCGGTCTGGACACCAATAAATTCATCCTCGATGGTAAAAATAAATTTACACTGAATTGTGTAAAAAAGTAAATTGAAAATATTTCAGGCTGGGCCAAAAAGTTCCCCGACGAGCCGCTCTTCAAGCCGATCCAGATGATCAACGAAAAGGTGGCTCAGGGCAAGTTTGGAGTGAAATCGGGCGAAGGATTTTATGTCTATAAAAAATAAAAAGTGCAATTTAAATATAAATCGGTTTCTTTCTAACAAATTACGGATTCAGCAAAAGGAAATGAATTCAGGTGAAAAACTTTCCTCTTTTCTTGATCGCGCTTTTCGATTTTTAAAAGCAAAGTCTGGTAGGTGCATCGATTGGGATCGCGGTTTGTGCGCCACTTTCGAGCGCGCCTTTGTTTCCTCGCCCGCATGCGGCACCAAAGTGTTAAAAACCCTTTTGCCTCACGCTCTCTCCATCATTCACAATGAGAGGCTCAAACTGTCTGGTGCTCATCCTCGTAAGCACAAATTCTCCACTTATTTTTACTAATTATTCACTAATTCAATATAAATTTTTCTATTTAAAGAGGTTCTCCATGTTCATTTTTGTATTCCTCAATGTCAAAGCAGACCAAATTTCATGACCCAAAGTTGAAATAACTTAAGAAAATTTGCGCCCGCAAGTTTCAAAACAGGGTTTTATCAGCAGTTCAACTACTATTCCCGCCAAACTAATTTGAACCTCAAGGGTGGTTTATCCTGATTTCAAATTAACTAGAAACAATTTCAAATTTGAATATTTCTTCCTAATTTCAGGCCCTGAGTGCCGCGGGGGTGGCTGGAGTGCCCCCGAACCACGCCCCCAACCACCGGGTTACCCCCAGCCCCAAGTTCCGGCCCTCACCCCGCTACGAACCGTACGAACCGCAAATGTCGCGCTACGAACCGCCGCGACCCAGATACGAGCCGCCCCCCTTCACGACCCCTTCGCCACCCCCTCCGACGGAACAGACGACGATCGAGAGGGTGAGTGCGGCGGTGAGCACCCTGAGGAGGCTGGTGGACGTGGACCGGACGGCGGCGGCCACGACGCTGCACGAGGAGAAGGCGGAGGCGGCCAGCGGCCACCTGCCGCTGGTGCACGCGCTGCCGCAGTTGATGTTGTTGCTGCAGCTGCTGATGCACCTGCTGCACCAGGTGGTGCCGGTGCCGCCCCACCTGCACCCCTACCACCACTCGGGCGCCCACCTCTACCCCAAGCACCACCACCACGGCGGCCTCCTGCACCACAAGGCCGTCGGCGGCCCCTTCTACGGCCCCGGCCTCTACGGCGTCAGCGCCACCAACAACGTCCTCGGCAGGGGCCCCTTCCCCGCCTACAAGGTCGAGGACAACGCCAAAAAGTGATCATCAAGACCAAGAAGTCAAGACTAAGTTTCAAGTGCGTGACCAAAAATTCATTGAAATCGGGACTAAATTTTGAATAAAGTTCAAATTCTTTTGGCGGGAAAAGTTTAGACAAATCTCTGATTAGTCTTTATTTAGATGAGATGTGAATTTTTGAACTTAATTTTATCCTCATGACTCATAAAGTTTTGGTTCTCAATTAAAAAATGAATAAATATAAAAAAACCAGTAGGATCCTTTAATTTATATATTCAATTGAGAAATCAAGTCATTGTTCAAATTTGTTTCAAATTTCTGTTAAATTTAAAATCACTTTGTGCCCATTTTAATTACGAATGTAGGCAAAGGGACTACTTACGAAACCGGGTTTTTGTGTCCGCAAATACGGGAAAAGTAAGAGTGGCCCGGAATTCCTGTGTTGGCGAAAAAATGCGGGAGGAAAGTCGCGAGAAAGAAAGTCGAGTGAAATTGAACTGCAATTAAATGTGTGCAGCCCGCATCGGAGAACAAATCGCGTCGCTTTTGACAGTCGCTACGGGTGTGAAAAATGGAAGATGCGCGCCTGACACGGATTTGTGTTTCTCCGACAGTGAATGAATGAGTGTCTTTGTGCATCCCAAATCAAACTTAACACTGCTTTGCATGGCCCATTTATCTATTTACATACTTTCTCATGCCTTAAATAATAAAATACCATTCCAAATTACGATATTTTCATTTAAAATTTGACGTAGATCTTTTAAAAATTGATAAAAAAATCTTTCATTATAATTGAATTAAATTTTATTTTACTGTTAAAAATGATAATTGAAAATTTTGGAATTATTTACATTTTCAGCGGAACAACGGTCGAACTGAACATTATATTGAGTTTTCAACTTAACTAAATCGCACTTTCTGGTCCAGCTCAGGGTGCAACCTGGCGCATGCAGAGTCTTTTGTTTGGCTTCATCGTCAGTCCTCCTCGTTCACTTCGACAGCTGCAATTAAACCAAACAAATAAATTTCAATTAGATTTCGATTCACTTCACAAGGCGATATAATTGGCATTTTGGATTATTTCAGAACATAGAATTTTTTATCTTTAAAGTTAATTTCCCTCAACAAAGGGCTAAAAAACCATGATTTTTGCCCTTTGCTACGGAATATTTCAAAAATATTTTTTTAATATTTAATCGTCAAGAGTGTGTCTTAATGTAAATAATGAAATAAAAAATGAAAAATAAATTACTAAACCTAGCGGATTTGATGATTTAATTATAATTTAATCAAGAGGAAACAATAAAATTGAAATTAATCCCGAGAACTTGAATGTAATTAAAAGAACTTCTTTAAACGGGGTTTTCGAATCACTCACGCTCAGATTTGATGAAGACGGTGGCCGGGTCGTCCGAGGGCGGGTCATCGATTGCAAGGTCAGGGTCGTGGCGGCGGAGCACCTGGGGCAGCAGGTCCAGGTCGATTTCGTCGTCGACGTGCGGCTCGACCTTGATGACGACCTCCTCGTGGTCTTGGTCGGGGGGCGGCGGGGGGGCCGCGGCGCGTCTGCGGGGGTCGTTGGTGAGGGCGTTGAGGAACGTGTGGTGCGCCCGCATGCAGCTCTCGACGAACACGGCCACCATGTCCAGCCGGTTGATGCAGTCGACGCACACCATGCGCGGCATGCCGTCCTCCTCCTCCACCTGCCAAGCACCGACAATTTCATTATTAAAAATCAAGACCAATTCTCAGGGAGACGCACCACGATGGGCAGGCACTTGCGGATCTTCAGGTCCAGGTTGTGTTTGGCGCCGTCGCGGCCGAAGATGTCGAAGAGGAAGCGCGGCCGCTCGGCCTCGCCGCACAGTCGGCACTGCACCCTGTCGACGCCGCCGACGCCGCCCTCCTGCACGTCCACCGACATCAGGCCCAAACCCTTGAAATCCTGAATCAAATTTCAAGTCGAATCGAGCGGAAAAAAGAACAACACGTTTGTTTTTGCTACGATTTTTCAGAGCTCTCGTTGTTTGTTTACGCGACGGTGCTGCCACGCGCGGCACTCGAAGGAACGATCAGCAAAGGGCGGGAAAAAATGCACGGCTGGCTCAGATTTAGAAATTCATTAGATTTTATAAAAAAAATCAAGATTCAAGTGCTCTCGTTAAACCAAGAAAACAGTTAAATTTTTTCTTCTCTCAACAGTTGACTGAATATTGTAAATTCCTTTGCAACAATTGTACGAAATAAAAAGCATAAAACATAAAAATACTTTTCTTATGCGGCCGCAGATCGAATTAATTTTCTTAATTTTATCAGCTTCGGCGCTATAAAATTTTAGCAAATTTCATCCCTATGATTTCTTAACGCCTATTATAGATTTACAAATGGCAAATGATCTTTTCCTGCAAAAAAACTTTTAAGCGAGTTGTATGAATTAATTTAAATAAAATTAAATTACAAAAATATATTTTGGCAGAATTTCCCGATTGAGGGGTTGATTCATGGTGATTATTGATTTTAATAATCGGCTTTCTCTCTCGATTCGTTTTGTGAGTTAAGCGCTTTTATATTGTTTTTTAAGAAAAACAATATCCTGCTCTAGACATTTTCTGGCTGCGGGCTGAAATAACTATCAAGAATATATTTAGTTCAAAAATCAATCTTTCAGAAAATAATTCTTTCAAACTTTTTCACCAGAAAAACGAAACGAATAATATCTTATAGTCTTCTCTCGACAACCGCCAAGAGAGATACGCGTTTCAATATTATCTCTGACCAAAATTAATTAATTTGTTACAAAATTTTGAATTCGATTGTAAAATATTTTGTTAAAAACGTTAATTTAAATAATATTAATATTCACTTAAGGACTTCTTATTGACATAGTCAAATCAAGTCCTTACAACAATATAAACAGATTTCTCGATTTTTGGAAATTTTAATCACCATTGTTGTAAGGACTTGATTTGACTATGTCAATAAGGAGTCCTTAAAAATTGTTGATTTGAAAGAAAACTAATCTTTAAAAGATTGATTTTTGCACTCATTCTTATAGTCAAAATGATTTGAAAGCATGAAGAGCAGGATTATTGTTTTTTTATTGAAATCAATAGACAACTTACAAACCCATTGAAGGAAAAGCTGATTTGAAATTCATAATATTACAATAAAAATATTTTCCGTTTTTATCCATCTGGTGTTTTAATGATTCCATTGATAAAATAAATGTATGAACTTCAGTATTTCTTAAACTTTTCTCAAATAAAAGTGATTTATTTTCTATTTTTTAAATATTGCAGTTTTATGTTTTTCAACACAATTGAGTTTTTTCTCTGATTAACTAATAACCTGCCGGAATAAGGAATAATTATGATCAAGGGACGAGACGAGAAGGCGAACAGCTGGCACAAAATTGCGCGCACCCCTTAAGAGTGAGAGCTTTTCTTGCGCGGCGCAGCTTGCGCGTTTCAAAGTTTAAAGGGCCCTTTATAAGTCGCACGCCTTGTGATTTAAACGCCGGGGTCTTGGGAAAAAAACTCTTGTTTTCTACAATTCCAAAATATATAAAATAAATACTCGTCATGGAATTAAGTGAGTGAGAAAATATTAAAATTAAAAAAATAGATCATAATAAAATTGAATATTTTTATCAAACGTCGTTTCTTTGTTTTTATTGTTTTAACATTTGCGTTTAATTTTTTGTTTAATAAACTGAAATTAACCTAACATTTTTGATGCATTTAGTTGCATAATTAGAAAAAATATAGTAATTGGTTATTTACCACGAGTGAGCTACAATAAAAGCTACTTTACAAATTCGCCAGAAAAATGATGTCATTAAAATTGATTGAGAATCGCAACTTATGCGTCACGCTGTACCGAGTTTTCTTTGTTGTGTGCTCGCGGCCACCCCTAAATTGTACAAGGCGCAACACACGGTTGAACTGGAAATGCAGATCGGAAGCAAAGAGGGTGCGAAAGTTGCGAGCAATCACTTTCCTTTATCCCCGGGCCGCATCTCACCTGTCGCACCTGGCGCGAAGCAGATGCTCGTCCGTGACGTCACAAACGCACTTTGATAGGGCGCAACAATTACGTGCGATATTAAAAAATCTGCGCAGTAGAAATATTTAATTTTTTAGTGTCGAATCGAACTTTGCTTATTTTGTAAAGATTAATTCCAAGTTCCGAGGAATTACTTTTAATTGTTTTAAATTTTTGGCAATTTTTATTATGAAAATTGACTTTTCCTCTATAATTATTAATTATTTTTCATTTACTTCATGCCCTAGGAAGTGTTTAATTATTAATATTATTATTTTTTGAAATTTTAATCATAAATTTAAATCAAACACTAGCACTTTCTTCAATTTATTTTTAAATATTTTCTGCAATATTAATAAAAAAAAAAAAAAAAAAAAGAATTGAAATTTAATAAAAGTTTTTTATAATAAAGATCTACGAGTAATTAAAATATTATAATTTTCTAGATGTTTTTGCATAAATTATTTAGTAGTATCATGTGATGCACAATATGCACATGTCCCTTAAGACCCTGAGTCAGTGTGATTCAGTTATTTGGTCGTTTAATAAAGTTAAAGGGATCATTACGAGTGACGATGACCAACTCTTTTATAAGTAAAATCAAAACATGTGGAGCAACAAAATTCAAATTGCTTCGAATTTCCTTATTATATAATCATTAAAAACATACTGCCCACTCAACTTAATCATTTAGCATTCAAAATCACGGCAAATCCAAAATTTTTTAAAGAAAAACATTGAAAGAGATCGGTCAATTTCCCCACCACCGTTTGTTATTGGATAGGGAACGCCAGTAAAGGCGGAAAAGTAAACAAAGTTTTGAAGTTTCCAAGCGTTTGGCGCGTCCGTGCAGCCAATGGGAGGGCGCGCCTGCGTCGTCAGCCAATCAGCGTCGAGCTCGCCCCGAACATATGATCGCGAAGAGAGCGGCCGCCGAAATTGTCATTTCTTTCTCTCTGCGACTCCCGCCGATTCACCTCGCCGCAAATTCGCCTCCGTCGCCCGCCTAAACTCTGGTAAGCCACCCCTAATTGCTCTCAAATCATCCCTCGGGTCCTTCTTCAAGGTCACGTGACCGAATCCCGGACGATTCGGGCTTGATTCGCGAGATTTTGGCGTTTTTGGCGGACGCTTCGTCTCCCGCCCAAGTTCCGCATCGCCGGCCACCACCTCCCGCGGGTCATCCGCCCTCGGACGGGTCAACCCTGGCAGGTTTGCGGTTCCCTGAGCTCGAAATTTCCTCCTCCACCCGAGTTGCTTGATTTCCCAAACGGATGCGGCCGGAAAAGAGGGGAAACGCGGCCTTTCCATCGTGGCATTCCGGGCCACCATTTTTGCCCCTAAAGTCCACTTTTCCGCGCACTTTCCTCGTCCGTTCTGAATGGGACGTGACCGATGGGCTGTGAAATGCCGTTCTCCGTTCCAAACCGGACGGATCGGAGCCGAATTCGCGGCGAATCGGCGCGGACTTGGCACTTTTCCATTGTCATGTTGGCATCGCCAGAAACTTGGAGGGAAAAGTCGCTTTTCGCCAATCTCGCCGTTTCACCCCCAAGATCGACCCGATTCCGCCCATTTCTCTTCTTAATCGGCTCAAAAATAATTCCTTTATTCAAATTTACCAAATTTCTTCAAATTTGTGTGTGGGAAAGTGGAAAATCCGGGGGCCGAAATTGGCGCGCCGAGACCTCCATTTTGATGGACCGAGGGCGTCGATTTTCCGCACACTCTCGGCTCCAATTTCTTTTTTTTATAAATAATTTCTAAATAGATTAGAAAATGGAAAAGTCCATCAGTTTCATACAAAATGAATTAGAATTTAAAAAATAAAATCGGTCTGGGATTGGAATCCAAGACGACCTTGGGGCGGTCGTTCGCCTTTCGATCGCACTTTGCACCTTGAATGAATTCCTTCGTCTTTCGCAGGTCTCGAAGAGGAGTTTCGCGATTCCTGCCGCAAATTTTCCAACTCAAACACGCAACAGGAGACTCGCATCCGACCCTCTTTGGCCAGAGTCTGCAATAATATGTCCAGGAAGAATGGGTGAGCAAAAATTTAATTTTTTTAATGAGCAGAAATTTTTAATTAAAGAGAAATTTCTTATTATATTAAAATTAAAATTATTGAAAATAATTAATCTGTAATTAAATCATCTCTTTTCTGGTTAATTCTCTTCGATTTTAATAGAAATAAAATAATTTACAAAATAATTGCTTTTTGCTTTGAGAATTTTATTGCAATTTAAATTTTAATTTTCTCCACTTTAATGGATTTTAAGAATGTTTAATTTTCTCCTATTGGTGCCCCCCTGAAATTCTCTTCAAAGGCCTCACCTTTCAATTTGTGAGTCAGAAATAAGGAGTCGCCTGCATAACAGCGGGGCGCCTTTCTCTCCTTGTCCTGAGACTGATTGCACTTCCTCTCCACAGGCAGCAGCTCACATTGCCAGCGATGCTCAAGAGAAAAAGGTTGGCCGACGGCCCCAAGGAAGAGGTGAGTCGCTTTCCAGTCAATTTCCTGTTCAATCAATTTAAACTCCATCATCATGATTCAATGGCCAGGAAATATCCAAATGAAATTTTAAATCAAATAAGTTTTTTTAATTAAAAAAAATGTCTGATTTGCAGGCTTTAGAATCGTCTCAACCAAAGCGGCGCTATTTGCAGCCAATCAACAAACAGGACACTGTCAAGCCCAAATCGGTTTTGAGACGGCGACCGTCGATGGACGACGAAAACCGCACCCTTTCAAAGTCAGTTTGAATTTCAAAACTTATTTTTACAGATTAAATTCCATTTTTATACATTTTAAACTAATGTTGATTGTGAATTATTTTGTGCAGATTTCGAGAGATGACTTGCGTGGTGACGCATCTGCAGGAGCGCAAGTGTCCGTTCCCGAGCTTCCCGTGGGCCAACCGGGACGTGCTGTGGCAGTCGATGGTGGGGCCGGACGTGCGGAGCCGCCAGTCGCGCGACTCGTCCATCTTCGAGAGCAACCCCGAGGTGCAGCCCAAGATGCGCTCGATCCTGCTCGACTGGCTCATCGAGGTGGCCGAAGTCTACAAACTGCACCGCGAGACCTACTACCTGGCGCAGGACTACGTCGACCGCGTCCTCTTCGCCTCCCAGGGCATGCCCAAGAACGAACTGCAGCTGCTCGGCATCACGTGCCTCTTCGTCGCCTCCAAAGTCGAGGAGATCTACCCGCCCAAGGTGTCCGAGTTCGCCTACGTCACTGACGGCGCCTGCACCGAACAGTCCATCTTGGACCACGAAGTCTACGTCTTAAAGGTAAAATTCGGCAAACAACTTAATTCATTTCATTTTTTACAAATTAGCCAAAAGTTTTGGCAATTTGCAAGGATTTCTGATGTATTTTTTATTTTTAAATTTGGTTCGAATTTATCAAGTTCTTATCAAGCACATATTGTGGATTCGGAGTCCCGCAATAGGGCCGAAAAGAACAAGGCCGAAAATGGCTGAGCGGAACAGGGCCGAAAAGGAACAAGGCCGAAAGCTGAAAAATAACCGATAACCGCGAGCGCGTTCAGCTCAGCGAACATTCAATCCTTTGCGCGCCAATACCAAAATCCGTCATGCGGCCGATTCCCAATGGAAAATAGACGAAAATTGATTTTTCACAAGACTTCGCAAAATAATCTTCATTTTGGGCGAGACACATAATCACAAAATCACAGAAATTTGGGGGACAACAAGATGAAGATAAATTGATCTCCTGTACAGCTCAAAAAAACCATACTGCATGTGAACTCCAAATTTTTTATGTCAACTGACCTATTGATTTGAATTTGGGTGGTATGAACGTGATTTTTTGAAATCAATTTAACAATTTTGGTCAAGCCAATTTTGAGAAAAAATAAATAAATTCTAGGAAATACTCATAACAATGCTAAATTTAAATTTCAAAAATTCAGGTCTCCTACCAAATTCATTTTAACTATATCTCCTTGGAACTGACATAAAAAATTCAATGCTAATTAATGTAGGGAAAAATTAATTGGGCCATTCTTTTGCAAAAGCTCTCCTTAATATTTGAGTTTTGAAGTCTGCTGGTCAGTTTTTGGTTCACGTATTTCCGGCATATCGACCATAAATAAAACCAGGAAACTGAAAAGTTCCTTCCCACCACATATTAAATAATTTAGATATTTCTTAATTTGATTTATATAAGGACGATGATAAAAAAGATTGTGTGTCCTGAGACCCGAGGCGTCCCGTTTCTTATTGGGATGGCAGGTTGACATAACACGGTTATCCCGGTGATTTCCCATAAAAATCGGTTCTTCCTATTTTGTTTGCACCGGTATTTCGGCCTTGTTCCTTTTCGGCCCTATTCCTTTTCGGCCCTGTTCCGCTCAGCCATTTTCGGCCTTGTTCTTTTCGGCCCTATTCCGGCACTCCGTGGATTCCATTCCTTTACAAAAAAAAAAATCATGTGAAATTCAAACATAATTAAAGAAAAATTAAATAATTTGATGAAATCATTTGATTCATGAGAGCAATGACCTCAAAATTAACCTTCGAACCACATGTCTCAGTCCATTAATTCCGAATTGTGTTTTCCAGGCCCTGGAGTGGGACCTCTGCCCTTTGACCCCTGCCGGGTGGGTTCGTCTGTACCTGCAGTTTTCGTCTCGCAGCGGCGAAGAGAACAAGCTGGACATGCCGCGGTTTCCGCCCAAGGCGCTGCCCATGGTGTCGCGTCTGCTCGACCTGGCCACCCTGGACTCAGGGTGCATGACCTTCTCCTACTCGGAGCTGGCGGCCGGCGCGTTTGCCCTAGTGTACGGTCGCGAACGCGCCCTCGACGCGTCCGGCTTCCAGTGGCCCGAGCTGAAGAAGTGCGTCGCGTGGATGGCCAGGTTCGCCATCACCCTGCACACCGAGGGCCTTATCGTCATAGCCGGGACGGAGGAGGTCGAGGTCGCCGACCAAGACGTGCGGCCCGAACTGGTCCTCGCAGCCACCGCCCACGTCGAGAACGAGCACAACCTGCAGAGCCACGTCGTCACCCTCAAGATGCTGGTGAGCGCCTACGAACCTGGTGTCGGGGTAGGTCTTGCCGAGAAAAGTCCGAGACGGATGCGCGGCTCAAAATTGTAGATTCGAACAGGCGCCATTTTCCCAAAGTGGGCCTGATTGCTCCAATTTTGATTCCAAGCGTCCGTCGCTGAGAGTATCTCTGCAATGACTAATTAGATTTTTGTATAATTCGTCATTCGCATGTTACAAAGGATTTAATTTTTGGGAAGGAAAATTTAGCAACTTTTATTAATCGTTTTAATCCGATTTGTAGGAAGTTGCGCAAAAGTGCTTCGAAGAGAACTTTGAAGAGGAATTAACCAGTGGCAAGTCTAGTTCGTCCTCTCCGGAGAGCAAACTGAAAACCCCCAGCAACAAAGTCAGCAAACACCCAGAGGTATAGCAAAAGTTTTATAAGATCGCATTTTCTTTTAAATATTTTATTTTGCATCCAGAATTTGAATCTCAATCCCAAATGGCTCCTTAATGGAATTTCTTATAATTTAAATTTGTCGTTTTTGATTGCAGGATGCTGAGGGTTTCGAGAAGGCGCCAGTGAAGATGTCGTCGACAAAGCCCCTTGCTCAGAACCTGAACCCCAAGGAGCTCTTTCAGTCCCCCGAAGTGACAAAATTCGATCGTTAGACTTAAGGCGCGTTTTTTTCTGACCGGAATATATCAATTCTATATAATTTACTGTAAATAATATATATTTGACTATTTTGTCGCGGGACGTGATTGATTGTGCTGGGGAGACTAATTAATTTTTGTTGCAATTATCTTGTTTTATTAATTTTCACCGTAATTTATTGCAATTTTATCGGTCAAGACTGCAGGTTGATTGAGAGCGCTAGTGTAAATAATTTATGAGACGTGTGTTCCGAATGAAGAAAAAGAGGAGGAGAAAAAATATTCAATTTGCAGAGATTTTGCATCAAAACTTTCTGTGGATTTGCTGATCAAAGTGCTCGCCTTTAATTATTAGAAATAAATTACTAAATTGTACGATTGCGTTTTTGATATGAATTTACAGGACGGAGAACTTAATGGAACTTTTTTGGAAAAATTATAATATATGCATTATATAAATACCGTCTTTCATGAGAAATGAGATGTTCAACGCTCATGTTAGAAGCAGTGATTCTTTGTATCTTTAATAAAATTCTCAACAAAATAATAATCATGCTTTTTTAAATAAAATTATCATAATGGAAAAACAGGAAAATTTTCAATTGAGATTTTGAAATAAATTAATTCTTTGTAAAAGTGGCAGAAAATAATGATTTTGCCCAAATTGACAGCAACTATAAATCCACAAGTCAATCAAAATATTTAATTTGCAATATCGATGCAAAGTGACATCTGGCGGGCGTTTCGGGAACGAATTTAGGCTTGTTTACGATCTGACACTGCAGCTGACCGCGGATGACCATGCTTGCTCGCGTCCTGTCCGACTTCTGACCGTGATATGGACGATTCGCAGATTTACCAGGGCGTCCAGCACAACGACGAGCAGTTCCTCTTCGGCTCGCGAATCGAGCACGTGCGCTGCCCTTTATTTTCTGCTTTGAACTCGTCTTTAAAATTACTCAAAAATTTTCGCAGGACCTGCTGGAAATCAAGCAGGAGAAGCAGCGGCTCGAGGGCGAAATCGACAAGTACGAGCGGCTGGTGCAGACTTTGGAGCGGCTGCCGCGGGAGCTGTCGTGGCCGGTGCCGCACGTCGCCCTCACCAAGCACGCCCTGCTGCCCGACGCCCACTTGGTCAGCACCAACGAGGTCACCGTCCACATCGGCGACAACTGGTTCACGCGCTGCTCGGCGCACCACGCCAGGTCCATCTGCCTCCGAAGACAGCAAAGTAAATTTAATTTTAAAAAAAAAATGGAACTTTTTTTAAAATAAATTTTGATTCGCAGAGTGCAGGGAGACGATCACACTGCTGAAGGAGAGGGAAAAGCTGTTGTTGAATTGGCAAAGGGCCGTGAGCAGCATGAGCGGCGGAATCGCAGGAGGAAGGGACGAGACGGAAGATTTTCCGCTGGACGAAGCGTTCGGCGGCCAAGACATCAAGGAATTCGTCTCCGAGGAGCAGTACCTGTTGGACAAAGGTTGCCACCCTTTTTTTTTTTAAATTGTTTTGGTACAAATTTGATATGGATTTGCAGAGACTCACAGACAAAGGGTGCGGGAACATTATGAAAAGAGGCGGGGCCTGAAGGAGGAAGCTGCAGGGGTGTCCGACGAGGAGCTGTGGCGGCGGCTCGAGGAGTTGGAACTCGAGGAGCAAACGTCCGGCGAACTGAGGACCATGAACAGGTCTGAGCGCAGCGGCGCCCCCGCTCGGGAGGTGCCGCCCCCTGAAAAGAAGAAGAAAAAGGTCGGGGTCAAATTCGCAGACGAGGAGGTCAAGCAGGAGGAGGAGGAGCCGAGTGTGGTCAAATTGGGCTGGACCTGGGACGACTCGGCCAGCAGCAGCAGCGACTCCTCCACTGCCGACGAACCGGAAAAGGTGCCAAAGTCTAAGATTATTTGTAAAAAATATAATTTTGATGTTTGGGTTTGCAGACTGAAGGGGCCAAGTCTCCACCCAGGAGGTTGTCCTTTGCTCAGCACATCGAGACTGGCAGCGACGAGACTTCGGTCATTGAGTTCGCGCACACCCCTGTTGAAAGTTTGCCCTTCTCAACGTCAGACCAGCTCAGGTCGCCGTCCGACATTTACTCCACCTTCCAAGAAATGTTTGCAGCAGCAACAACGCCAAAGTAATTTTTGCTTGAAATTATTATTTTTTGTAAAAAAATTTCATTCTTTTTCTCTAAGCACTCTAGCAACAGATGACAGAAGTTAAGGGCATTTACCTCTTAAGATTTATTCTGTTAGAACGCTTTTCTATTTTGAACCAAAATTTAAGATTTGAAAGAAATTTATTAAAAAAAATGTGTGCAGGTCTATATTGAAGCAGCCGAAGAAGGAGGTGGACGCCTCCGAAGAGTGGCCGACCATTTCCTACCCCTTTTCCTACATTCAGGGCGACCTGCCAAGTAGTGACAGCGAATATGAAGAACCAGAGCCCCCCAGCACTGATAGGCCGGAGGTAATTTTTTCTTCGAAAGATTACATCGAATGAAAAACTTGACCAATTTGAACAGGTTCTGAGTGACGTGATGGAAAAGGTCGTTGTTGCCGCCAAAGCCCCTTCACCCCCTCCTGAAGAAGTTCCTCTTGCCGAGGTGGAAAAGCGGTCGGTCCAGTTTTCGACTGGGCCTGCGGCCGCCGACCACCCTGGCAGGCAACACGGCCGCAAGAAGCTGAGCAAATTCAAGTCTTCGAGGATGGCGTCCAAGAAGAAGTGAAGCATATTGTGATAATAATAATTTGCAGAAACAACAAAACCTGTATGTGGATTTATTCGATTCGCATCCAAGCTGCGCTGGCACGCCGGCCTCAACCCATCCACTTTTCTATGTCTTGCTCTTTGTATTGTAATAAAAAGTCAATCAGTTATCACAGATAATTAGTTTATAATTTATTATTCTAGTTTTTTACTGCAAAATAATTAAGTTTCTTGTCACAGCTCACTTCTAGGCATAAAGATTAAGACTATTTTTTAAACTAATGGTTAGTTTAAGGTTCTGAATTATTAAATTACTTAATTTGAACATTCAAGCCTGTTGAAATTGCATCTGCGCAAATTTAACAAAAAGCGCCAAAATCACACTTTCGTGGTGAATGCGTAAGTGGTGTAACAATTTACTTGCACAACTACTGCTTTTGATTTTTGTAACCATAAATGTTATTTAATTAAATTTCTGCAAATAATTTCAGAATTATAGCTTTTTCCCAATTTTTTTGTTTATTTCACATTTTGCACATTTATTTATCCTAATAATCAATAAACTCTTTATTTACAAATATAAACGCCCCTGAATCAAAAAGCAATAATTTCCAACAAAATTGCTTTTTACTCTTCCTACTTGACAGCAGGGGGCTCCATGAAAACACCCTGTTTGGTCGCGGAATTGGCAGCCACGAACATGCCACCGACGAGGGCGAAAACTGTGAATCCCTGCGCTGCGATTCTCCACCGCATCATCACTTGGGACATGTGACTTTTTCCCTGTCGAAAGTTCCACAGTCCGTACGACAAAACTCCCAGAGTTAGAAATGCTCCTGAAATGTTTACAAAAAATATTTAGAAATTATGTACATTCAAAATTGTGGTTATCAGAGAAGATATTTGAGAATAATATTGAAACACCTGCGGGGACGAGAGGGTTTTCAGAAAACTTCCTCTTGAATTTGCCGACGAATGTTTCGTCTTGAATATTTTCTTCCATTTTTTGCCTAATTTGAATCCAGTCAAACTCACTGGTGTAGTTTTCATCGCTCTTCTTGGCAGCAGTTTCTTCTGCAGGCTTTCCCATTGTTTTATAATCTACATAAAATGGAAAAAACGATTAAAAACTTCATAATTATTAAGTCCTGTATACCTACTTTCAAAAATACTAGTTATATAATAACAGCAAAGCAGGTGCGGAGAAAAACAAATTCAGCTGTGCCAGTGAAAGGGAAAGTAGTTTTGATTTGTAATAATTGTAAAAGACTCGATCGGAATACATGAAATTTGCCACAAAGCGCGGGAATCTTTGAAATGGCTGCGATTGGCCGAAATCAAAGATGGCGTCCGTACGGATCCAATCAAAAGAAGAAACGAGCCAATGAGCGCTTCCCATTCAAATTTGGCGCCAACAGCCGAATTCTTTGAAAGGCCGCGAGGGGCGCTGGAATTCGCAATATTCGCATCCAATCGAATTTAGCCTTCTTGCTTTCCTTCTTCCGAGTCACAGAAACGAGAAGATTCTCGGCGTGTGCCGAAAATTCAGGAATGCGCTCGGCCGAGTGGGAAGAGTGGTTTTAGGAGGGTGCGTCAGCGAGAAATGTCGCATCTGTTCCGGGACAAGGGAAGACCAAGTGCAGACCGCTTTGACCCGCGCAGCAGCGACGAGATCCTGCAGTCCATGAGGGATGAACTCGCCCGCGACAAGAGGATGTTTTTCGAGCCCCCTTCTTCATCTTGGACCGACTCTTCCGTGAACCCTTCGCCCTTTTCCAGAGTGCGTATGTTTTCGCCAACCACTTAATTTTTCAAAAGGGATAATTAACGAGAGCGAATGAAAAAAAATACGGAAAGAAAACCGGCTCAGCCTTCTCGTGACACACATAAAACGTCAGGCACGCTCATTATGCGTGCCACAAACTAAGCACACTTGCCAAATTCTTGCTTTAATCATCATTAAATATTCTGCAAAATTTTAAAATTTTCATCGAAATACTTAATTTTTAGCCAAATTTAAAAATTCAAGTCTTGTTTAAGGTGGAATGAGCGAAATTGAAATAATTGATGAAGGGTAAATTTTATGATTTACTTAAATTGTTTTTGAAATTTAAGTTTCAAATATTTAATATTGAATTTAAAAACCAGCCAGAAAACGTCCAGATTTTCCTTTGAAAATGACATCTTTCATCTTCAACGTTGAATATTTTGAGAAATATATCGATAAGGTGTTTAAATATGTTCAAATTTTTGAACCTGTTTAATTAAGGAATCGAACCGTGCCTGAAAAATGAAAATTGTCCATGCAGTTTGAAAGTTACGAGGATTTTTTGTTGGAAAAAATTGGAATTTTTTTACAAAGATTTTCCACGAATTTAAATTCGAAAACGAATTTTGACGGCGCAATCGTTTGGTTTTTCCCGAGCGCGAGCGTTTTTATTTTTATCTGGATCAGTGCGAGGATCTGCGGAGATTTTCGCTGGAGATGAGTAAGCGTGGCCTGGCGTGGCCGTCGCGAGATATTTTGGTCCGGCAGGGCGGATTGCCAGCCGCGAGTGGACCCGCGACTAAGTGATGCAATTTTGCTGTCACTTGCTGCTGCTGCATTATTATTATTATTCTCGCCACCCGCTTCTAGAAATATGCACTCGAGACGAACGATCGGCGAAATTGCAACATTCGGCCACAAAATGTGAGCTTTGTGTTGGCCGCCGCCGCAACTTTTGGCTCGCGGCCCACCTACAATTACGTTGATTAATTCACAGCTGTAATTCTTGCTGCACAGAGAGAGCGGAAAATCAATTAATTGCTCTAAAATTAATTATTAGTAATTTAAGGAAATAATCTGGAACTATTGCAATGACTAAATATTATAACATTTATTTAATTAGAGAATTTATTCAAATAAGAAAAGATCAGAAAGATTAATTAAATAAATAAATTTTTTTTTGAAATTTATAAAAATTAACAAAAAAAATTTCCTCTGCTGCCATCGTTTAAAAACCGACTTGAATTAAGCTTAAAAATTATATTTCGATTTTTTGCCAATTTCAAAGTTTTTTTTCTTTTTTTCTCAATAATTCCTTGAGAACGATCTGGAATGAATTCGCCCTTTGCGATCGTCACGTGTGATCAAATTTCACCTTCCCACAGATGTTTTTATTGTTTGCATTTCGCGAAACGCAAGCGCCTTATTGATCAGTTTGCGCGACAAAGGGCGCGACACGTGCCCGCGAGGTCACCTCTCGCTGAAAGGTCGCCTGAAAAGACAAACGCCGGCCGGTCACGCGACCAAAGATCAATACCAGATTATATAAATAAACCTGATTTAAGAGTGATGAGACGAGTTGACGGCACCAAAGAGCAACCTTCAAAAAAATTTCTTTCAATTAAAAATGAGATGATTTTCTTCTTCTAATTTTTCAATTTTGTTTGAATTTCTATGAAACCCACTCAATTTGAATGAATTGTGTTGGATTTGTTAAGTTTTTAACAAATCAGACCAGATTATTTTTCAGAGGTATTTAAAATTTAACGATATTTTCGAAAAGGCTTGTTCAACAATTTGGAATTCCGGTGCAAAATGACATGGCGCATCTTTTGGATATCTTGGACTTTTTTGTCAGGTTGCTTATTTTGAAGGTGCATCAAAAGATTTTACTGCTTGTCTTTAAAAGAAAATAATTTATTGTTACTTTACTTTTAATGAAATTTGTATTAATTATTATTTGAATTGAGGCTGTTAAAAGTTTGTTTGCGTTGCTACGGCCATTTCATTCATACATATAATGTTAAATTTTGTTGTATTTAATTTGAAATTTGGTGACTTCAGGGATTCCCGTTTGACTCTGACCGCGGAGCGCGCAGCAGCCGCCTGCAGAAGCACTTGGACGAGATCGCCGCGAGACACCCCGAGTTCGCCGAGCACCTCCGCCCCTCCGACATGGCCTCCGCCAAGGGTCAACGCACCCGCCAGCCCTCGGGCGGCAGCTCCGGCGTCTTCTCCGAGGACGACGTCGCCTCCGACTCGCACAGCCAGGTGCGCTTTTTTCAAACAAAAAAAAACAATGCAACAAATTTTTTAACTAAAAAAAATCGTGATTTGCAGACGAGCGACGAAACGCCGAAGCAGCCGGAAGCGGCTCGCAAACTGCCGCAGTACGGACTGAGAAACACTGTTGACCTCGGCGGCGCCGCCCAGCAACTGGCAGACAAGGAGAGAAACCAAAGGTCGTGGTCGGCGCCCCCGGAAAGCCGAACCACCGAGGAACAGCCCAAGAGGTCTGTTCATTTCATAGTTCCATTTTTTTTTAATTATGTTATTCTATGATAAGAAAAAAAAACAATAATTTTTTCCATATAGACAAAATTATTGTTTAAAAACAAATACATTTGTATATTATTGCAAAAAAACTGACTTAGAGGAAAAATCTGACAATTATGAATTATGTAATTTTTAAGGTAATGTTTTGAAGGAAGTAATAGTTACAATTAAGATTAGCAAAAATGTAAATTCAAGGTCATATTAATTATTTTAGATCCTTTGAAGCATTTGCAAGTTTTGGTCGCAATCATGTTTAAATTTTTTTTTTTATTAAATTTGAATTTTTTCCCCTCCAGATTTGTATCTCGAATCGAGATCCAGCCTTCGACGCCCAGAGGCCCAGCAGAGCCCCCTGCCCCCGCGGGCAACCCCTCTTCGAACCCAGGCAAACCCCCGGTGCCCCCGAAACCCAAGGGCGGAGAGCGCGTCATCCCCATTTTCGTGGAAGGGCGCAGCGAGCCGCTGGTGCCCAAGGACGTGCCGCCGCACGACCGCCCCCAGCAGCCGCCTCCGCAGCCGCCCCCGCAGCAGCCCTTCCCGGAGCGCCGCGCGGACTTTGACGACTTCACCGACTTTGCGCAGTTTCCGAGCCGCGCCTTCGGGGACAGCGCGTTCGCCGACCGCTTCGCCAGGCCCCCCGACTTCCCCGCCAGGCACCAGCGCCACTTCGGCGAACCCTTCTGGGCCCACCGCCCGGGAGCCCAGCAGGGGGCCCAGCAGCCGCCCCCGTCGCCCCCGCAGAAGCGCCCCATGGCCGCCCAGTCGCCGCCCACCAAGCGCACCCCCGAGAAGGCCCCGCCGGCCAACGACCCCCTCTCCAAGGTGGCCGTCGTGCAGAAGGACGTCGACGACCTCATGCAGCAAGTACGTTTTAATTAGAAAAAAAAAATTACCCTACAGGGGCCAAAAGCTGGACATTTTCGTAAAAGGAGATTTTGAAAATCAAAATTTTCTCGGTTTCTGTTAGAGATACGCCAAAAAGTATAATGACCAAAGTTGTTGGAATTCAGATGGACTACAACTTTGCTTCAGTACCCAAGGTTGCAGGTCAAAGATTAAGGTCACTTTTGGCATCATTAAATTTAAAATTTGCTGATAAAGTAACTAGTAAATAAATATTTTAAGTTTCAGAATAGCCAAAATCTGCGTATGGTAGTGAGAAGAACATATTCAAAATTGGTGGCAGTATTTTTTTTATAGTTTTCTAGTTATTCAGGGTCAAAGGGTGAAGAACGTGTTTTTGTTTTTGTTTTTTGGTCTTGCAACCTCAATAACTTTTCTACCAGAATTAGGATAAAATGTGTGATGACAAAAAATTATCCACTTGATAAGCTCTTTCAGGCCATGCATCACACATGGTGACTGGTTCACACATGGTCATTGACCCCGGTGACCCGTGACCTTTTCAAACTCAAAATTTTAAGTGTGACACGATTTTAGAAAGAGGACGTCAACATAATCATTTTGGTAACCGGATTTTTTGTTTTACATAAATAACAATTAAAATAATTGTGGGTGAAAATTAATTTTTCGCGAATGAAGCTCGAAAAACCACGTTTTTCATCCTTTGACCTTGAAAAACTTCTAAACTAAAATAAATACTATCACCAATTTTGAATATATTCTTTCCTACCAAAATACGCAACTTTTGGCTATTCTGAAACTTAAAATATACTTATACTAGATACTCCAGCAGTAAATTTAAATATTAATAATGGCAGAAGTTTGAACTTTGACCTGCGACCTTGGGCTCTACAGCAAAGTTGTGGGTCGTGTTTATTGCAACAACTTTGGTAATCATAATTTTTAACTTATCTCAAACAGAAATCAAGATATTTCCGATTTCTTGAGAAAAAACCTTCCTTAACACTTTATTTTCTCCGCAGATTGAGCAATTCTCGGGCGAGTCGAAGAGCGACAAGCAGTATCTGTTCCTGGACGAGATGCTGACGCGCAACCTGATCAAGCTGGACGACATCGAGACGGACGGCAAGGAGGAGATCCGCAAGGTGCGCAAGGAGGCGATCCGCAGCATCCAGCGCGCCATCAGCCTCCTCGAGTCGCGAGTGCGCGGCAAGACTGAAGAGCAGAGCGCTGGTGGCGCCGAGCAGACTGACATGCACGTGGACAACGACGAGTGCCCCGCGCCGCAACAATCGAGTGACGCGCCCGCCCAGTGACTCTTATCTATTTTAATCCCCTCTTAATTAATTAATCGCTATTTATTGAACACGGAGCAATAGTTTTTGTACTCATGATTTCGTTGTGCCACCTACTTAGCGTTCTGCCTGCTGATGATTTTTGTTTTACTATACGGGTAGCTCTGCCTTACGAACACAAGATAACTGCCTTGCAAATAAAGTTCAGAGTTGTGTGCCTTTTGCAGCACACACCGGCAATTATAAAGGATCAAAAAATGATTGCGTTTCTTCATTTATTGATTTAAACCTGCAATTTTAGGAATCAAACGTTGCCAAGTCCACATCTAGCAAGATCTGATTTTTTTGTATTTTAAATAAAAGTCGCTGTAAATTTTAAGATAACGTCCAATTGAATGACACAAATGACGGCAATTGGTAAAAAAAAATCGGCGAGATAAGATAAGGACACACGCAAATGTTGGTCCAGTTTTAGAATTTTACCAGTAGCCTATTTTCTGAATTTAACACAAAAATGAGGCAGCTAATTTTTCTTTTCTTCGCTGTTATATCTTCAGTGAGGTAATTCATTCTAAATTTTCTTTTAAATCCATTTAATTAAAGAAAAATGTACGCAGTTGCAAGACAAGCAAATTTCCTGAAGTGACGCTTTTCCACAATGGCAAAGTGGGAGGAAAAACGTTGCAATCCTTCGACGGCAGAGACTTTTTCGCCTTCCAGGGAATTCCCTACGGAAAGCCTCCGGTCGGCGAGCTCAGATTCAAAGTAAACTTTTATAAATTTTGGGGAAAAATGAATTAAAGTCATAATTTAGGCGCCGGAACCGGCCGAATCGTGGTCGGGCGTTCTAGACGCGACAAGGGAGGCGAGTCCGTGCGCCCAAGTGCCTCTGAATGGCGCCGAAAACTTTGTTGGAAGCGAGGACTGCCTCTATCTCAACGTCTACACCCCAAAGGTTTTGACAGAAAATTTATTCTAAAATGTAAAAAAAAACTTATTTTGTAATTAAAAGTTGCCAAGCAAAGAGAACAGGGAAAAGTTGCCGGTCTTATTTTGGGTTCACAGTGGCGGATTTTACGCCGGCAATGGCGGCATGGACGAAAACGGACCAGAGTTTTTGATGGACGAGGACGTCATTTTGGTCACGATCAATTACCGACTTGGACCATTTGGTATAACAAAATTTAAGTAAAAAATTGAAACCTTGTCAAATGCGAACAAAATTTGAAGGATTTTTGAGTTCCGGTGACCAAAAAATTCCTGGAAACTTCGGGTTGAAGGACCAGGCTTTGGCACTGACCTGGGTTCAGGACAACATCGAGTTTTTCAACGGAGACAGGGATAGGTTAATTATACATTTTTTTTAACGATTGAATTAAATTATTAAAAAAAATTAATTTAGAGTCACGCTTTGGGGCTACCGCGCCGGTGGTGCTTCCGTCGAGGCGCACTTGTTCTCCCCTCAGTCCTCAGGTGATATATTTAAATTAAAAAGTAGGTCAATCAAAGGTCATTGAACCATGATTGCAGGTCTCTTCAGCAACGCCATTTACCAAAGCGGGAGCTTGGCCAACGAGTGTCTGTTGCAGGCAAAGCCGGCGCTCATCCTGCAAGTGCTCAACTCTATCGTCAAGTGCGACGAGCATTTCAAGATCGAAGACCAACTCGAGTGCCTTCGAAAGGTGCCGGCCAGCGACCTGGCCAAGGCCGTCAATAATTTTCCAGTAAGAATCTTAATTTTTTATTTGAAATAAAAAAGTTACCAGAATATGGAAATAAACTGAAGCTCAAAATGTACATTTTTGTTTTTAAAATTTAATTTAAAATTCAGTCTTGGGGCCAAAAAATTCCACTGGCGTTCTCCGTGGTCCAAGAGTTGCCGAACCACTTGGACGGGTCGTGGGTCGAGGAACCCTTCCTGCCTGAGAATCCGAACCACTTGCTAGCGGAAGGGCGCATCATCAACGACGTGCCCACCATCACAGGACTCGTCAAAAATGAAGCGGCCGCGTTGGGAAATGGTTTGCAAATTATTTCTAATTATTCATCTTTACTCCTGAATTTTTTAATCAGCTTTGAAGCAAAATCCAGACCTGCTGGGACAGGCGGACAAGAGCTTCAAAGACGTGTCCAGACTGGCCGGTTGCTTGTTCACGATGAAGCCAAAGAAAGTGGCAAAAATCAAGAAATTCTACTTCGAGGATAAAAGAATCAACGAAAAGCAGACGGATCGATTTTTGGAAGTAATTTTTTTCAAAAACTTTTTTATTGAAATTTGAAACTAAATTTGCATTAGTTTGTGAGCGACTCGATGTGGAACTGGGGTCAAGTCAGCACCGCCTTGAAGCAGGCGAAAGCGGCCAAGAGTTCGGTGTACTTTTACGAGTTCACTTTCGAGGGCCGCATTAGCGAGGCGACAGCTTCGGGACTGAAACCCCTCAAAGGTTGCTCAGTTTTAAAAATCATGTATGAAATTAATTGGATTCGGCAGGGGTGGCGCACGTTGACGATTTGGCGTACATTCTGCGGAGGCGCGTGCCCTTCCCCGACGGACAACCGGACGAACGCGAAAGAAACACTTTGAGGCGCATGACCGGATTCCTGGCCAATTTCGCTCGGACCGGGTTAATTGAATTTTATTTTCATATTTTTTAATTAATTATAGATTCTTTCTCGAATTCGGGAGATTTCATTGATTATTTATTTATTTAATAATATAAATAAATTAAGGTGGGAAAATATATTTGAAAGTTTCGGTGATTTCAGCATTCTTTACTTTTAATTTGGTATTTTTCTTTTTAATCAAGAAATTTCTTTTCAGGAACCCTAATGTGGAAAACAACGAGCTTTTCCCGGTCGAGTGGGAACCGGTGGAGTCGGAGAATTTCAAATATTTGGAGATCGACGAGGAGTTGACGATGCGCGAGGGCTACCCCTTCAAAGAGAGGATGGAGTTCTGGGAACGGCTCACCAAGAAGAAGCCAAAGGTTGAGAAAGAAGAATTGTAGATTGACAAATTAAATTTAACGTTGTGTTTATTTAACATAATATAATTTAATCAAGGCAGGCAGGGCTTTGCAATTTTGGGGAATGTCGAAGTAGTTTTATTCTTGGGACTAGCAGAAGCAAACTTGAGGTTAAAGACCCACACCAGGCAAACTCTCCAGAAATTTTTACATCAGAGCATTGGCTGTTTGTATTTTCTTGCAATTTTTCCTCAATTGGGACTAATTTCATTTAAAGTTTTAATCAGTTTGGCTGGAAGAAATTTAATTCCTGTTTCGGAGCCTCCGGGTGGAAATTTTTTACATTTCATTTTAATGTTGATCACCAAAATTGGTCATCTTTCATATTCAGAAATAAAAAAATTACTCATTTTGTTCTTCAAATAGCGATTTCAACCTAGATTTTTACACTTTGTAAGTAAAAAGTGAAAAATTTGCCAGCGTGGACCTTTAGATTAGCAAAAAAATTATATCATTTTTTATTTTTTTACCTACCCGATATATAAAAAAACTCAACAATAACTATTTGGAAAAAAATAAAATTTTGAGACTGCGAAAGATTCAAAGTCCAAGGGCACTGCACAGGACGAAAGTCAAGAAGAGGACAAGGACGATGAGGAGGACGGCGAGCCACGAGGGCATGGTGCGGCGCTCGCGGACGCTGTGCACGCACACCTGGTTGTCGACCGAGATGCTGACGACGGCCGTCTCGAAGGGCCCGTCGGCCGTCGTCGGCAGGAAGGCCAGGCCCGTGACGAACATGGCGTGGGCCGCGGGCACGTGCAGCACCCTCTGCAGGCTGAACGCGATCAGCACGTGCACGCTGCCCGTGAACATGGTGCCGGCGGCCACGAAGCGGCCGTCGTCCGACACGGCCAGCGCCGACAGGCTCTCCGCGGACGGCCACGCGGTCACCAGCGAGCCCTCCTGCGGGTTCCAGAACTGCACGTACGAGTTCTGCTTGGACCTCCGGGCAGGGTTGGCCAACACGAACAGCCGAGATCGCGATTTGTTGCCCTCCACGATGCCGAATCTACAGACACATTCAAAATCAAATTATTGATTAGAGAATTCTTTAAGGAGAAATTTAAATAAATAAATATTTAATAAAATAATAACAAATATAAACAAATTATTAAAGATTTACATAAATAAAAATTGAAACAATAAAATAAAAAAATTGAAATATATAGAAATTAAAAAAATTATTAATAAAAAAATCAATCAAATATTGAGCCTATTGAGGGAACAAATTGAATAAAATAATTTTAAAAAAATCAATAAAGAATTGAAAATATAGCAAGAAAAAAAAATTAAATCTTGGAGATTGAATCAATTTTGCTATTAGTATGGAACAGTTTTAGTCTCAATTTATTTTTAGCTATTCAAAAATTTGGAAATTTTGATTAACAAAAATTGATTCTTACCGGCATCTTTTAAACATGAACTTGAGCTTTTCTGGCGTTTCCCAATTCAAGGACTGCACTTTGGCCGCCTTCGTACAGTCCCAAATGTGTCCTGCCCCGTCCTTGGCTATGCTTACGATCTGAACAAAAACTTTATTCACCTTTTCTTAACCAATAATTTTTGATAAACAGACCAACTTTTCATCTGGGCTAAAGTCTAGGTCGTCGATTTCTTTTGAATGAGCTGCGATGTCATGGATCAACTTCATGGCGGGGAATTTCCAAATCCTGACGTGTCCGTCCAAGCCGCCGGTCGCCATCAGCTGCCCGCTTTTGCTTATCCTAACCACCCTCTGCAGAGGCTCGTCGTTGCTGCAATTAAATAATTAACGCTGCGTCACTTTTACTAATAAGTTTCATTTTTACTTGAAGTCTGTTTGGATGCTGTCGCCGGGGCCGATCTTGAACTGGAGCCGTTTGAAGGCGTTGCTGTTCGAGTCTATCCTCTGCGGTTTGCCGTTTTGCTGCCCTTTTGAACTTCCCCTCCTCTTCCGGACACCCTCTTTGTTCGACTCTTCTTTGACTTGGCCTGAAAGTTCAAAATTTCGGTTCAAATCTGAGTATGGAATTGATATTGTCGTCACCTTTGTTGCTGGTTTCCTCGGCTTCGTCGGTCACGCTAATGTTGACGTTGTAAAGCTGGCAGTGGCTTTCTTGTCCGGACACGACGAAGTACTTCCTGCCGTCCGTGTGACACGCGCAGTTCATGACGACGCTTCCGCCCGTCTCGTGCCGCATCGCCTCCTCGCCCACGAACTTGTCGCCGTCGTGCGAAATCTCGAAAATCTCCTGCGAAAATTCATGATTCAATCAAAACGCAAGACAAAAAATATCAAAATAATTCGTACGAATCCGTTTTTGACGCCAGTGTTGGCCGCCCCGCCGCCGCCGGCCACCAGGACGTGCCGACTGTCCAGCATTTCGACGCAGTAGAGCGGGAAGTTCACTCGGGCGAACAGGCCCCGCTTGTCTTGGCGCGTTTTCGACATTTCCGCAGCCGATTCGCACCGAGAAGCCTAAAAAATCGCGCTACTTCCACGTCGCCTTGGACATTTGTTTTCGCTGACAGCTGTCCAGGGCAAAATTCTTCGCAACGCGCATGCGCGTGAAAATCCTCTGGTTCTAAAACTCACAGAGGATGCGAATCTCTCCAAAAGCAGCCGCCATATTTGAAAAGTTCATTGCAAGATATGCGAGGATTTGAATATTGGCGCCAAAAAACATGGCGGATCGAATCATCCTGCCAAGCATCCTGCATTTGATCGTGAATAAAGTAAGGAGGTGTTGGCAGGACAGGAATATTTTTGTGTACGTTTCTTCTCTCGACCCCGGCTGAGGATTGAATTGTTTTTCAAAATGAACAAGGCGAATTTGAATCAAGTCGTGTCCCGGTTTTACGGCGAGTACATGAAGACGACGCCGAAGCGGCTCAAGATCGTGGACGCGTACCTGCTGTACATCTTCCTGACCGGAGTGGTGCAGTTCGTGTATTGCTGCCTCGTCGGCACGTTTCCCTTCAACTCGTTCCTCAGCGGCTTCATCTCCAGCGTCTCGTGCTTCGTCCTCGGAGGTGCCTTAATTATTAATTTAACGATTCAATTTTCTAAAATTTGCATCCATTTCAGTCTGCCTGCGGTTGCAAGTGAACCCGGAGAACAAGAGCCAGTTCCTGGGCATCAGTCCGGAACGAGGATTCGCCGACTTCATTTTCGCCCACATCATTCTGCACTTGACCGTCATCAATTTCATCGGCTGAGAATTAATAAGAAGCAGATACATTCCGCTGTTCAAAAGAAAAGTCAAATTATATTAAATTGCATTTGCTGATTATATGTTTGAAAAACGTCAATTTGTTTTGTATTGATGTTGAAATCTTTATATTAATTTGAAAGAATAAAATATGGTTCACAAAAGAGTGTGATTGAATTTCATAACTAATTTAACTTTTTCATTTTAATGTGCAATGATTTGAATCCTAATTTTGAAACTTTTATCAAAATTAAATCAGAAATGTATGTGAACAACAGTTTGTTTTTATTGGATTGCAAATTGTACAATCAAACCAAAATTGTTTTTGCACTGTTCCTTACGATTTACCATGTTAGACCTACTCTTAACAATAAGAGATGTAAAAACATTAACATTTTCTTTTAGTACCAATTCTCAACGATAAAGTATTGAACCGAAAACAGAAATTATAATATGTAATTAATTTGTAGGAACAAAATTGTCGGTGGCAATTTTTTGAATATTGCGACATTTATATCGAGTGCAGAGAAAGTGGAAGTGCGAATCGAGGAAAATCGCTATTTACAGAGTTCGGCAAACTTATTGCTTGGCAAAAACAACAAAACAGTTATTCACAATCTGATTTTGCAGTTTTTCTTCTAAACTATTTAGTCAACAACAAAAGTTATAATTATCTTCTCAATTGCAGATTTTCGAACAAAATTCAATTCAGAATTCGTCCCAAACTCGGTGGCTAAAAGTTACACGCACTACATTATTTTCTTTTTTGTCAAACAGTCGAAAGCAACTGAGTCGTGAATTAGTTGTCGCCGGTGTCGTTCTGCCCGATTACACAACAGGGTGCTTAATTCGCAGTTTGTAATACACAAGCCTCTCTCTACAAGTGCTCCAGCATTTTGAATTATTTCTCCACAGAGCAAAGAACAAGTGTACTCTTGTCAGGTGTGGCAAAGCAAATATACAGTCCAAAGGTATATGAATATCAGCTTTTTTTTCTTTGAAAATTCAGTCAAATTTGGAGCCGTGTCTAAACTCTCCTCGTCCCCCTCCCCCCACAGTATCACACCTAAAAAGTGCAAAAATTTTCAGCATTTTGTATGTGTTTCGTCTCCGCGCTTGAACGGTGCAAGGAGCAGTCTTCACTCGAGGCTTGGTGAAATATATTGTGACAACATTCTTTGTTTAAATCCACGACAACAACATTTCCGAAAGGGCGCCTCACCGGATTAAGGCGCGTGTTTCTCATCTTGATTTGCATGGATGGGAAGAGATTTTTATAACAATCGAGAGCAGATGATTCTTCGTTCGTACGTAAATTGGATACATTTAAAATACACATGTAAGCTCTTAGTTTTAATACCGCACTCACCATCATTTGTGGAATTCTTTCTTCAAAAAACGAACAACCGGTGTGTCTACCAGAGCTTGGCTCCAAAGTCACTAATTTTAGTTCAAACAAATTCTGGGCAAAGCAAATTTCCTCTGTGATATGCTTGTATTCTTGTCCGGTTGCTTTTTACTCGCTAAATTGACAAGAGATTGTTTTTGTTTGTAATTTAAAAAAAAAATGAAAAAGCTTCTCTATCTGACATTGAAAAACACGTTTTTTTTTTTACATTTTCATCGGGAAATGATGGTTATGCACGGTATGTATTTATCACAAACATATTTCCTTGGTCAAAACATGATTATTGGCAATAATAATTGTATGATTACTTACGAGCTAGACATGCTTTCTTTCTTTCTTTTGCTACGTAACTGCATATTTCAAAGCCCATATTAGTAACTGACCAACTAGAAATTACCGTAGAGAGTGCTAATGTAGTTTTCTTCCTTTAGTTTAGCTTTGCCGGCACGCACACTAAATTACAAATCAATCTCACTCTCGGATTTAGCAAATTAACGTAAATCACCATTGTTGGCTAAAATTATTCCTGTGAGATGCGCCAAAACATGGAAGCTTTTAAATCATGACTAGATTTCACTAACAAAGGGATTCGACGCCACAACCAAAAGGAATGATTCTTCCGAACAGGCCAGCGAGTTCGTTGCAGAGGAATTTTTTACTATTAACGACGGTCCGAGTCAAGCATTCACATCTCAGTCACTGTGCAAATTGCCGCCGCTTTCTTTAGAAGAAATGATTGTTTTTATACTTGCAAAGTGTGCACACAAGCGGCTCGAAGCAACACAAGACTTTTACGAAAGCTGCGAAACTCGTTTTTTTTTTTTAGATCCCGGGCGAGCGGCGCACTCAGGAAAGAGGCCGGTGCGGCACAAACGATAACAAGTCGGAGCCGCTGCTGCCCGAGTTCTCCTCCTCCAGCTGCTGCTCCACGTAGTAGTGCGGCGTGCTCAGGTATTCGATCACTCGGCGAGGCAGCGGCAATTCCGGGATCATATCCTTCCTCACCATTTTTAGTATGACAAACCTGCAAATTCAAATTTGGTCAGTGAAATTTTTTAAATTGAGACTACAAATTAAAAAAAAGTCCAGGACTTAATCCAAATTGAATAGTTACTTTTCTAAAAATCTGGATTTCAAAAAATAAATTTACAAATAAGTTACATTTTAATGTCAAAATTGAGTGAAAGCAGGACTAACTTTAAAAAGGTCATTCAACCCAGGCTTTAAAACGGTGTATTATTTTGTTAAATTAATAATACAATCGATGCTTAAAGATTTAAAAAAAGTAAAATGATGTCATTTCTGACCGGCACATGTGCTTGAGACTGGAAACCTGCTTGAAGCGAGACACGGGGTGCAGCAGTTGGACCCTCATGGGGCCGAGAACAGGGCGTCGGTGCAGGAAAAACAGGTAACGGCCACTGCGGGAATGTTCGACGGCGTTCTCGATGAAGTCCACTATGGTGTGACTCTTGAACTTTGTGCAGCTCCCAAAACTGAAGTTTCCTGTTGACAATTTTCAGTGTTATAAGATCTGATTCCGGAGGCCTCGGTACTTGCCTTGATCGTGCTCGATCCGAACGTGTCGAACGTTCCCATTCAGCCGGAATGACAAGGAAAATATGTAGTGCTGGTCGCTGCTATCACGGACGATGAACGAACCGTCGGGCTCAGTTGACAAGACTTTCTCAGCCGCCTCTCCCGAGATGGGACCCCAATACCAGCCGTACTGCAACAACATTGTTGATTTCAGTCGAGTGATTCAAATAAAATAATTATGCGAATAAGATCAATTATTACATTCATCTCGTGTTTACGCGGATGATGAATCAGATTCTACAATGAATAAGGTTTAGAAATTCCGTATAAAATTAAGTTTTGACACAGAACAAGCTGATTTTTTTTACAAGTAATAAGAAGCTGAAAAATCATTTCCGTATCGCTTCTGTCACAATCTTAATGTGATTATTTTAATTTTAATTAACTTAAAACGGCAAAAAAACTTTGGTTCTTAATTGACTTGGACGTGTTTTCTTGATGGTTCTAGTAAGACAAAAATATGAACTTGGAGATAGAAATAGAAAGAAATAGTTCAGACCCCGTTTCGGTACAAAATATATAAATGATTCGGAGCAATAAGAAAAATTTTGTTTTAAAGTTTTACTTAAATGGATGTGTGGCCCAGGGTTATTGTTTTACAAGAAAATGTTACTTACAAAAGTTGTAGGAAATTTAATCCTGCACATTTTATGCAATTAATTTTTTCTCCTTAATCCAATAGGAAACTCACTAGAATAGCAGGAATGTTGGAATATGTGGTTTACGTCAAATTTTTGCTCAATCATACGGACGAAAAATCGCCTATCGCCCAAGGTGTGGCCCATACGTATGATGCCAATTTTTAAAAATCTCATCTGTCTTTCAAATTTGAGGGACAGAAGTTGACTGGCCTGAATTTAATTTTGACCCATAACGTTCGCATTGAGCAAAAATTTGAAGCAAACCACATTTTCGCACGTTCCTGCTTATCTAGTGCTTTTCCTATTGGATTCAGAAGAAAGTAGTAAATACATCAAATGTGAAGGATTAAATTTCCTACAACTTTTGTTTCAAACATTTTCTTGTAAAACAATTACCCTGGGCAACAAATCCAATTTAGTAAAACTTAGGAAGTAATTTGGTTTTTTCAATTATTTGTTAGTTTTAAACCAACAGTCTGAAATATTTCCTAATTTCTGTCTCTTGTAGACCACAATTTTGTCTTTCCAGAACCATCAAGAAAACATGTCTAAGTCAATTAACCAAAGTTAATTCGGAAATTAAAATTTCCAAAAATTTCAAATTGAGAAATTGAGACAGACGCATTTGGGGAATTCAGCTTTGAAATTGATTTGATCTATTTCGACTGGACTTGCAAACAAAACTCACGTCTTTGACTTTCTGAATGCTGGAGGCGAAGGCGACGTTGCTCTCCTCGGCCAGCTCCGGGGGCTGCGCGTCGTCCTCCTTGATTCGCAGCAGCTGGATCTCCTCCTCGTCCACCTCGAGGGTGGGGAAATCGTTGTTGTTGTTGTGCGTGGAGGGGGGCAGGGGCGGCAGGGCCCTGTGCGAAAAGGGCGCCCTCGCGTTCTCCCCTCCGCCGACGCCGTAGTTGACGCTCTCGAGGACGATCCCGCTGGGCGCCGGCGGCTCCTGGATCACCTTGTCCTGCGGCTTGGGCTTGTCAGGGTCGCCGCCCTGCACCTTCTTGAACCTGAAGATGCTGCACAGGGTCTGCTTGATGCTGTTGGAGAAGCTGCTGCACTTGCGCGAGGGTTTGTCGTCGCGCCCTTCGATGCTCTTCGACTTCTTCATCTTGATGCTGTTGATGAAGGTGGCCTTGCGCAGGGTGGGCGTCGTCCGCTGCACCACCGGCGGCGGCGCCGCCGCCGGCATCTTGGGCTCGGAACTGGGCCTGGCGCGCGGCTTCTCGCTGCGCCGCTCCATCGAGTCGCTGGAACTCGAGTACAGGTTCTGCAGGTACTCGCGCACCTCCTGCAGGGTCATGTGCACCGGTTCCTTGGACCGGCCCGAGCACTCGTTGCTCGAGTGCGACGGCCCCGGCCGCCGCGACGTCGCCGGCATCGAGTGCCGCTTGCTGCCCTCCAGGGTCTCGGCGCTCGCCCTTGTCGCCGAGTTTCGCCCGCTCCGACGACTCCGCCTGCTCGTCGCCGCCGAGTGACCCGTCTCGGAACTGCTCGAGGTGTGCCGTCGCTTCTTCCGATGCACCTGCAACAACCACATTAGAATTCAAATAAATCGGGCAAAAACATCAAAGCAATAAAGTATTTATTTGAACATTTCTAATAATTTAAGGATCAATTTATTTCACTTGAACTTTCCACATTTCAAAAGTAGCAAAGAAATATTTGACCAAAATATTTTACTGAACTCAAATTAAATCAACTTTACCGAATAAGTGTGAACCTTAAAGGGGTTGACAATTTGTGCGGAACAAGAGATAATTTTGGGATGTTTTGGCATAGATTGAATTGATTTTTCGTCACCTTCAAGAAATTGACATATTTAACTTTTCGTCCATCAGGGTGCGAGTTATTGGCAAAACAAGAATTTTAGGCGGAAGCCATCTTGGATTTAAAAAATATTAGTTAAAATTAAGAAGAGATATTTGCAAAAAACGGCCCAATTAATTTTCATGGAAATTTTTACATTTCCCAAAAAATCTCATTGTTAGTACTGAATTTTTGAAATTAACATTGTTTCCGATGGGCATTGTCTAAAATAATTTTATCCTCAAAATCTGGCCTTAATTGATAAAAAAATTTACGAAATCACGTTCAAAGCACCCGAATTAAGAAGGAAAATAAAATCAATATAGTCGATGGGACTGTCGGATGGAATTAAGAGATTTGCCCCTGAAATTTATCTACTGGTTCAAAAATTTAAAAACTTAGACAAAAATTAAAGTTAAAAAAGGTTTTTTTTTTGCGAAGTATGCTATCAGTAATTTTCATATTATATTCTACAAAAAAAAAATTTCACACTTCCTAAAATTTAAAATTTTTATTTTGAGACATTCAATTAGAAGAAACCATGTAGCAATGTCAAATCTTCCAAAAGTAATCACTAATTCTACGATAATTTGCATAAATTTTAATATCCAGAATAAATCTTTATCACTGCTAAATAAATAGTTTGAATTAGTCAAATTTAAAGAAATACAGAAAGTTTGAAAAAATGATTTGAGAAGTAATGAAATGAGAAAAATATAGTATTTTAAATTAGGAAAAAATACCTTTTAACCCAGCAAAAAAGATTATACATATTTTACAATTTTTATACCTTTCGTTTGTGCTTGCGGTGGTCGGCGCTGTCCTGGTGGACGGTGTCGACGGGCAGGGTGTAGATGTCGCTGTCGATGGGCACGTTGTAGATTTCGCTCATGTCGCCGAGCAGGAGGTCGTGCGACATGGCCAAGGTGATGAAGCTGGAGTCGTCGGCGGCCTTGGTGCGCGGGATGCTGAGCGAGTTGTGCGAGATGGAGAGGCGCGACGAGGCCAGCGAGCCGACCGAGCCGGGCCGGTGGTGGCACGGGCTGAACGGGATCTCGGGCGTCCAGCAGAGGCGCGGCGCGCTGTCCTTGCGCCGCCCCCGCCGCAGCAGGGACGCGCTCGGGTGGCACTCGTGCGAGCACTCGATGGCCCACGTGATCTGGCTCGAGGCGGCCAGGGCGTCCGTGATCACGTCGGCCACCAGGCCCTTGGCGAACTTCTCCACCAGCCGCTTGCGAGGCGCGTCCTGGAACTCAGGCGGCGGCGCCACCGGCTGCTGCCACTCGGCCACCACAGGCACCTTCTTCAGGGTGTCAAAGTCCTCGCAGCTCATCCCGTTCTCCGGCCGCACCGCCTCCTCTTCACTCTCCTGCACCTGAAATAAATTAATAAATTTAGTTGTTGATGTTTAAATTTAAAGTAGAATTTCAATATAAATGAAATACAATAAATCCTACTCAATTTTTTTTTTCAAATATGATGGAAAAAGCCTAATCTTCTCATTTTTAACTCATCCAAAGAGACCATTTTCAGTCTTTCGAACGCTATTTAAAAATAATTTATATTTTCAAAACCGCTCGTTCAAAAATTCTGAAAATTTGCATATTGATGCAAAATTAATGCCGCGTCTTTTGGCTTCAGATTTTTTTGTTAGGTTGCCTATTATAAAGGGGCACAAAACTTTATATTTTGACCTTTCGCCAGGGTCAATGACCTTTGGCCTAGAAACTTGATCACCATTTAGAGAAGATACCTTGGTTCATTATCTCCCACCGTGAAAATTAAAAAATCTTTACCGAAATTAATTTGGCAGTAGTTTTAGTAAATCCATATTGGATTTTTAAAAATATGAATTTTTTTCATTAAGTGAGTGCTGTAGAAACCAATATATTAACTATCATCATATTTGATTTTAGAAATCAATTAAATCAAAGTGTTCACAAATTTGCATAATTGACTCGAACACGTCCAACATGCAAAAAACGACGTTTTTCAATCTTCAATTTAACTTTTTTCAAAAATTTACGCGGTGACCCCCAATTTTCTGGTAACACATTCGTAGCAGGGTTGTCAAGGAACATGCTGGTGGGTCACAAACCCTTGCCAAAGGGATTTTTCTTGGCTTAAAATGCAATAAAACGATTTCAATGAAAATTTTACATGTTAACTTCAAATGCATTTTTCTCGAAAATATTCGCGGTGACCCCCCATTTTCTTGTTATAAAAATGATCCCTATGATCCAAACTAATAGATTTGCTGGAGGATTATGCGGATTATAAGGTGTTTTAATCCTCTTTAAAAATTTGGAACGCACCTCCATGGGCGCACTGCTCTCCTCGCTGGACAGCGAAGAACCGCTGAATCCGCTCATCAAAAGGAGGCCGCTGTCGTCGCTGGATGGGAAGCCCTGAGACCACGACAGACCTCCTGACAAAGGGGGCGAATCCATCACTCAAGCCATCTTCACTCGGCGACCCTGAAAAATCAAACCAAATTTGAGAAAGAAAAAAAACAAACGTAGAAAAGTGAAACTTGAGGCGCCCCAAATTTAACATCAGGTTGCGGAGAGCTCCGATTTGGGCTTTCCTCGACCTTTTCAAAGGGTTTCATCGCGACCTGAAGCCCCTGAAGGTGGGCCGAGATGTCAACAAGGGCCTGTCAGCTCGCAAATCATGTCAAAGGTGAGCAAGCGTATGGCCGATTTGAATCGATTTGTGCGCGCCCACGCACGCCTGGGCCCCCATTGGGCCGCTTCCCCCGCCCCTCCGCCGCGGCCGAAACGTGACGGAAGCGCGTTCGGCCGCCGAAAAATTGCCCGCGCCGCCCAAATCGCGATTTTCACCTTGCCATCTCCTGCGAATCCTTCTTCAATATTGGCCATGATGATTCATTTTCCTGTTCCCCGCTCCGGTCAAGTGGTTCGCGTTTCGTGCTCCGCGTTCAAGGGTGGGGGAACTGCAGAGGGGATGAAGGGGAAATCCAAGATGGCGCGCCACAACACGTGAACGCAACGCGGCTGCAGTGTTTTTGCGTGCGATTTGATGCCGAATTGTGAATAAGAAGGAGCGAAACAGACCAAGTCGGACGTGAGTACGGGCGGCGGAAACCCTTTTCCCGCGTCAGGTCGCGAATTCAGGTCCCTGACCTTTAGTGCTTTGTTTTATTCCGCAGATGGATTTGTACGTGCTGTTCGAGCACGCTGCCGGCTATGCCCTCTTCAGGGTCAAGGAATTCGAGGACATCGGCGCTCTGCTGCCGCAGGTCGAGGCCTCCGTCACCGACCTGAGCAAGTTCAACTCGGTGGTCAAACTGGTCGGCTTCGCGCCCTTCAAGACGGCGCTCGTCGCCCTCGAGAGCATCAACAGCATCTCGGAAGGCGTTTTGCCCGAAGACCTCAACCTGTTCCTCGAGACGTACCTTCCGAAGAGCACGAAAAAGGTGAATTTGATATGAATTAAAAAATAAAATTACTAATTTCATTTCAGGGCAAAATCACTCTGGGGGTGATTGAGCCGAAGCTGGCCGCGGCCATCACGGAGGCTCTGGGCACCAAGTGTCTGCACACGGGCGTCGTTCCTGAAATCGTGCGGGGCATCCGCGCCCACTTCCACCAGCTGGTCAAGGGCTTCACCCTCGAGACCTCAGGCAAGGCCCAACTCGGTCTCGGCCACAGCTACTCGAGGGCCAAAGTCAAGTTCAACGTCAACAGGGTGGACAACATGATCATCCAGAGCATCGCCCTGCTGGACCAGATGGACAAGGACGTCAACACGTTTGCCATGCGCATCAGGGAGTGGTACTCGTACCACTTCCCCGAGCTCGTCAAAATCGTCCCCGACAACTACATGTACGCCAGGGTCGCCCAATACATCAAGAACAGGAAGGAACTGTCCGAAGAGAACCTTCCAGGTATTCTATCCACAAATGAATTTAACAAGAAACTTCTAATTTCTAATTCCTCAGGTCTGGAGGAGTTGGTTCAGGACGAATCGAAGGCTCAGGCCATCCTGGGTGCTGCAAGGTCCTCCATGGGCATGGACATCTCCCCTGTTGATCTGATCAACATCGAGATGTTCGCCAAGAGGGTGGTCGCGTTGGCCGATTACCGCAAAAGCCTCTCCCACTACCTGAACAGTAAAATGGAGTCGGTGGCTCCGAACCTGGCTACCTTGATCGGGGATCAGGTTGGCGCCCGACTCATTTCTCACGCAGGTTCCCTCACCAACCTGGCTAAATATCCAGCTTCGACGCTTCAAATTCTCGGTGCAGAAAAGGCCTTGTTTAGGTAAATTTCAATATCAAGAAAAAAAAGCAATTTTAAAAGATAATTGAAATTGACTTCAATATTAATTCATTTATTGGACTTTCAAAAGCCGTAAAAAAATCAGTTTTGGAAATAAATTTATATTTAGTCTTTGAATCAAATGTCTTTAGAAACTGTTCATTAATATAAATTTTACGAGTAATCTTTGTGTAATTCTAAAAGAGATTAATTAGTATTATTGATTTAATTAAAGTTTAAAGCAATTAGATGAAAATCACAAAAAAAAAATAGAAATTTCTTTTAAGACAGATGAGTTTTCCTAATTGTTTTTCAATTCATTTCATTTTAAAAATGACTAATAATCTAATTGATTTAAATTTCCAGGGCTTTGAGGACGAGAAGTAACACTCCTAAGTACGGTCTTCTGTTCCACTCGAGCTTCATCGGGCGGGCCGGCCCGAAGGACAAAGGTCGCATCTCGCGGTACATCGCGAACAAGTGCTCGATCGCGGCGCGTCTCGACTGCTTCGCTGACATCCCGACCAACGTGTTTGGCGAGAAGCTGAAGCAGCAGGTGGAGGACAGGCTGACCTTCCTCAAGGGCGGCGACAAGCCGCCCACCAACATCTCCGTCATGGAGGACGCGCTGGCCGAGGCGGCCGTCCAGGCCGACAAAAAGCGCAAGAAGAAAAAGAAGAAGAAATCCAAGGTGAACGGCGTCAACGGCGACGCCCAGCCTGCCGAAGAAGAAGAAGAACCGGCCAAGAAGAAAAAGAAGAGCCTAGTTGCGGAAAACAACGGCGACGAGGTGGAAACGAACGGGGAAAGCAGTCCTAGGAAGAAGAAAAAGAAGAAGAAAAGCAAGGCCGCTGACGACGACGAGTAAAAATATTTGAACACTGAAATCTTTCATGCGCAAATCGCGCAATTCAAAAACCATAATTTTATCAAGATTTTTGCTGCAGACCTTCAGCAACTCCTTTTAAAGCATTTTACTGCAATCTTTTCATTTTTATTTTGTCAATTAAAAATTGAAAATTACTATTGAAAACATGGAAATTATTTGATTTTCATCACACCTTTTTAGTTTTTAAATTTGGTGGCAGTTTTGGGTTATTTATGGAGACCAACCCTCGCCCCTTTCGTAGAATGAGGAACACTTTTACTTGACAAGTGGGTGTGTCCGTCCTATTGTCATTGCTCGGCCGAACGGGGCCAGTTCAAATTGAATTTGCAAACCGAGGTTGAGCGCTCATGAAATAGAGTTGTTAGTCAGTTGGAATTTTGCATTTGCGGAGTCGACACTGGAAAGAAGAGCAACATGAGCGGCGGCATTGACCTCGATCTCTGTTATTCGGTCGTATTGGAACTTGTCAAAACTGCCGAAGAGGTTTGCCCTCCCATCTCACTAGAAACCATTAAGCATATAATAATTGTATAATTTGACAGCTCATTAGGAATGGAATAAATTCCGCAAAGGAGGTACAGCACAAGAGCTGCGAGGTTGACCTTGTGACAGAAACGGACCAGCAAGTGGAAAAACTGCTCATATCAGGGTTGCGAGCAAAGTTTCCTGACCACAAGTAAAATTTATTATTTTAATTAAAAAATTACATTTAATTGTTATTGCTAGGTTCATAGGAGAAGAATCGACAGCCGACGGCCAGAAGAATGAACTGACCGACGCGCCAACCTGGATCATTGACCCTGTCGACGGCACCATGAATTTTGTGCACTCTTTTCCTCACGTCTGCATTTCCATCGCCCTTCTCGTCAACAAAGTTCCCGAGATCGGAATCATCACCAATCCGGTTCTGGGCCAATTTTTCGAAGCTCGGAAGGGTCAGGGCGCCCTTCTTAATGGAAAAAAGATCCAGGTCTCGGCGGTCAAAGGTGGCAATTATTACAAAAAGATGAAATCAAATAATTAAAAAATGAGGAAATTTCCAGACCTATCCAAAGCACTGTTGAGCTACGAGGTCGGAACAAGCAGAGACCCGGAAAAAATGAAGGTCGTCTTGAAAAATGTCAACACCCTCGTCCCTTTGGCTCACGGGTAACAATGATAATATTGACTTTCTGTTATAATAAACTTGAGTAATTCAGGATTCGCTGCCTCGGGTCCGCAGCCTTGAACATGGCAATGGTCGCCATGGGTGCGTCCGACTCGTACATTGAGTTCGGCATCCACGCTTGGGACATTGCTGCCGGGGACTTGATTGTTCGGGAGGCCGGTGGAGTGGTCATTGACCCTGCTGGTAACTTTTATTAATAAATCAAGAAATAACCATCAAAATGGTGTGATTATTATAGGAGGCGAATTTGACGTGATGAGTCGACGCTGTCTGTGCGCCAGTTCGATTGAGCTGGCCAAGGAGATTGTGACCCACATTGAACAATACTACCCAGGACGAGACTAATTAACTCAACCAAAGAACAATCAAAATTATTCCATATGTTAATTTCAGTTTAAATTATCTAGTCTTAGGAAATGCAGAGATATATTTTAAAGTTGATTAATTCAGTGACCTGCATTTCACTTGTTGATGTGAAAATAAAATATTATTTTACAAAACAAAACGAGGCAGTGGTTTTTTTCTAAAGTAAATAAATAATCATGCTTTATACTCCCAATTTATTTTCCAAATTAAGTAAAAAAGAAAAATGATAGTTTTACATCAGTTTTCCGTAAGTAGTCCTAGTACCAGTCTGTCAGTCCTTTGAATCCGTTAGTAAATCTATTTCAAAATTTTAAGTAGTATCAATGAAATTGCAAATCAAACCTTATTGACTAATCCAGCCGCTATGGTCACTCCCGACGACCTCAACATAAACCTTCCCAGCTCCTTGACGTCCCTGTAAAGCTCGAGTCCGACAGGTCGATTTAGGGTGATTTCGACAACGGCGCTCGTGTTCTTGGGTAGACAACGAGGGTGACGCTTGATCACTTCGCCAGAGCCTCGATTCAACTGAGAAATCAGTTTTGTGACCACCGCCTGCTCGACAAGCGACTGCGAGTGGAAGAAAACCTGAAAAAACGATTTTTTTATAAAGGAAAGATCAACAATTTGATCATTTACAGGGAAGCCTTGAGTAATAGGGAACTGCAGATTGAACAGAACGATTCTTGCTTCGATTCGAGAGGTGGCAGGAATGGGGTGCAGCGGATCACACAGAATGTAGCCCAGACAGACATTCTGCATGTCGATGCCAGATAGGGTGACGGTCACCTGATCGCCCGCAAATGCAACTTGGCACGGCATTTCCTCCAAAGTCAGACCTTTTTTTTTAAAAAAACAATGAAATTTTTTCTGGTAACAATTATTAAAAAATTCAGTTACCCTTGACAAAGGCCTGCTCTCCTTGGGGCTGCACCAGCACTTTGTCCCCCACCTGAATGGAACCACACTCGACCCGCCCACTCACGCAGAATCCGGTTCCAGTTCCTTTGAAAATGTCATTTATCGAAAGCCTGAATGACTTGGAAATGGGCCTTTCTGGGATTTTGAATTTGTCTGAAAAGCATTACAATTAAAATTATGAAAAAATTTATTTAAAAAAAAAATGTACCAATTGCTTCGACCAAACAAGGTCCGTGGTACCACTTGAGAAGAGCGTCCTCGGTGGGAGATTTAGTCAGATTTTCACCCGAAAGACCGCTGCAGGGAACAAAACTGACGTCAGTGTCTCGATAACCAGCCTGTCTGAGAAAGGCGCCGAGCTTGTTTGCGATTTCCAAAAACCTCGTCTGATCCCAGCTGACCGTGTCTAGTTTGTTGACAACCACCACTAGCTGGCTCACCCCTGCAATAACATTTTGTATTAATTTATCATTTTAGAATAAAAAAGCAAACCCAATGATCTGACGAGCAAAGCGTGCTCCCTGGTTTGTCCGCCACTTTCGAAACCAGACTCGAACTCGCCCCGTCCAGCATCGACAACTAAAACTGCCGCGTCTGCTTGAGTCGCTCCACTGATCATGTTCGGAATGAAATCCTTGTGTCCGGGAGCGTCCAAGATGAGAACGCTTTTGGTTGGCGTCTCGAATCTGGACTGTCCAATGTCCATTGTGATTCCTCGAGTTCTGCAATCCAAGTTTTTTCATGAAGAAGCAAAGATTAAAAGCAAAATTGCAAACCTCTCTTCTCCAGTTTCGTCCAAGATCCAGGCGTACATGAAGGATTGCTTTCCGAGTTTTTTGCTCTCCTGCTCGTACTTGTGCATCGTCCGCTGGTTGACCTGCCCAAGGTCGTACAGAAGGTGGCCCATCAGGGTGCTTTTTCCTGCGTCGACGTGGCCGATGACGACCATGTGCAGAAGAGGTTTGATTCCCGAGCGCTCCTCGTTGTACCGAGCGACGGCAGCCTCCCCTCGAAGCTCTCTGTGTCTGCAAATTTACAAGTAAAATTTGCTTTCAGGATAAATTAATTGCTTACTTGGCCAGAGCCGCTTCCTTTTCGGCGGCCACGTCCGAAAGGGGGGATTGGGACCTGGGCGAAGTTTCCATCGGCTCCACCCTCAAGCTTCCGTCTTTCTGGCCTGAAAGTTATTAATTTAGCGATTTTAATTTTTTTAAACGAAAAGATTTAATTACCAGACTTGGGTGTGACTTCAAAACCCTTGGTTATGTTCAAGGTTTTGGCCTTGGCGACTTTTACAGGTTCAGGAGTGGACGTCATCAGAGGCACTGCATCAATACCGAGATCTGGTTTCGAAGGCAGAACTGAAATTTCAATTCGTTGGTTATTCATCCACTTTTTGGAACAATTGAACTTACCAAACGTTTTAAAATAATAACAATATTAAAAAAAAAAAAAAACAAGCAGAAATAATTACCGCAGTTTATTTGTAAAGTAAAATGCTTATTTAATTTATAAATTACAAGTCAAAGCTAAAACTTTTTGTTCAGTGATCTCAACACCTTGTCGTCAGGGGAGGGAGAATTGAAGCCGAAGCGGGGGATGGACGATTTGACTGGGTAGGGGTCCAAGTAGACCGGAATGAATTTGCGCAGCCACTTTCTGCAAATGATCGTGCCCAGGTTCGACGACCTCCGGGTCAGGAGGTTTGACCCAAGGCCCAGCAGAGAGTCTGCTTTTTGTTTGACCAGGTCAAGTTCGAGGTCATAGCAGTGGGCGGCTTTTCGGGCTTTGATCTTGACAGGCACATTGTTCTCCTTGGCAGTCAAATCAACCCTGGCAAGTCCAAAGGAGGGAGGGGGAGGCAGGTCAAGAAGGGTCGGCGGCGGCGGGCCGACCAGGGCGGAGGACAGGTCAATGTCGCCTGCGGCCAGGGTAAAGTCCATGGGAGGTGGTGGAGGCAAAAGGGCCAAATTGGTCATGGGAGGTACGAGGGCGGCACTCAGGTCAATCGAAGAAGGTGCAGACGAGGAGAGATCAAAAGGTGGCCGCAGACCAAATTTTGATTGGATTTTGAAACTGAATCTTACCTTGCCAATCAAGAACAGAACCGAGCATCAACATGGAACAAAATAATGTTTGTTTAATTTTTAAATCTTGAATTTTTAATAATTAAAAAGACTTTTAATTTGATAATCACCTTTTTCTCTAGGTTCAGCAGCTGCAGTCTTTGAAGCTACAAAACAATTAAAAATTAGACAGAATTATTTGAGCCAAAATCTGCAGACCTTTTCCAGCAGTCGAGTTGAGCACCGCGTCCAGCGATCGGTGCAGGTCAAAACCATTCTTGACAATGGTGTCGATGAGCAACCGCTCCGGAGTGGACTCGCCGATGACATTGCGAATTTCATCGAGACACGACTGCAGACGCGCCTCGTCCAATTCGTTCAGCCGAGGCCTGGTTTGCGGAGACAAAGACTGCTCGTGGCCTTCCTCGGCGTCCTCGTCTTCCTCAGCTATGCCGTCCTTGTCCTTGATGAACGCAGACATTTCCGACTGCCTCGACCGGTCGAACATGAATTGCTCTGCGAAATCAGTTTAAATTAAATCATAATTCCGGGACAAACTCGGACAAACTGACCGACGCTGGGCGAAATGCTGTAGTCGTCCTCGACCGAGTGGCCGTAAACATCGTCATAGCCATCGCACTCTGCAAAAATCGCACAAATCAACGATGGAGCAACAAACAAGACTCGAATCTTACCGTCCGAATAGTTGAGACTGCGGACGTCTCTGTGTCGGGACATGTTGTCTGACTCAAAGGAGCTTAGTTAGCTGTCTAGACTCATGGATTGTGGCTCTGAAAAAGGTTTTAAGGTTATTTCCCGATAAAAACTGGCAAAAAAGGACGATGCGTCGTGCTTGTGTTTTGGTTTTCTCGGAGGACGCTGATTGGAGGAAAACCATGCCTTCCTTTCGGCAGCCAATGGGAGAGCTTCATGCCGCTCAACAGCCAATCAGCGAATAGAAAAGCGCGCCACAAGTTTAAAAGTTGTATTCTTTGCCGCTTGTTAATTTGGTCGCGTTATCTTTTTATCTGATTTTGCTTAAATCCATCTTAAATTTTAAGAACTTTGGTACTAAAACGCTTGAATTGAGAAAAAAATTACGTTTCCACCTAAATAATGTTCAGGGTTATTTGATGTTTCTAACTGTATTATTTAATGTGCAAGTTGGCAACACTGGATCACTATCTTGCTATCTAGATACATATGATTTGAGAATGAGGACTGTTTTCCTTTTTATCCTGCCGGCCGATTGAAAATTTTTTGCTCGGGCAGAAATTTTAATTAGAGATTGCCACAAAGGGAGATAATGGCTGGGAATTCTCTTAAGCTGGTCAGGGATGTGTTAAAATATTTGATCGACGCTCGAGGATTTGATCGAGTTATGGACAAGGTAAAAACAAATAATTCTAATTTTATATATAATTTTCGCTTTTTATTTATTTATTATTTTTTAAGATACTTTTTCCTCAACAATGATTTTTACTTTCAAAATAATTGTTGCGCTGGTTTGCGTCCTTTTCTATGTAAAAAGGGGTAAAAAGAAGGAAACATTTTGTTTTTAAATAATTTTTAAAAATTATGCACTTTTTTCTCTGAATGTTTGTTTTTCATAAACTGGAATGGAAGATGGAAGAGGCATGCAACCAGCATGATGCACGAGTGAAGCGGAAAGCCTACATCGCAAATCTGCAGGGGTTTTTTATTTGATTATTTGGCTTATCTCAATTGATTCATATCTTCGTTTCCATTGAACTTCAGTCTTATTGCTGTGTATGAAAGAAGCAACGGAAGCAAAAATTGTGCCTATTCATTGTTGCATATTTTTTTTTTAATTTATGCCGATTAATAATCAAAATTTTTACTGCACCTCTTTAATATCTGTTTTAGATTAATAAAAGATTAACATAAAATTGTTTTGAATGTAAAACACAAAATATGAACCGCGATTTGACCCTGGCAGGTCACAATAGTTTCCGCTGGCCAAGGAAAGTGCGTGGCCGAAATGGTGGTGGGCAAGGAGCACGAAAACAAGGGCGGCACCTTGCACGGAGGCCTGACCGCCACCCTCGTCGACGGCATTTCCACCCTCGCCCTCATGACCCACGACAAGGGCGTGCCTGGCGTGTCTGTCGACATTCACGTTTCGTAAGGAGCTTTTTTTTCACATTGCAGATTTTACTATTTTTTTTTTTCTTTCAAATCTGCGGTTTTTAGATATTTGAAGGCGGCGAAGGAAGGGGACAAGATCACGATCGACGCGATTACGAAAAAGGCTGGAAACTCGCTGGCGTTTCTCGACGTGCAAATCACGAACGCGGCCACCGGAGCCGTGATCGCCACGGGGACGCACACCAAATTCGTCGGCGAGAACTTGGGTAGTTTTCAATACGAAAAACCCAACAAATGATGTGAATTCAAAAGCAAAATTTTGTTACTTTCGCTGCTCTTGTGAAACAGTCTTCGGTGTAGTCGAATGTTGAGATTATTTAATTTATTTTTACGAAAAACTCTAATTAAAACTAAAAAATTATAAAAATAAATCTCTCGAAAAGTCTCACTTCAGATAAAACCCCTTTTACGTAAAATCTGATATCAATTTCTGATCATGCTGATTAAGTTATTTTGATCGAACGTGCAGTTTTAATCAGGCAAACGTCCCTTGCTTTCAAGTGGCTTTTCAAAGATAAAAAAGTCAAAATAACATTTGCGATTAAATTCGCGATCGACGCTAATTGCAGGTCCGAATTTCTACTTACGTAACTTGCCAATGAATTCTATAAATGATAGATTAAGTTTGCTAATCAGGTCACACGTGCGTTAAATTAGATTGTTTGTTGCAAAAATAGAAATTTTGTAGACGAATAGATAAGGAGTAATTTTGAGAACGGCAAAAGTTTTCCGCATAGTAAAGTGCTTAAAAATAAATCTAGCAATATTATTTAAGTAGAGATTAGTGTAAATTTCCAGAAATACGGTTCGCAATAATCAGGAAAATCCAATATTTAAAATGACGATTGAAAAAATGAAAAAAATTTTAATATGAACATTGAGAAGATCTAGTTCTAGGGCAAAAAACCATGTTATAGCCAGGGAGGATCCTTAAATGCTAATTATTAAAAAAAAAGGGGGGGGAATTTTGTTCATTGTTTAATGTTATGAATAAGAGAGAATTTGGGAATTATTTAATTTTCTGGAAATTCCTGGTTCTCCGAATTAATTTTTTTTATAAAATGTTATACTTTAAAGAATTTGGCGCCATCAAAATCTCTCACCTGTACCACGTAATGTTTTTGCAATTGGAGTACTTAACATTTGCACGCGATAGCGATTTCCTACTTTCGTTTCATTTTGGGTTTTTCCAATGACGTCAAAATCGGATTTATCTTATCTCCAAGCCCCTCGCATATATTAAATCAAGTGTTGCCGAAAAATCCACCAGTTGCATATTTTATAGGGGTGGTCAATTTGCTTACGAAAGTTTTGAAAATGGCAGCAAATCCGCTGAAGTACGTGAAGGGGGTCCTAAAATTTGTGATTGACCGTCGAGGATTCGACCAAGTGTTGGAAAAGGTTTTTTTTATTAATTAATTTAGGATCTTAACCAAAACAGAAAAATTTATTCAATCATACAAAAAGAAAATTCCGAAAATTCTCCCACTTAAAGTTTTACCGAATTTAATGTTGCAAATTTTATATTAATTTGATGAATTGAAACGAAATCTCAATTTGGGCGGACGAGACAAATTGGTGCGAATCAAATTGCAGCTGCAAATCGTTTCGGCCGGTCAAGGGAAATGCGTGGCGGAAATGATGGTGGAAAAGCAGCACACGAACCGGGGCAACACCCTGCACGGAGGAATGACCGACGCGCTGGTCGACGGCGTGTCCACCCTCGCCCTCATGAGCCACGAAAAAGGCACGCCCGGGATCTCGATCGGGATTCAAGTGCAGTAAGAATTTCTCTTCAAATCGAGAGATGATTTTTTTTTCTATAAATTTTCAAATTTTTATAAACGAAAATAGATACTTGGGGGCCGCGAAAGTGGGCGACAAGCTCGTGATCGACGCGGAAACCAAGAAGATGGGAAAGTCGCTGGCCTTCATGGACGTGCAAATCACCAACACGAGCACCGGCAGTCTGATTGCGTTGGGATCGCACACCATGTTGGTCGGCGAAAACTTTGGCGATTTCAAATACGAAAAGTAGTGATCTCTTGACAAATTTGTGCTTAGAAATAAAATAAATTTTTTTATAAAAAGTATAAATGATCGTGAATTTTCAAATTTCCAATCAATATTTTATGAATTAACATTACAAACGACTGCTGACTTGATGTGAGATTTCAAAATTAAGTTCAATGACCTTTTTTTTGAAAACATAAAATGCCAAGTGTGCTAGGTATGCTAGGTAAACATGCATGCGATTTGATGCAAAATCAGCTGATTTGGAATTTTTACTGATTTTTTTTTGTACAAAATTTATTTCGTCCTTGGTTTCTTGATTTTGAACAATTTGACTTTTTCAATGATAACAAATAATTAAACATTTCATGACCACTTTTTTTCAAATTTTGTTGCAAATTCCGATTTTTAGTGTCGTGGCGAGGAAAACATGTTGAAATAAGCGCCGAGCCAGTCATGGCATCACCTTTCATCTAAGGGCAAAATCGGTAGTGTCGGGGTAAACTCGGCACTTCTTCCAGCGGCCACCGATGGTGCTTGCTGCACCATTCGTGGCCGAGGAAGAGAGAGAGACAGGGCATCAGGTGACAGAGCAGCAAGATTGATAGATGAGTCGTTTATGAGTAGCCAAGTGGCACAGTTGCGTTTTGTAATATGTGCAAAGAAAAAGGCCAAATAATTACATCAAACCTTTGAAAGTAAGTAAAAATTGTGTCTATTAATTCTATTTACCCCAAACAAAAATGAATAAGAATTAAATAAGCAATCTTAGCATCAGGGATTATTTATTTCCCGACAAATGGCGCCATCGAGTTCTGATAAGACACGTGTATGTCAATAGCGGTGCACAAATATTTGTTAAAAACAAATAACAAGGCAACCCCTTTTTTACTTATCCATTCAATTTCATTTCAATTACTTCCTAAATTTTATCAGAAAGTTTACATAAAAAAAAAGATTTTTTTTTCTTGAACAGCGAAATTCAGTTTCCTATTTTTAATTATATTTTTATACAATGAAGTAAATTTTTATTCTTGTTCAAAAACGACTATTTTAAAACTCCTCATAATATGGCAACAAGTATATAAATTAAATTTTGAATGCAATTGCCTAATCGACATTGACACAGAAGCAGAGTGCACTGAAATATCTCGGCACTCGACTCAAATGTGGGTCATTAATTATGGGAGGTGCAGTTGGCCTCGTTTGAGGCTTGATTGTTTAATAATAGCGCGCGCGTTTCGATTCACTCGGTCGTGCGTCTTCGACCAGTCGAGAGGCTTATTTTGATTTGCCCCGAGAGTGAGACTAAATGTCCCAAAGTTTGCCGACCGAGATAAGAGTGGTGCAGGACGGAGCGAAGGTGCAGCCGGTCGTGCAGCGAGCACTGGTTTCACAAGAGCAGCTCCAGCGCTACATCAGCGTTTGCTTATTTGGGCCCGATTGCATTTCAGTTCCGATAGCGCCGCCGATTGCCGAAGAGGAGGAGGAGGAGCAGGTCATGCAGCCCGAGGACGTCCTTCGGCCCCTCAAAGAGGACCAAGTCGAAAAACTCCTGCAGGTTTTGGCCACGGATCTGCCCGACAGTTCTGTGGTAAATTTCAATTCCCTCGAAATTTATCTGCTTTTACGAATTTCGTCTCTAGGAATCAAAATTTTCACCATTCATTGGGGAGAGAAGGATTAAGATATATTTTTTTTTTTTAGATTTTCTTAGGTCTTCCTCTAATTTTTCTACGTAAAAAAAACACCTATGAAAGGTGGCGTGTTTTATTTTTAATTTTTTTCTAAATTTTTAAGCAATTTTGCTATTGCTTGTACAAACAAGAGTCAAACGCCAAAGGATAACAAATTTAATAAGCTTTTAAAACATCGCCAAGTATCCTTGAATTAAACAATTTTTGGTGCCAAAAATTATTGTTTGAATAAAAAGTCCATTTTTATTGTTTCTTTTTGTCAGCTCTTCTTAAAAGCATTTTAGTGAAAAATATTTCAGGCAAAATTTGAAGATAATTTAATTTTGCACATTTTTTGTGTTTCGCATTTTCTACTAAATCAAAGCGGGAAAAATTATAAATGCAGAAATATAAAAATTGAGATATTTTCTGATGTTGTAACCTTATGGGTGAAAATTAAACACGGACTTATGAAGCTCAAATTCACCTGAGATGTTGATCTGAGGGAGAATCGTGCCAATTTATAAACATTTCCTCTCAGCCGTTAAAATTTGGGCAATATTAATTGATCAAATGTAAACTTCTTACAAAATACAAGAAATATGGTTGAAGGTCCTCAAATTCCAACTCATTTTTTAACCTTTCCACTTTCATAACTTCGGTCACTTTTGATTTAGAAGAAAATGTTAATTACAAAATGTGTGCACAATTAAATTTGGTTACAGTTTTTTATCAAATATTTTACTCTAAAATAATTTCCAGAAGAGCTAGAACTAAAAGAAACCAATAAAAAATGACTAAAAGTTGACCTTTCCTAAAATAATTGAAATTTTTGGCGTCCAAATTTTCTTATTTAAGCAAACCTGGTATTTTTTTGAACGCCCATTAAATTTCCTATTGACTGGCGTTCGTTTCATGTTTGTGCAAACTATAGAAAAATTATGTGCATAAGAAAAGGTAACTTTTTACTTAGAAAGGCAAAGGTAGGAAATCTCAACAGATAAAGTGAAAATTTCAGACTGGCATGAATTTTTCCGAGTTGAAACCTCTCTTTCCTGGATATACAAATATTTTATAAAATATTTTATTGTATAATAATAAGGCAAATTATTAATGTTGCAGCCTTACAACTGGATAAAGAAGCAGACGGAATGGGCGAAAAAGTTGCCCGAAATCAAAGTGAGCATTTTGTGTCCGGACGGCGACTGGTCGGACGGAACGGTCGTCACCATGGTGGACGGACTGGTGAGTTTTTCACAGTTTCAAAAGGCTGCGGACTTGGACGTTTTGTTTTTGACAGGGCGAAAAGATAGTTTTCGGCACGCTGTACACCCTGGAGAAGGGCGGCGCGAAACTGAAAAAGGCGCTGACCGAGACCAAGCTGATTCCGTGGCATCGGTTTTCCCATTTCTCGGGGGTGCACGTGCGCCACATTCCCATTTGCGTCGAGATTTTGAGCGCCGTTGGAGTGAATCTTCACACGGGAAATTTGTACGTGCCGTGCCACATGCACTACGCCTCTGCCGAAGACGCCGCCAACATTGAAATTCCCGAGTAAGTTATATTGACTGCAATCCCTACTTTAAAGTGAATAAGTAAAAAAACACTGAAAAGACATTTTGAGCATCTAAAAATCAGACAATTAATAATCTTGGTAGACTTTTAACAAATCAAAAGTTAAAAAATACCACACTATATTATTATTTGAATAATTTTTTTGTTGTCAAGACTGCAACCAAAGTTTTTTGGCCACCAATTGATTCCTCTTGACCTGACCTTTCCAATGATGTGTCACACTTGATCTGTTAGAGTCACTTTGAATGTATTGGTGGGGGGAGTATTTGGACCAATGAGATCGCTTAATTCCTTTAATCGTCGTTTTCCCAGCTAAAATTACGGTGACCTTGATCTTTCTGGTCACCAATCGATTCCTTTTGACCTGACCTTTCCAATTATGTGCCACTCATTATATGTGTTGGTGCAATTATGAGTTTGGTGGTGGGGGAACCTTTCGGACCAATGAAATGGCTTGGTTGCCAAAATCTTCGTTTCTTAAACAAATATCACGATGACCTTGACCTTTTTGGTCACCAATCGATATCTCCTCCCTGACATTGAGCTTCCCAATTGAAAGCATCGCTCATGACTTTTAAGAGTAGATTTCTCTCAAATATAAATGATTAAATTGCACCAAATATGTTTGACTCGTGTGAAAATAAATATTGGAAAAATTGCAGACTTGCTGCGAACGTGCGCGTCGGCCCGCTGGACTTGAGCCACGTGGACACGGTGTGCAAGTACTGGCCGCACTACAGCGCCGACTACCGCCGCGTCGTCGAGAAAATGGTCGAGTTGAACCCTTCGTGCGGCGTGTTTGTGAGAAACGAGGACGGCGCCGAAGAATTGGCCGCCATGATCGTGCAGTCCGAGTACGGCGGCCTCGGCATCCTGCAGACGGTGCCCGAGCACCGCCGCAAGGGTTACGCCCTGACGGCGCTGAGGCACCAGGCGCGGGCCCTGGGCAGGGCCGGGGTCAGTCCGCACTGCCACGTCATCGTCGACAACTACAGGTCGGTGGAGCTGTTCAAGAAGAGCGGCCTCAAGCCCGTCGCCCTCACCAACTGGGTCTGCGCCAAGAGAAAAGAGGACAGAACCCTTCTTTAGAATATTAAAAAGAAATTAACATCAGCGTTTTCTCAAGATATATAATTTTGATACTGATTAAGTATTAAGAAATTTCCTTATCAGAAACTGAATTTCTCTCAATTCATTAACATGTGATCTGCAGAAATGACAGGAATTTCAAATAATGTACGTATTTTTGTTACAAGGATAAGCAAATAAAAACAGATTTCTCCCAACTGAATTAAAATTATTTCTAATAAAAAAAAAAAATACAACTTATTCGCCAATTTTTAGGCAACAAAGCCCAGTCCCAGATTCAATACAAAATTAATTAAAGGCGCAAGGCAAAAAAAGCTCAGAAATTCTGCTCAAATTTAAAATTTCAATCTGAGATGTAATAGCGAATTCCATTTAATTTTTTTGCATGTTGATTATTTCAAATATTGTTACATCTTTCTATAAATCATGAATTCTGATATTAGTCAAAAAAGCATAGCAGAATTGGATTTGAAAAAGTTCAAATTTCTCAAATTATGCAAAATAATTGCAAATTAATTGATTTCCCCGTGGATCCTTTTTCTTGTTATTTTATTTATCAATCCGATTGCGCGAGGACAAAGTCCGGCCACAAGACGACATTTCAATCTTTATTTTTGCCTCTTGTAAGGTTGACGAGCGCGCTAATTTTTGTGAAAAGAGCGCTGCTCAAATCCGGCAATTATATACAATTTATCCTATCCTAATCAAGATCCACCCTTTTTTCTTGATTCTAATTTAATTCGGGTTAATTATTGGCAAGTTTTCTTTTGTTTCGAGTTGGCAAAACAATTTGTACGTCAAGAAAAGGGCTAAATATTTTTTTTTATTGTTTTTATCACGTCAATTTAAAAGTGAATATCCTAGCTAGTACTTTTGTCAAGTTAAATAAAGAGTTTCATTTTTTTCTCGCACATTTTTTCAATAATTTTCCCGTAATTAATACGGTCGACTTGAGGAAAATGCAAGTGGCCCCCGAGTAAAAAAAAAACTTAATTGGTTTTCTTCGCGGTATTTGACATTTTTGGGCACACAGGATCAATTCATATTTACTCGATACCTCGAGTTGATCGCACCATTAATTAAAATGAAAAATCAAGAAAAGGTGCCGCTTTCAATTTTTTTTTTTTTTTAATTTATTTCTAATAGAAAATAGATTTATTTGATCTAATTTTACAAGTCCAGCCAAGTCTGAAGATGAAACGAGCGGTCTATTGAGCGCTCGTCAACATTATTGGCCTCTTTTAAAGCACCAAGTCGACTCAAGAAGATGTTATCGATTGACCTCGTGTCACTGAAAGACCTTTTTTGAGGGATCACGAGATCCGTTGGCGGATTTGCTTGTTGATAATAATTTTTCTCGTCGGCGCAATAAAAGCCGCATCGCGATTCGCAAATTTCTCCATTCGCGAATCCAGACGCACGCAATGGAGATGGTCCGATTTTTGTGGTTGTTCTTGGCCGTCGTCACCACCGAGCTGGCCGAGGACCAAAAACGAACCGACCAATCAACCCACGTAGTAAAAATTTATTCTAAATCTACTTGTGTTTTTCGGTATCGGTGTATTTTCGAACACAAAACGAAGGCGAATTTATAAGTTACAAATTTTATAATTTGATAAATTAAACACTTTTGCACTTTTTTCTGATTGTCAGTCTTGTAAGTTAGAAATTAGCTCAGCGTTTGGATTCAAATTTTATGAACACAAACTTTAATTCCCAATAAAAAAAAGCAGATGGAAGAAGAAGAAGAAGTGACGGACTTTCAAAAAGGGCTCATGAAAATTGTTAATGAAACAAACGAGAAACTCAAATTCTTGACGAGCCTCGTAAGTATTTTATTGAATTTCTCAAAACACGGATTTTTTGATAATTTTGAAACAGGCGGTTGACATGAAAACTGCGATGGACGAGCAAAACCAGGAGAACAAGAAAAATTTCAACGAGACCAACCAGAGGTTTCTGGAATTGGCCGCGATCATTGACGAGCACCACAAACAGGTCCAAACTTTTGAAAATTAAGCAATAATAAATAGGACTTTAAATAATTTTCAAACAGGCGATCAAAGATAATCAGGATTTGGCGCAAAAAGTGGACGAGAGATTCAATCATTGGGAAAATGTGGTAAAATATAATAAATTACACAAGGTTGACCAAAAAGATGGAAAATTATTTAAAATTGATCAAATTAAATAAAAATGATCCCAACTTTCAAAGTTGAAAACTATTTTTATTGCGATTAATTTGCTAGAGACTTTGGATGCTGTGAAGAGGGGAAGTGACGGAGAAAAGCTGCTGGCGAAACCGGAAAAGCGCCGGGATAAAGATGAAATTCTAGAACCGCCAATTGATCTTAAAATTCCCTCTATTCCAGTAATTGAGAAAGTCCTAAAATTATCAAGGTTTAAAAAAATTTCTGGTCTAAATTAAAAATTTTTAAATAAAACGTCTGAAAACAATTAAAGACGTTGCTTGAAAAATCAATGTCGTCTCATGGAAAGTCCTAAAATTATCAAGGTTTAAAAAAATTTCTGGTCTAATTCAACAATTTTTAAATAAAACGTCTGAAAACAATTGAAGACGTTGCTTGAAAATTCAATGTCGTTTCATGGAAAGTCCTAAAATTATCAAGGTATAAAAAAATTTCTGGTCTAATTTAACAATTTTTAAATAAAACGTCTGCAAACAATTGAAGACGTTGCTTGAAAATTCAATGTCGTTTCATGGAAAGTCCTAAAATTATCAAGGTATAAAAATATTTCTGGTCTAATTTAAAAATTTTTAAATAAAACGTCTGAAAACAATTAAAGACGTTGCTTGAAAAATCAAGGTCGTCTCATGGAAAGTCCTAAAATTATCAAGGTTTAAAAACATTTCTGGTCTAATTTAAAAATTTTTAAATAAAACGTCTGAAAACGATTAAAGACGTTGCTTAAAATTCAATGTCGTTTCATGGAAAGTCCTAAAATAATCAAGGTTTAAAAACATTTCTGGTCTAATTTAAAAATTTTTAAATAAAACGTCTGCAAACAATTGAAGACGTTGCTTGAAAATTCAATGTCGTTTCATGGAAAGTCCTAAAATTATCAAGGTATAAAAAAATTTCTGGTCTAATTTAACAATTTTTAAATAAAACGTCTGCAAACAATTGAAGACGTTGCTTGAAAATTCAATGTCGTTTCATGGAAAGTCCTAAAATTATCAAGGTATAAAAAAATTTCTAGTCTAATTTAAAAATTTTTAAATAAAACGTCTGAAAACAATTAAAGACGTTGCTTGAAAATTCAATGTAATTTCATGGAAAGTCCTAAAATTATCAAGGTTTAAAAAAATTTCTGGTCTGATTTAATAATTTTTAAATAAAACGTCTGAAAACGATTAAAGACGTTGCTAGAAAATTCAACGTCGTTTCATGGAAAGTCCTAAAATTATCAAGGTATAAAAATATTTCTGTTCTAATTTAAAAATTTTTAAATAAAACGTCTGAAAACAATTAAAGACGTTGCTTGAAAAATCAAGGTCGTCTCATGGAAAGTCCTAAAATTATCAAGGTATAAAAAAATTTCTGGTCTAATTTAACAATTTTTAAATAAAACGTCTGCAAACAATTGAAGACGTTGCTTGAAAATTCAATGTCGTTTCATGGAAAGTCCTAAAATTATCAAGGTATAAAAAAATTTCTAGTCTAATTTAAAAATTTTTAAATAAAACGTCTGAAAACAATTAAAGACGTTGCTTGAAAATTCAATGTCGTTTCATGGAAAGTCCTAAAATTATCAAGGTATAAAAATATTTCTGGTCTAATTTAAAAATTTTTAAATAAAACGTCTGAAAACATTTAAAGACGTTGCTTAAAATTCAATGTCGTTTCATGGAAAGTCCTAAAATAATCAAGGTTTAAAAACATTTCTGGTCTAATTTAAAAATTTTTAAATAAAACGTCTGCAAACAATTAAAGACGTTGCTTGAAAAATCAATGTCGTCTCATGGAAAGTCCTAAAATTATCAAGGTTTAAAAAAATTTCTGGTCTGATTTAATAATTTTTAAATAAAACGTCTGAAAACGATTAAAGACGTTGCTAGAAAATTCAACGTCGTTTCATGGAAAGTCCTAAAATTATCAAGGTATAAAAAAATTTCTGGTCTACTTGAACAATTTTTAAATAAAACGTCTGCAAACAATTAAAGACTTTGCTTGAATTTCAATGTCGTTTCATGGAAAGTCCTAAAATTATCAAGGTATAAAAATATTTCTGGTCTAATATAAAAATTTTTAAATAAAACTTCTGAAAACAATTAAAGACGTTGCTTGAAAAATCAAGGTCGTCTCATGGAAAGTCCTAAAATTATCAAGGTTTATAAACATTTCTGGTCTAATTTAAAAATTTTTAAATAAAACGTCTGAAAACGATTAAAGACGTTGCTTAAAATTCAATGTCGTTTCATGGAAAGTCCTAAAATAATCAAGGTTTAAAAACATTTCTGGTCTAATTTAAAAATTTTTAAATAAAACGTCTGCAAACAATTGAAGACGTTGCTTGAAAATTCAATGTCGTTTCATGGAAAGTCCTAAAATTATCAAGGTTTAAAAAAATTTCTGGTCTGATTTAATAATTTTTAAATAAAACGTCTGAAAACGATTAAAGACGTTGCTAGAAAATTCAACGTCGTTTCATGGAAAGTCCTAAAATTATCAAGGTATAAAAAAATTTCTGGTCTAATTTAACAATTTTTAAATAAAACGTCTGCAAACAATTGAAGACGTTGCTTGAAAATTCAATGTCGTTTCATGGAAAGTCCTAAAATTATCAAGGTATAAAAAATTTCTGGTCTAATTTAACAATTTTTAAATAAAACGTCTGCAAACAATTAAAGACGTTGCTTGAAAATTCAATGTCGTTTCATGGAAAGTCCTAAAATTATCAAGGTATAAAAAAATTTCTAGTCTAATTTAAAAATTTTTAAATATAACGTCTGAAAACAATTAAAGACGTTGCTTGAAAAATCAAGGTCGTCTCATGGAAAGTCCTAAAATAATCAAGGTTTAAAAAAATTTCTGGTCTGATTTAATAATTTTTAAATAAAACGTCTGAAAACGATTAAAGACGTTGCTTGAAAATTCAATGTCGTTTCATGGAAAGTCCTAAAATTATCAAGGTTTAAAAAAATTTCTGGTCTGATTTAATAATTTTTAAATAAAACGTCTGAAAACGATTAAAGACGTTGCTTGAAAATTCAATGTCGTTTCATGGAAAGTCCTAAAATTATCAAGGTTTAAAAAAATTTCTGGTCTGATTTAATAATTTTTAAATAAAACGTCTGAAAACGATTAAAGACGTTGCTAGAAAATTCAACGTCGTTTCATGGAAAGTCCTAAAATTATCAAGGTATAAAAATATTTCTGGTCTAATTTAAAATTTTTTAAATAAAACGTCTGAAAACAATTAAAGACGTTGCTTGAAAAATCAAGGTCGTCTCATGGAAAGTCCTAAAATAATCAAGGTTAAAAAACATTTCTGGTCTAATTTAAAAATTTTTAAATAAAACGTCTGCAAACAATTGAAGACGTTGCTTGAAAATTCAATGTCGTTTCATGGAAAGTCCTAAAATTATCAAGGTATAAAAATATTTCTGGTCTAATTTAAAAATTTTTAAATAAAACGTCTGCAAACAATTGAAGACGTTGCTTGAAAATTCAATGTCGTTTCATGGAAAGTCCTAAAATTATCAAGGTTTAAAAAAATTTCTGGTCTGATTTAATAATTTTTAAATAAAACGTCTGAAAACGATTAAAGACGTTGCTTGAAAATTCAATGTCGTTTCATGGAAAGTCCTAAAATTATCAAGGTTTAAAAAAATTTCTGGTCTGATTTAATAATTTTTAAATAAAACGTCTGAAAACGATTAAAGACGTTGCTTGAAAATTCAATGTCGTTTCATGGAAAGTCCTAAAATTATCAAGGTTTAAAAAAATTTCTGGTCTGATTTAATAATTTTTAAATAAAACGTCTGAAAACGATTAAAGACGTTGCTAGAAAATTCAACGTCGTTTCATGGAAAGTCCTAAAATTATCAAGGTATAAAAATATTTCTGGTCTAATTTAAAATTTTTTAAATAAAACGTCTGAAAACAATTAAAGACGTTGCTTGAAAAATCAAGGTCGTCTCATGGAAAGTCCTAAAATAATCAAGGTTTAAAAACATTTCTGGTCTAATTTAAAAATTTTTAAATAAAACGTCTGCAAACAATTGAAGACGTTGCTTGAAAATTCAATGTCGTTTCATGGAAAGTCCTAAAATTATCAAGGTTTAAAAAAATTTCTGGTCTAATTTAAAAATTTTTAAATAAAACGTCTGAAAACAATTAAAGACGTTGCTTGAAAATTCAATGTCGTTTCATGGAAAGTCCTAAAATTATCAAGGTTTAAAAAAATTTCTGGTCTGATTTAATAATTTTTAAATAAAACGTCTGAAAACGATTAAAGACGTTGCTAGAAAATTCAATGTCGTTTCATGGAAAGTCCTAAAATTATCAAGGTTTAAAAAAATTTCTGGTCTGATTTAAAATTTTTTAAATAAAACGTCTGAAAACGATTAAAGACGTTGCTAGAAAATTCAACGTCGTTTCATGGAAAGTCCTAAAATTATCAAGGTATAAAAAAATTTCTGGTCTACTTGAACAATTTTTAAATAAAACGTCTGCAAACAATTAAAGACGTTGCTTGAAAATTCAATGTCGTTTCATGGAAAGTCCTAAAATTATCAAGGGATAAAAAAATTTCTAGTCTAATTTAAAAATTTTTAAATAAAACGTCTGAAAACAATTAAAGACTTTGCTTGAAAATTCAATGTCGTTTCATGGAAAGTCCTAAAATTATCAAGGTATAAAAATATTTCTGGTCTAATTTAAAAATTTTTAAATAAAACTTCTGAAAACAATTAAAGACGTTGCTTGAAAAATCAAGGTCGTCTCATGGAAAGTCCTAAAATTATCAAGGTTTAAAAACATTTCTGGTCTAATTTAAAAATTTTTAAATAAAACGTCTGAAAACGATTAAAGACGTTGCTTAAAATTCAATGTCGTTTCATGGAAAGTCCTAAAATAATCAAGGTTTAAAAACATTTCTGGTCTAATTTAAAAATTTTTTAATAAAACGTCTGCAAACAATTGAAGACGTTGCTTGAAAATTCAATGTCGTCTCATGGAAAGTCCTAAAATTATCAAGGTTTAAAAAAATTTCTGGTCTGTTTTAAAAATTTTTAAATTAAACGTCTGAAAACGATTAAAGACGTTGCTTGAAAATTCAATGTCGTTTCATGGAAAGTCCTAAAATTATCAAGGTTTAAAAAAATTTCTGGTCTGATTTAATAATTTTTAAATAAAACGTCTGAAAACGATTAAAGACGTTGCTAGAAAATTCAACGTCGTTTCATGGAAAGTCCTAAAATTATCAAGGTATAAAAAAATTTCTGGTCTAATTTAACAATTTTTAAATAAAACGTCTGCAAACAATTAAAGACGTTGCTTGAAAATTCAATGTCGTTTCATGGAA